TGTTATTTTGTGTTGAAGAGAGCTGCAGAATCATGATGAAGAACCAGGTAGTATAACAGGGCTCAGAAGAAAAACTGCTCTTTTCTGACTAGCTCATGGTTTAACCAGACTCAACACCAACACCTAGATTAAATGAAGGAATTTTAATAACAAAAATATAACAGCTGTAGGGTATGTACCACACAACACATGGCAAGCACATTTTCAGAGGGAATACAAATATACAGAAGATAACTAGTTTCATGGGCTGATGGAGAACCAAGCTCTACCTCCAGGGACACTACAGTGTCATGATTTAAAGACTGTGACTTAAGCTGTTCACCATCTGCTCTGGTGATTCATATGTATGCTACATTTCCCAGAATTCTTACTAAAGTGGCAGAAATGCAGGACTAACCCTTTCATGTCAATCAACAAAATATATTGCAATAGAACTTGTTCTATTATATGTAATTATTTTATGTTTTAAAAATCAGTAGTCCCATCTGAACATAAGACTAAATTTTGTATGACAAATAAAGTGATACAAGCTCACTTTGTAGCCATATGGTTTGATTCAAAGCTCTTCTCAAGATGTGTGTTTAGGTAAACTCATAAAACATTGACCAAAGAAAATTTTAAGTTTTAGATATGGACATTAATGGTTTAAAAAGTGATACCTCTGCTCATGAGGGGCTTAGTGAATAAAAAGAGTTATAATTTGTAGAAATAATGTGTGACTTCTAATGAATATCTTCCGTGGTTTTTGAAAGACCATTACAATGACCCCTCGCTCTCCTCAGATTAACTAGGACACAGTTGGCTCTCCTTGTGTGAAATGTTGACTCTGTGTTGAGCTACTACTGAGCAGGCTAAGGTTTTCTTCAGTCTTGTGAAGCCTGAGAAGCATCAATGGGAGCAAGAAATTTGAGGCCCTAAGAGACTAGTGACAGCAGCATAGTTGCCATGGCAACTTCTCTACAGCAACTGCAGCTGCCGCATGTTTGACTCACATCCACTGGGTTAATGTCTCCATATTTATTTCATCATTCACTGATCTCATTTTCATTTTTTGTTATCAGGCTGCAGAAATCCAGATCTATTTTGCAAATACAATGACAAGTGTACTCAATACTAGTCATAAATAAAGGTAAAGATGAGGATTGTACCATGTGATGTATGCAGCGGAAGGAGGGTCTGTGGGACCCAACATAATTTGATGCCCAAACTGTTGCATATGAGTGTATACAGGTTTTTATTTCTCTGTTTATAACGTGTACTTATAATGTCTTATACTGAATCATGATGATATAAACACCTAAATTCCCCAACTGGAACCATTAGTGTTACCTTATATAATCTCATTTTTTGTTAAGGCCCCCGAACGCTGCTGCACACTGACTTTTCATATGAATGAGAGAGTCCATTTCCTTTTTAGTCACAGAACCACCAGGTGGGCTAGTTCTGGTCAGCTATCCTGGCCTTTCCCTACACAGTTCTGCCATCTTGTGGGGAACAGGAAAATTAACACAGTGGAACCAGACAGAATTGATAACATTTGACCACGAGGACTGGCAGGATATACTCAAGCAGCCAAAAGTGGAGCCTCTCTCGGCATACGCTAACTTTAATTTAGATCTTAACTGTAGTTGAGAAAAAGTACAACCTAGGGGACGTGTTATTCCTATTAGGGCCAGACACACAATATAGGAGCCTGCTTCTCCTTTTTCATTTAAGACAGTAAAATCTGAAAACATGCTTTGTGAAGTTTGTTGGAATATTCATGAGCTTTTTTTGGCACATGCAAGATGAGCCTTTGTGTTTTTTTTGGTCAGCAGTGGTTTGCACCTTGCAGCTCTCCCATGGAAATCATTTTGCACAGCGTCTTTCTTGTTGTGGAATCATGTACTTTGACCTTCACTGAGGCAAGTGAGGCCTGCAGTTCTTTAGATGTTCGTCTGGTTCTTTTGTGACCTCCTGGAGGGGTCACTGATGCACTCCTGAAAAAAAATTTGTAGGCCAGCCACTCCTGGGAAGGTTTACCACTGCTTCAAGTTTTCTCCATTTGTGGATAATGGCTCACAATGTGGTTTGCTGCTTCACACTGCCAGACAGGTTCTATTTAAGTGATGTTTAAATTCTACAGGTCTGACAGTAATCAGTGAAATTGAACCCAACAATTAATTGAATTTGGTTAACTGGTTGATGTAGTAGCTAAGCGCCTTCAATAAATGAAATCATCATTTAAAAAGAGCATTTTGTGTTTACTTGAGTTATTTTAGTCTAACATTAAATGTAGTTTGATGGTCTGAAACATTCAAATGTGACACAAATATGCAAAAATAGAAGAAGTTGGCAAGGGGGCAAATACACAGGCCTGTAGTGTCCCATTTTTATTGAATTTTTATTGAATTGGGTTTATAGCTGCTAATGAGTTTTGTGTTTGTAGTATTGGGAAATGTGTGGTAACAAAAAACTGCGGTTAGGGAATTTGATTTTACCTCAATCTGCAATCTAAGTGAGAAGTTATTTTCAGTGTGGATACAGAAGGTATATGATCATTGATCTTGTGACTACATAATGCTGGATGCAGTGGATGCTGCAGAAAATTACAGAAAAACAAAAATGTAAATGGATGTGTCATGCAAAGCCTACTAAACTAAACTATACTAAGCAGGTAGACACAGAGAACATTTTACATTATTGTACAATGGGTGACTATCTCAATGAGAAATGAGGTAAAGAAATACTTTCAGGGTACCCTAAAATACTCACAGCATTCTTTAGCGTTTTGACAGATTAAGCAGCCATTTAATTTTGGTGACACTGATTGTAATCAATGATAAAGCTAAACATTTTGAGTAAGTTATAAGCTTTTGCAGGTGAAATTTTTAATGTCATTGCAAAGATGTGATTGTAAGATTTTAACAAGGTTTCAGAAAAGGTGCTAAAGAAATTTAGAAACTAATGTTTCTGGGCATGAAAATGTAAGCTTAGAGCTTAAAGGTGCATTGGGTGATTTATTTATTTTATTACAAGTACAAATAACATGGACAATATGTAGAACATGATAAAAAAAAGTATTGTTTTAGCTGTTGCATCAGCTCTAGTGTATTCTGTGTCAAAGAAACCTCATTTGGAAAACTGCAGGGTGATGTGGTGGGATTATCTGCGTTAACAATGATCTCCTGTCCATCATTCTATTAGACCGCTCCCTACACCACATAACTCTGCCACCATCTCTATCTGCTCAGCTAAGAAAACATGTTAGAATCTGGTTACCGACTTACAGCACCAGATTCTAGTACTGTGAGCAAAAAAAAAAAACATGCTGTGTATTGTCATGTTCATGAAACCAGTTTGAGATGACTTTTTACTGTGTCACATTGTGCAGTATCATGCTGGAAGTAGCCATTAGATGAGTAAATTGTAGCCATGAAGGGACGCACATGGTCAGCATTAATACTCAAAGAGGCTATGGCATTCAAGCGATGATTGATTGGTATTAACAGACCCAAAGTGTGCCAAGAAAACATTCCCCTAAACCAGCCTGGACTGTTGACACAAGGCGGTCCATGCATTCATGCTGCTGGCCCCAAATTCTAACTCTACCCTCTGTGTGTCTCAGCAGAAATCAGCTTTCTGGCTGACAGAAGCGGAACTATAATATATTCTTATGCTGTTCTGCCTGTCTGCTGCAAGGTTTGACATGTGGTACATTCTGAGATGCTTGTCTGTTCACCACAATTGTACAGAGTGGTTATCTGAGTTACTGTAGCCTTTCTGTCAGCTTGAATAAGTTTGGCCATTCTCTGTTGACCTCTCTCATCAATAAGACATTTCCATCTGCAGAACTGGATGTTTTTAGAGACTGTTATGCATGAAAATCCCAGGAGATCAGCAGTTTTAGAAATACTGAAACCAGCTGGCACCAATAATCATGCCACAGTCAAAATCTATGAAATCACATTTCGCCTCATTCTGATGGTTGCTATGAACAGTACCTAAAGCTGCCAGCCCCATCTGCATAAGTTTATGCACTGCACTGTAAGAGTTGCACAGACTAGTCAACTTTACTTTACTGGTGATGGTGCTTTATGCTTGATGTCAGCTAGTCACTGTTCACGTGATTATGACACTAACAGCATGGACACCTCATAGAAGACAAAAGGTGAGAAGCCTGATGGAGTGTACTGACCTGTGGAGTGTCTTCATTCTAACATTTCTTTGCCATCCTACAGTGCTTCAAATATATAAACGTCGTCATCTCTGGTGTCCTTATTTTCACTAAGTTACAGCGCTCTAAATTTCTCAGGCTCTCCAGACCTCCATCGTCGGCAGGCGTCTTGGCAAGGCCTCCTATGGTGCACCTAGGGATACAAATTTGCAAGATTCTGGGTTCCGTATCTCCCGTTGTCTGAAGGCTAGCAATGTTTACCAGGGCTTATTGGTTAAGGGCACATCAAGCTCTACTGACCTGTGGAGTTTAGCTTCGTCACAGATTTTTAAAGTCAGATTGTCAAAGTTGCTTGTCACAAAGCATCTCCTTCTCTTGTGGTTTTATTCATGAAGTCATTATAATTAGTAAATGTCAGCTCAACTTTCATCATATAATGTCAACTTTAAAAAAATCTGAAGTCATGCAACCCCTACTGCACTGCTGTCACACGATTAGCTGATTAGATAGTTGCATAAATGAGTAGGTGTACAGGTGTTCCTAATAAAGTACTCGGTGAGTGTATAACAGAACAATAAAATAATACATTATAATACAATATTTATTTGTATATGTTAGGACAAAAGTTGTTTTATTGTGTCATAAAAACATTAATGGAACACTTACTTTATTTCCCAGCAAAAGAGACTTGCAAAACACTGTTGTCTAGAGAGATGCACAGACCAATATAGTGCCATTAATTGTCCCAAGGGTAAAGCTAAATAGCCCTGCCCTCTAAGTTCCACCATCTTGCTTACTGTTGCTACATCTGACAAGCTTTCAACACAATTTTCAACACCAGATGTAGTCTGTGAAATTCAGATTAAAGGATTTATTAAAGCAACAAAACAGTAACACAAGCCCATTCTTGTAAACAGTGAAGGTAGGCCCATGTCACTGGAGGCCAAACACACCACACTGCAACTGAATTAAGTCACCACCAGCAAGATGGCACCACTCTGGATAGTAAAATGCCAACTTGCACACATGCTGTCCGGCCAAACCACAGACACATTTTCTGTTTAAAACTCCAGGCAGCCAACTTCACCTTACATGTTCCCAGAGACACAAACAGTTAACGAAACATACCAATTTTTCAACCAAATGAAATAAAACCCTTACATACTTTCTTTGGTGTCGCTTTACATGCAGGCTGCGCTCAAAGCAAACTACTGGTGCAGCCAGAAAGACCCTTTAACGACCGTACCAGGCGATAGCAGGCAATTAGCTGAGCCATCAGCTGATTGTGATCAGCTGATAAAAGTTGGTGATTTGAGATTGGGGCCTGAGCTTGACTTCGTGGCCTGCCTGAACTAATTGTATGCTCAGTTTGCTTAAAACCTACAAGGAACTACACTACACTTGAGTTGCATACCCTGCAACTAACTTGAAACTCAGCTATAACAGTTGCAAGCAACTCAACTTTGTCAAACAGCCAATTAAAATGCCAGTAGAGCGTCACATGATCATAATTGTTAATGATTGATTTCACTTGATAAATGGACAGGAAAATTAATCATGTTGAAAAGGATAACCAGTTTGACTCAGGGTTGGTAGTTTTTTTAGTTTGCCAGTTGGACAACATCTGGAATAACTAATCAACTAATAGTTGTTTAAACATCTGCTTGTGCCACCATTTATTCTTCATTGTTAGCCTGCTGTTACTGTGATCTACATAGCTAGATTCATTTTATCCTCTCTTAATGCACCTTAATTTTAAATAGAGCTCAGATTAATTTGGGATAGAAAGTTGAAGAATACTACAGAAGGGGAGACTGAGATGTAGTACTTAATTAACTTTTGCTTCTGGGACAGGATAAGCAAGAAATCAAGTAGGCTATAGCTGTAGTGGAAAGTATGAATTTAAAGGCTTAACATTCAGGACAGACTTAAAACTCAAATAATGAAACAGAAATAGATAAAAGACAGATATATAGACATAGAACAAAAAAATAAAAAAGCAATAACAGCATGCAGACAAAAATGACAAAATTACATCTTGCGGTTGACTTTATATAGTGAGAATGATGTGTATCAAAAAATACTGTGCTAATTTGGTTAAATAAGTTTGCATGCCACATTTTTGAACTGTGTCATGAAACTGTCCAGCTGCATGGAAGTTCTGTTGTAGATAACTCACAACATGACATGAAAGTCTCTCCTTGTAAAGCCAGTCTTAGTCAATTTGGTGCAATACATCCAAACTTTCTGAAAGGAGTAGGTAAAAAGATCACCAGAATGTATTTTAATAATCATAGGCATAATATTGTGTTCTTTTTTGCAGCCTAACAAGAGTAAAAGGATAATGATAGAGAGGCTAAAGCCTACTGTCCAAAAAGTGAGAAGCCTCCGTACATGGCGATCCATGATCAAGATAGCATGGAAATAAAAGAACAGCAATGTTCCTGCACTGCAGCATAAGTAATTGTATGATATGCAAATTTACTATGTGTCACTTTGGGTTAAATACTTTAAGTTGTGGCTAAATTAACTAGCAAAGAGTGATTAAGCTGTCATCCATCTCTGTTCTACTCTGGAGCTCAAGAGGAGTTTTTGCTTACATCCTGGGTTTAATCCTTGACACTAATGAGTTAACAAAAACAAAGTTTCAAATGTTTTAAGTTTCAAAGTTTCAATGACTGTTAGCTAGCCACACTTGCCAGTTAGCTATCTCAGCAGGGCACCTTAGAGCACACATATGTGTTCCCTGTGATTTTTGATGGCTTTAATTTGTAATGCAGTCTTTCCCAGTGTTTATTGCACATCCTACACCTCTGCTTTTGTCTTTAATGTAGAAAACGGATATCAGGTATCTGATTGAAAGTAGTCTACATACCCATGCACAACTTACCCATACATAACATTGAGGCATATTGTGAAATTCAGAAAGATTGTTGCAGATGCCTGGGCCTAGTTACAGTTGCCAGGCTATCACTGAACAAACAATATTTAAGTGAGGGGTCCAGAAAAGCCTCAATATAGTACAATTTAAATGATTAATTCAGAATCAGAATCACTTTATTTTGCCAAATATGTTAAATATGTTACACATACACATCAACACAACAATGACTTCATTCATAAAAAAACCCTTTAAAGATTAAAGTAACAGAATTACCATTGGATACCACTACTGAACCAGGTAATGATTAACCAATTTGTTCATAATTATCAGTATTACTCCTATCTTATATAAGTTTAATAATAATAATACATAACCCTTTATTAATCCCACAACAGGGAAATTCACCTCCACATTTAACCCACCTGTGCAGTGAAGGCACACACACTAGGGGGCAGTGAGCACACTTGCCCAGAGCAGTGGGCAGCCCTATCCACAGTGCCCAAGGAGCTGTTGGGGGTTAGGTGCCTTTTGCTCAAGGGCACTTCAGTCATGTCCTGTCAGCCCAGGGAATCGAACCAGCAACCTTCCGGTCACAGGGCTGGGTCCCTAACCTCCAGCCCACGACTGCATTCATATGTGAATACTTAACTGGAAATGATCATCAGAGTAATAATACACCATCTTAGAAATGTCTGAATCAGATGCAATTTAAATTCAAACACAAACTGGTCTGAGTGTGTGGGTATAGACCTTGAGGCTGAAATCTCACTCTGCAAAAAACAGGGCCACAGTCAGTGGTTGTTGGCTTAGCAAGCATCTCTGAATTCACAATGCATTACAAATCGTGGCAGTTTCAATGCACTGCTACAAGATTTCTTTTAAAAAAAAATACATAATTAATAACCTGTCAAATAATAACCTAAGATGTATCAGATGTTTCCCACAAAAGTATTACTAAAACAGTGATATTCTCTTAAAAGACTGCTTGAAGAGTAGTCTTACAGATGGATTTGATATAAACCAATACATTATTAGTAAAACAGTAATAAAGATTCTCTTAAAAGACTGCTTGAAGACTACTGTCTTACAGAAGGACCTAATATAAACCAATACATTAAAGTGCCTGAAATTGTATGTAGTTATACCACATGATTGAACTGCAAAATTTGTCATGGTACTGGCAATTATGCATGGCATCAGTATGTCCGGTTTTCTCTGTTTCCATTGTGATCCTGCTGAATGACTGCTGAGCTCCAGTCCAGCTTTGTGAGCAGCTCACTGGAATCTGGTCGGTCCTCAGGTTTGTCACACAGCATTTGTTTGATTAGCTTGTGCTGTTTAACAAATCAGAATAACATGGACAGTCTTTTATTAAGTTGCAGTTACACTCAACTTTGGCAGTTTCCATTGTTCATTTGACTGTGTGTGCGCATACATCTTATTTTGAAAAAAGTAGTTAGTATGTACTTTGAAGAGCAAAGATTAGTTCAAGATTTCTCCTGGACACTTCCAGCTATTGTATGTTAAATGTCATCACCAACACTAACATAATGAAGTACTGATTAGCCAAACGAGGTATTGGAGGATAACCACAAGTAATACTGGACAAACACACAGACATCCATAGAATCACTACTCTTTGTATAAATGTCATTTGCATTTACTTTACTACTGTAAAATATACATATATATACACACACACACACATACATACACACACACACACACACACACACACACACACACACATATATATATATATATATATATATATATATATATATATATATATCCACATGTTTGTATGTGTATGTGTGTGTGTGTGTGTGTGTGTGTGTGTACCACATGTAATAACCAAATCTATCTGTAAACATACATTGCTGTGCAAAGGTTTAATTATATTTATCTATCTGCATGTATATTTTAGAATATTGAAATAAACATATATATACATATATATACATACATATAATATATACATATATATATTAGGGGTGGGAATCTCTAGGCACCTCACAATTCGATTCGATTACGATTCAGAGGGCTGCGATGCGATTATAAAACGATCATCGATGCATCTTGATGCATCTTTTTTTTCTATACATGATTTCTATTTTCTTACTGTCTGAGGACTTTGCAGTTTTAAAACAAAGTATTTGTAATGATCCATAATGCATTTACATCCAATATCTTTTATTAATAAAACAAATGGAAGTAATGTGGTAAGTGAACTGGAAGGCTCTCATTCACTGTTCTTGTTTGGAGACGCTGCTGCCACTCATCTGAGATAAAATGCGCTGTTACGGTGAAATAAGATAAGTGGTAATGGATGACCACGCAGCACATTATATATTCGTTAGGGATTTCATTACTTCGGTTTTGGTTTCGTGATGGTGGGGGTGCGAAAAACTGCAGGTCACCTAGCAACGAGGTTTCGCCTGGCTAGTAGCGAACGAAAAAGGAAAAGAGAAAGACAGACGAACATTTGGAGACGAATGGACTTATTCGCATTTATAAGCAGCGCAGTTGGTTTCCTGGTTCGTTAAATCTGCAACGAGAGACTGTCACACATTAACTAAAAGATGCGAAGCTGCGAAGATGAAGTCGCTTCTCTAATTTTCCCGTTCCACCTTAAATGGTGCCGCTTTTACATTCGGCGCCTCAGTCAGAATTTAAGGTGGAACCGGAAAGTTCAGCAAGAAGCTGGCGAATGAGAAGTGACTTCAGCCTCGTAAAACAGCGGAAAGCTGAGAGACATTTTACAAGAAACTATTCAATTTTTGAACAGTTGAAGAGTTGGAAGAAAAGCGGCTATAGCTAAAGCTTAAAGCAGAGCGAAGTAAATCTGCGTTTTCGTTTATATTTTTAGCCCATTTTTAGCATATTATCACATACTGGACATAAATGTTGTGGCTCCCAAGGTGGTTTGATTTTTGCTGAAAGGACAAAATGTCTCTTCTTAACATTTGGGTTGTGACTCCTGATCTAACCTGGCTTTTAATGCAGAGGGAGCCGGTCGGATTTCTCGCTCATCCGGTTGTGTTTTTATTTATTTATTCATTTATGAATCGATTCAGAATCGTCCACGTCTGCATCGCGATGCATCTAAGAATCGATTTTTTCCCGCACCCCTAATATATATATATGTTTATATATATATATATATATATATATATATATATATATATATATTCTCTCTCTCTCTCTCTCTATATGTATATATATACATATATATATATATATATATATATATATATATATATATATATAGATAGATAGATATATAATATATAGTAAAAGAGCAGTATTCTAAGCTTATTTCATGAGTTGTATATATTCTAAAGCACAGAATAAAAAACTTAAATGAGATAATTGAAAAAGAACACTGATCAAATTTAGAGAACACTTTCAGATACCTTTAAGTTATTGGTGTTAATCTGGCACCTGGTGCTAATTTCCTTAATTATCTGACAAACCCTATTTAACTGGCAGCCTAACTTTACAGTTTTCACTGACTTTGCAAGATAGTGAGCCGTTCCAAAGTGACTGAAACCCTCCGGCAGCAGGTTGTCCAGATGAAGGCCAAAGGGGTGACCCTATCAGCCAAAGCAAGAGAAGTTGGTCGTTCCAAGTCTGTGATTTCTAGAGTATTGCATCTTTACAACATCACAAACTCATTCAAGTCCCCCAAGAAGGCTGGTCGCCCACGAAAGACAAATGCAAGAGAGGACAGGATAATGCAGAGAATCTCCATAGGTAATCGGTTCAACACTGCAGCTGAGGAGCATGCTGAGGAGCATGTTGTGTGGTCAGAGGAGAAGTGGTCCAAAGTTCACTTTAGTGATGAAAGCAAGTTTAATTTATTTGGGTCTGATGGGAAACATTATGTTCGTCAACAAACTGGGGAAAGACTGAACCCAAAGTGTGTAAAGAAGTCAGTGAAAGGTGGAGGAGGAAGTGTCATGGTTTGAGGAATGTTTTCGGCAGCAGGAGTTGGACGTCTCATACAGCTACATGGCAGAGTGAATGCAAGTGTGTATCAGAACCTTCTTCAACAACACATGGTTCCTTCCTTGCGTTCATCACTCAATCAGCCAGCAATTTTCATGCAGGACAATGCCCCCTGTCACACAGCAAAATGGGTAAAGCAGTTCCTTGAAACTGAAAACACTGAAACAATGAAATGGCCAGCCCAGAGTCCTGATCTAAACCCAATAGAAAACCTCTGGAAAATCCTTAGTGACAAAGTTAGGGCCAAGAAACCCACAACAGTCACCTAACTGTGGAAGAGACTGCAAGAAGAGTGGACCAAAACCACACCAGAGCAGTGTGAGAGACTAGTGATGTCCTGTGGCCGCAGATGTGCTGAAGTCATTCAAAGCAACGGCCTGTACACTTCCTACTGATTGGTGACTGTTGTAACCATCAGGAAATTTAGTTGTAATCTTTCTCTGTGCTACAGTCATTGCTGTTGTCTAATTTTGATCATTGTGTTTTCTGCAAAATAAAGGTTTTACGTTGAAGTACCTTGGTTATTTTGTAAAACACTGTTCTAATGGCATGGTATACCCCTCCAGTGTATATATATATATATATATATGTATGTGTGTGTGTGTGCGCATATAAGGAGTGTTACTGTTACATAGTTAATACATAATACACCTTGTCTATATTTTCATTGTATCACTATGTTTCATTGCTTCTGTTCTTATTATACTACTAATAATAATAAACATCATCGTTCAAATAAGGTATTAAGTACATTTGAAAACCATCTGCAAAGACAAAGGTACACTCACCTCAAATTCAAACTTCTCACTGAAACCTTTTGGAAGCTTCTTACTTCTTATATCATCCCAGATCTAAAAAATTGACATGTTAATTTATATTTAGTTAATTCATGCAATATATTTTAGATGAATTTTTATAAATAGAGCGCTATAATTTCACCAACCTTTTGTTTTTCAAACTTTGTTCCAAGATTCCAAAGCAGCTCAAAGTAAATAAGGCCCAGAGCAAAAATATCCACCTTTTTGTCATATGAGCACTGACTTCTCTAAATCACATAAAAAAAAGTTAGTAAGTGGATGCAGCATGATTCTTTGTTTTCGTCTTCACCAACCAACTTTAACTTGAACATACAACATGGAGTTAATTTAGTCAAAAGTGTTAAATAAACTAATAAAACCACAAGAACATCATGAATTATCAAAATTGAAAAAAGCTGCAAATACAAATAATAAGAATCAAACCAAAAGACCAAAAATATCTTTACTAGGGATGTCCACAAGTGCGTTGACTGTTTTGGTACAGGAAGATGGAGAAAATAGAGGCTAACAATTTACGGAAATGTTTTTTAAAAATTATGTTTTAAGAAGATTGTAAAATATGCCAGGTTTGCTACTACAAAAGAACATAGCTGCACTGCCAGCTCAGATGGCTTCAGCATACAGATGGCTCTTGACCACAACTCTAATGCAACTTTTTCTAGGTGATGTTAGCTAGGTCCAGACGCAGCAAAAACATATTTATTGGACAAAATAACATGTTGGTACATCATGCATTGAGGAGAAAAGATTTTGTGTAGAAGAGGATGAGCCCTCATCAGCATCTAACGTTGTACAGCCCTATGTTCAATTCTGGCCGAAATCCCTTTTTTCTTCTTTTTGTTGCTTCTTTTGCCTTCTCTGCATTTAACTGAATATCCATCCATTAACACTTACGGACACTTAAATATCAAAATTAATGAAATGCACACCCCAGCTCTTTACTGCTTATTTTCTTTTCATGTGTCACACTATGTCACTGCAGGAAACAGTAATCAAATTACTGTAATGCCTTGCTTTGTACCACGTTATCCCAACACAGGCCCTGAGTTCCATAGAAAAGAGAGGAAATTTCTACTAACTGCTGCCAGCTACAAGGTGCTACCACTGCCACATGATCTTTTATTAACAAAAAATACCGATTGTAGGCACTTAAAATCCATGTATTGATTGTAGTGATTAAGATTAAAGACAAAAATAGTTGCTTATTTTTGATCACTACAAAAGGAAATAAAATCGGCTTGTTATGGCTCTTTAGACTTTTCTAAATGCTACGAGAGAGTGTCCCAACCTCAGATAAACAGGTCAGACTTGATTCCATTCAGGAACTGCTTGACTCAAACGTGTATTATGTTAATAATTTAAATGATATAATGGAAAATACACAATACTGAGACAATGTGTTCCACCATGTTGGGAGATTTTTCATGGGTCATGGAGTGTACATGGCTAAGTATAAGTCCCTCCAAAATCAGTTGACCAATGGACACTTCAGATGAATGCCTTCTTCTAAGACCCACTCACCCATAAAATGTGTCAAAACATAAAACAAAAGCAAAAGAACATATTGCAAAATAAATAAAAAAATAATAAAGCAAAGATCGGCAAAATGCTACCGAAGTTCAGTAGTATAATTTAGTAATTAAATTTGATTTCATTCTCTGTATTTGCAAAGTACTTTTTTACATTTTGATACTTAATATGCTTACTATACTAATTTTATCACTATTATTATGATATGATATAACATACATAGAAATTCACAGTGAATGATTGACCCACCTGCTCTGGACTCATGTAAGAACGGGTTCCTGTACGCTTTGTCCGTTCCAGTAGACCTTCATCATTGTCTCCCTCTGCTGCTGTAGCGAGACCAAAGTCTCCTACCTTCACTGCTCCCTCATTGCCAAACATTATGTTTGCCGGCTGATTTAAATGAATGAATACCTTATGAGTCATATTTGAAGTAAGAACAGCAACAGTAGTATAAATCACAGTTAGTATAAAAAAATTCTGTTAATTTCTTACATGAATATCCTTTCCTACTTCAGCCACATAACACAGTGACAATACAATTTGCAGACAAAGTTATATTGTGTATATTGAAGCTAGCGAGTGTGGTACCTTCAGGTCCCTGTGAATGATGTGCTTGGAATGGATATATTTCACTGCTTCCAGGACCTGTTTCATGATCTGTAATGCGTCTTGCCTTCGTTCTAGCTGTTTTTCAGGGTGAGAGTTTCTTCCATCAATCCACACATGTAGAGTTTTCCCCTCACAAAATTCCATCTGAATATAGAGGTACTCAGATGCTGAACCACTGCTAGAACTTAAAAGAGTGAACAAGTCATAGGCATTAATAATATCATTTGCATTTTATACAGATTTTAATCATTTGCTGTACTCTGAAACCTTTTTACATATTTGACTTATGTATATACTTGTTGTGCTGTCTCTTCAGGAAGTCTACATGCACACTAATAAAAGCAAGAAGCTAAAACTAAAATGTCTGCTCTGTTCATATCTGGCCTTTTGTGCTTTAGTTAACAGAATAAAAATACTTGCTAGCAAGGTGCTCCAGAGAGCACCTATGAGCCGCTGCCACTGCCGCCAGCACCACTGAGAGCACCTCTGATCCAGCATTGACAGCGCCACCTGGTGCTCAGAGCACTACTGAGCTGCTGCCAGCGTCAACAGAGCCACTGTGCACTCCGGAGAGCGCACATGAACTGTCCCCAGTTTCTACAGCGTCTTTAGACCAGCCTGTGACTGCGCTCAGCACACGCTGACCCCACCTCTCTTATGCCGCCTCCTTGGTGTTGGCCAAGTCACCAGATCACACCTAAACTTTGACTCCAGTGGCTGGTCACTAAAGGGCAGGGGATGGCATCGGAGAGGCAAAGCCACCATGAATGCACCTACACAAACATGCAAGCTGCTTCTTTCCATGATCCGACACAGCCGAGGTGAATCAAGTGAGGAGCAAAGACTCTTTAAAAACAGGCTCTTTCTAGAGAGCAGAGAGAGGATACTAGCCTCCTGGACACACATGCCAGAGAGAGGAAAAAGGGACTGAAAAGATCCCAAAGGACTTTTTATAGAAAAGGCTAAGTAAGAAGCCTAGTTTCATGTGAGCTGGTTGCACTTTAAATGTGTAAATAAAGCACTCTGGTTGATTTAGGCTGGGGTTTGTGTGCGTGTCTCTGAGCCTCGGGGCGTTTCCTAGTCTGTGTGCACTGGCCCTTCCCCAGGCCAGTGCTACAGTGCATATAATCAAGCATACAGCCATGCAATCTCTACAGACATAGAAGACATATAACCATTTGCAGCAACGGGTTGTATTGAAGAACTCATGACATCCACTCTGCTTGTTATGTAATACCTGCACAAAAAGTAATAACTATGCCTAAACACTAAGGTTATAAAAATGTAATGTAATCAACTGCTGATAATGTACTGTTAAATTGTGATTATTTTCTGTAATTTAACTTCCAAGCCTATTTTGTAGTCCATATAGTATCAGACATCTATCACGCATAGCTCCAAAGATACATCTATTATATGAAAAGAAAGTTGCAGTTTTGGTGCAGTTGCTAATATTGCTAGACGTTTAAACAACCAAAATCAAACATTAAAACTAATGTTATTCAAGTCAATTCATTTTAGAACCATTGGCCAACTGTGCTTGCACTCAGAGGAATTAGACCTCTGCATTTAACCCATCCGTGCAGTGAAACACCCACATACATGCACACTAGTAAATACACACACTAGGGGGCAGTAAGCACACTTGCCCGGAGTGGTGGGCAGCCCTATCCACTGCGCCCAGGGAGCAGTTGGGGGTTAGGTGCCTTGCTCAAGGGTACTTCAGTCACGTCCTTGTCGGCTCAGGGGATTGAACCAGCGACCTTCCAGTCACAAGGCTGGTTCCCTAACCTCCAGCCCATGACTGGAATGAATAAATCAACGGGAAAAATAAACTAAAATACAAAAATTAGATACATTTTAGAATTTGCAGTTTCACCTGAGATTTCTTTAGATGCGCCGATGAACTCTGCTTTCACAAGCTCCCACTGCACTGTCACACTCTATGATCACAAATTACACTCCCTCCTCTGAGTGGATCAGAGACGCAGGTAAACATTTACAGTGTATGCAGCCTCAGCATGGAAGAGGGGAGGAGATATCCCAGAACATTTTCCTCTAGTAAAAAGGTCAACAAAAAACTTAGATCGCACCTTGAAGGTTTGGATGAAGAAACAGTCCAAAACCATATAATGCCATGCATAGGAACAGAGGTTTTATTTTATAACAACCAACTTGGCAGACTGCTTAGAAACGATTCCAGAAATATTCAGAGTTAGGTTTTAAGTTGAAATGTTTACTAAAAGATTCACTGTAAAACTGGAACAAAAAATGTAACAATTAGTGATGTGCATTCAACTAATTTTGATATTTGAAGTATCTGTAAGAGTTCATAAATGGACATTAGGTTAACTGCAAGGAAGGAAAAATAGAGCAAAAAAGGACTTTGGCTATAAATGTAGGACTGTAGACTAGGGTAACCAGACATCCCCACTTTCCTGGGGACTGTCCACATTTTTGGTGGCCTGCCCACGGCTGGAGATGTCCCCAGAAATGTGCATGTTTTTAACTATGAATTAAAAGCACACTGGAAAGTGGTAAGAAAGACCTCCAGCAAAGCGGACTTGCAGACTTCTCGTGTTGTGCTTGTTTTGGCCAGCAGAGGGGGCTGGCCGCTGCTATTTACTGACCACTTCTACCACTTGCTTTTTCAACCAGAAGCTAGCAAGTGTCAGGTAAGTCCACAACACCACCACAAACCTCTACTTCTATATCTGCATCTACTAGACATGAGGACAATGCAAGCAGTGTTGGAGTTACAGGACTTGAATAGTACTACCAGGTGATAGCTAAGCTATGTGATTTGTTGAGGCATACAGTCTACTTGAAAGTAGCTACCATGTGTTCTAAAAATATTTTTTAAAACTGCACCGCTTTTTCAGCCATCCATATATAACATACAGCATACGTTAAAAGCAGCCGCCTCTGTTTCTCCAGAACTGGAGCCAGCCCAGCGGTGTGCTTAGGGTCTGGCTATTGGGCTATAGCCAAGAGTCTTTATGTCTGTAGGCAAGGGTCTCTTTTTGCTGCCAAAATATTTAATATGAATTTTGAATTAAGGCCTCATACAACCACTGAATCTTTACGAAGTTATTTAGTATCAAATTTTATCAGTCGGTCGTCACCATAGTTTATTACAGTACAACAGTTACTATGGTCAAAATACATTAAACTGGAACCGTCTCACCTTTTTATTTCATAGATGAAAACACTGGATATTTAATAATATATTGACTGCCAAACTGGAAATGTTCCTAGTTTTCATTTCAGAAATCTGGTCACCTTACTGTAAGCTTAGCTTTTAAGAGTTAGGTTTTACGTTGAAATGTTCACTGAAAGATTCACTGTAAAACTGAAAAAAAAAAAATTAGGGATGTGCATTCAACTAATTTTGATATTTGAATATCTGTAAGCGTTCATAAATGGATATTTCGTTAACTACAAGGAAGGAAAAACAAAGCAAAAAAAGGACTTCAGCTAAAAACGTAGGGCTGTAGGCTAGGGTGACAAAACGTCCCCATTTTCCAGGGACTGTTCCCGTTTTTGGTGGCCTTCCGATGGCTGAAGCTGTCGCCGGAAATGTCCCTAGTTTTCATTTCAGAAATCTTACTGTTAGCTTACCTTTAAGGGTGGTAGCACTGGTGTTGCACAAAATTCAGCAGCACGCAGTGGAACCTGTTTTATTATTCAAAAACAGCAAAAGGACATCAGTAGGTTTTTGTGTTGGTTGAGTAACGGAGGCTTCAGATAAGCTAACAAGTGTCCTGATGGAATCTGATGATGTCTCTCCATCTTCTACAAAAGGTCATTTCTTCTCAGTGGACAATGTGCAAACGTTATTTGTCAGAGAAATATAGTTTCATTGTTTCTGGATCTAGTTAACATCAGCTACAGTAGTTAGCCTGATTATACAGCTGTCTTCTCAGCCATGTCCTTAACAACATGTCTGTGGCAACCAACATGTCAACCAAATATTCTAGTACCCATGCACATCCCTAGTAAAAATATGTAACTTTAATTTCTTTTAAAAGCTTCAAATAAGTATGTAGGCTGACGCTGTGTGGTATTAAACCATTAGCTTGGTGCTAATTTAACATGGAAAAAGCCATTATGGAGCTAGTTAAATCAGCACTGTCTGGTGGATAAACACTGGTGGACAAAGGACTATCTGGGGTTAAATGCTATTTATAAGTATGAGAGATGAGTATGAGAGATGAAGTAATAATACATCGCAGCGTCCAGAGTAAAACAGCTGAATATCTCTCGAAGTATAATGCAAAATGTAATTGAAATTTGTTTAGAGGGCTGGACAACTGACTGAAATTTTTTAATACTCTATATGTAATGTGATGAGCAGTAAGTAGCATATAATGTAATCTGGATGAGTGTTGTCAGCAGTTTATTACACAAATTTATAGATACCAGGAGAATGCTGCTTGCCTGTACACACAGTGCTAGAGCACACAATGACATTTTAGAGAATTCCAACTTTGTGGGAACAGCTGGCCTGCACAAAGTCCTGACCTCAACCCCACCTTTGGAGTGAACTGTAATGGTGAAGGTGAGCCAACGAGCCCATGAGCCTTGTCAGCCAACATCAGTGGCTGACCTCACCGATACTCCTCTGGTTGCAACGATATGAATATTTCATGACATGGTACGTATTGCTGTTTTTTCATCATGATACAATCTTGTAGTGTTCAACACTATTAAAAGAGACACAGCTTTCACACAAATCGTGGTGCTTTATGTTCCAACTGTTGTTGGACACAGCTACTGCATACATACGCAGAACTTTCTAACAGGTCATTCTCTAAACCCAGCTCAATAAGAGTCCTTAGCAAAATGAACCAAGTGCAATAAAGGCTAGAGAACACTTAACACCATGTTAATCTCCACGTTTTGAAAAGAGATGTTTAACAAGCACAAATGGATGTGATATTAAGGTGGTGACATACTTTTGTCCATGTAACATATTAGTGTTTTTGAACTAATCAATGTTTTGTTCTTCATTACAGCACATTCCATATTAAGTGAGTGCTTATGAATGTGTAAATGAGGATTGGTGTGCAATGAATTACTTTGAGATGCTGAAGCTCTCTGAGGATTCAGATCTGTAAGCAGTCTCCTCAGTCCATGATGTGTAGTAACGCACTATGTTAGGGTGTGCAAGATCTGCCAAAGCTTCCACCTCTCGGACAGATTTGCTAAGGAATTTAAGTGCATACATACAATTATTTAGAATAAACCAAATATATCAAATATGGGGAGTACAGTGCATATTATGATACAAATGAAACTACAAGATAATAATAGTGGAATTATTTACTCATTTACTTACCCTGTCCGCTTCACTATCTTAACAGCATAATACTTTTTCTCAAGTTTTTTTCTGGCCTTGAAAACACAACCAAAGCCTCCTGTGCCGATTGGGCTTATTAACTCAAAATCTTCTAAAAACCTACAACAACAGAATCATGTTCTAAGATAAGGTTTTTGAAATACAGCTATACAGGCTATACAGCTATAATATTTCTTAGCTACTGTTATTCAATACAACAAAATGTTATTCAGAATTATCTAACATGCATGTATTTGTTGCACCGCAAGACTACTAGTTCACCACTAATATCAATTCATAAACCATTCCTTTCTAGATCTTGTACAATTTCATGCAGATCTAAGTCCTAAATTACACACACGGTACCATGTGACAGTAGATATTGTTAAACTGGCAGTAAAGATAAAAAAAAAAAATCAGTTATTTATGGTCTAAGAGGGGCTTGGGCATAACAAGTAGAGTTTAAAGCCCAATGATCAAGTCTAACCCAGTCTTCATTTTCATTAAATTGCTATCATACCAAATCACATGTTTGTGTTTTAGTTAAATACTCAAATAAAATAAATAAATAAAAAAGTCAAATGTCTCTTTTGTCTGTAATATGAGACATTAATACAAAGTTGTAAAAAAATGACTTGATGTTCTAAGTTAATTAAACTTCTAACAGTAAGTTACTAGAACAATAACCTATGTTTCACATTCCATTAACTTATTATCTGAAGATCAATATACTCAAAGAGTATGATTTTTTACCATGAATATTAACAATCGATCAAAACAACCACCAACCTGAAATTTCAATAACCCTAAAAATTATTAGGTCATTGTGCCACACTTAAAAATGTTCCAGGTTCACTGTGATGGGACACAAAATGTCACACAAAGTGGCAGTTATTTTAAATAGATCATTCCAGCAGTGTAAGTTTCTTTTTGGCAAAAAAGGCTGCTTTTTTGTTTCAGATTGTTATCATTTGAGCAGCTTATCTGCAGACATCTGCGTATTCACATCCAAAATATCTTTGTAGCTACACTATTGCAGGGTTCAACATTAAGGATTGCCGCATGCCTGGGGTAAGTTCATTACTGATAGCAGGGTTGACAACCACTTGTTGGCAAGGTGACATTCAACAACAGGCACTTTGGCAGTGATTAGCTTTTATACGAAAACTCTAGTTTAATCCAGTTTAACTCTAGTTTAATCTGTTCGATTCCAAAAAATGTGGAGTTCACTCCAATTCCGATTCCAAGTGACAGGAATCGATGGAGTTCATTCCAATAGTCGATTCCATACAACAATTTTTATTCCAACAATCATAAAGAAGAACATCTGGTGAGTGCAATTCAATGTTAATTATATTTATCATTATCTAGGAAATCTGGAGACTTAATGCTTGCTAAATTAACTTCAATAATGGGGGGTGTTGTACCATGATTTTGGCACAGGCAATGTTGTTCAATTTTTCTTCACTAATATTTTATGATATTATATTAATAGAATATTACTATGTTTTCCATTCCATTAAAAGTAAAATACAGCTGCACTATCGAGTTGTAAAGGGATTTATTTTTCAGACAAGCTAGTGAATGACTAGTGTGCACACAGGAGAGGGCAAATTTGAACATAGGGCCGGGCAATTTCACAATATTCATCATTATTACGATAAATGTCACAATCTGTCACAGTGTGCTTTTCTGAGGATTTTGTGGATATTGTCAGTACTTAAGAACACTTTCCAACTGCATGTTTTATTGCAAAGAGAACATAATTAGTTTGGTTTTATTGGATTTAGTGCAGCATAGTATGTGAAATTTTGAATATAAATTGTTGCATTTAGAGTTTTTGACAGAACTTTTTAAAATGTGGCACTACTTTGTCTTTTCCCATTTATTAGTTGTCAGACAAATATTTATTGTGATATATCGTATGTCATAAAAAACAAGTACAGTGACATTACATTTTTTCTGAACTGAACCTCAACATCAGTTTGTAGAATCAAGTCTATAGCTTTGGAGTTGACTCTCATTTCCCAAATGTCTGGAATTGTGGAATCAACTCTTTTTGGGATCGACTCCCAGCCCTACGAGGTAAGAAATTCCCATTTCATTACAGAACACACAGGAGATGCACAGTTTGACAGGAATAGAATAGCATCGTCAGTATCAGTTTAAACTGATGGAATGCATTTACAGTAATACTTGAGTGTGTCCCCCATCTAATAATAGTAAAAGCAACTAAAGAAGATCTTTTTGAAAATAAAAGTCACAAGCATACAGATAAATTCTGTTTTGTAATGGCATGACTTTTTGCACCAAAGACTAAGAGTACATATACACAATACATATAATAATAATAATAATAATAATACTAAGAAGAAGAAGAATATATTTTATTTTCAGAATAAATTAACTGTACTAAACAGATTTGTGTATGTATGCTTATTTGTATTTAAAAAATGTCTTTAAAAAGTAAATATTTGTTTGGGACAGTACAAACTCTGTTTGGGAACAGTGAACTTTAAGTCCACTTGCCTGATTGGGCAAATTGGGAAAATAAATAATGTTGAATCCTGCACTGTAGCCATACAAGAAGTGGTTAATTTCTCCACAACCTTGCCTTTTGTGGGTTTGTTCCTAGGCCTCTCTTGTTGCGGGTGGGCATGTGCACTTTCTGTCTTCTGATAAGAAAATGTAATACACATGTACCACCATTTTGTTTAAAATATGAACTGCAGTACAAGTTTAGAAGTGTATTCATTTCTCTTCCATTTTTGTGCAATACTATTAGTAAAACAAACGAAAAGTGGGTAAAAACAAAAAACTGAAAGAGGTGTGACTGGGAACCTCAGAACCTTCATTAAAGTTTCCTCATGTTTAAATGGTTAAAATGTCCACATATTTTTTGGGGCCACGGTTTATTTTAAATTTATTTGCAAATAGAACACAACCACACAAAATGTCACTGACTGCTCTAACAAAGGACCGCATTTAGATTAATTTACCTTGATTTTGCAGATGAGTTAGAGGCTGTAGTTCCCTTTTTTGAAGGTTGTGTCAGGCTGTGGTCATTCATACTGGGTGTTTCCTTTGGCAATTAGGAGGGGAGATATAATATATATACAGTAATACAACTAAGTGAATTATACCAAATTTTCCTATTAAACTGAATGGATATGAGGTTCTGCTTTACTTACTAAAAACTTTAAAGCAGTAAAATACTTGCTACATTAAAATATTTAATGGATGTTTTTCATACGACTTAATACCTCTTCATTTCTGTTCGGTGAAACTTGGAAATTTGCCGCCAATCTAAAAGAGGATGTAAAACAAAACTAGTTAAAGAGAACAATCAACTGCAAAAATGAATACATTGTTTTGGTAAACTAAAGATATTAAGATATTAAAGAATTAAAATAGAAAAGTTTGCATACAAACAAGTTCTTACTTTATTTTTGGCTTAATGTCCGAGGGGCTTGGTTTAGGTGCCTACAATCATCAGCATACTAAAATATTAACACTACATAATTGCTTATTTCTAGTAAAGAAACACATTACTTGACCAAAAGTACTGGGACATGCAGTTTGGTGTAAATATGGTTTTACTGCAGTTCCTTGTAGTTCCCCTGGCCTTAATGATTGCTTTAATGTTTTGTTCTCAATCAATCATTGATAACATGAAAGTGGATAGCCTTTTCTTGCTCTAATGAGTTTGTTGATTGATAACAGCCTTTGAATGCACCCTAAATGTGCAGGGATAAAGGCTTTTGGGTCATCCCAGGCTGGCAATCCTCATGCTGCCTTCAACTTGCCTTGGAAGTGGGAAGCCAAAGCTTGGAATTGCATCAACTGGCAACAAGTTAGCCAACATTATGGACATGAGTGATAACTTTAATGTTTATGAAGTATTTACCTTCTCAAAACAGCAAACTTTATGGTCAATGTCATAGACCACTACTGTCTTTAGGAAATGTGAGTGACAGACTGGAGCATCTTGATTTTGTGTATATAAAGGGGCATGTTACCTTTTCATGCCAAAATCCAGTTAAGTTTAAATTTCAGTTCAAATTCAAAATTGAATACTCCTTGGGCAATATTTCTCAATATTCTGTTAAATAAAGGAAAGTTTTGGTATTTTTCTTTTTTTAACCAGTATGTCCCATCACTTTTGGTAGCATACACAGTCATCATACTTTGTATTTTTGATTACATTTCTAAAGTACTTACAGGGCTATTGGTCTTTGTCATAGGGACAGATGAGTTTTTGAAGACAACAGAGTCACTTGTACTCTGACTTTTAGCCTTTAATGAACCTTCATCATCTTTAGACTCACTACATCAAGAAAACAGTGACACAACAACTGTTAAACAGAAATAATTCATGTGAATATCACTGAATTCATAGGACAACAGTTTTGATTCAAACTTACTTCACAGAGATTTGTGATGGGGTCTCATCTTCAGAAACAGATGACATAAATGAACTCTGTTAAAATGTTAAAAACAATTGTATGAATAACATGCATTGTGGAAGTTCAACCTCATTTCAAAATGAAAATAAAGGTAATTTTGTAGCGTGTTTACAAGTGTTTATAATTACCTGACTGTTCCAATCAGATTGTTCACGAAGCACACTCAAAGCTAGCTGGGCTGCATTCTGTTTTGCCTCTTTTGCAGTCTTCCCTTGTCCTTCAGAGTATTCTGTTTTATTTATAACAACCTTGTACACAAATCTGGAAGACAAAATTGAGCCATACTAAATATATTTAATGAATATAACACTCTGAAACTGAAGCAACCTGATCACAGCGCACCTTTCACTAAACCCCACCCAAAAATATTTAGTGTTCAATCATAGCTCACCAACAGTAACTAGGGCCAAGCACAACTGCTCTTTTAGAATTTAACTTAATGGAGTAACAGTGTGCAGGGTATTTTGTAAATCAAATGCCCAATAGTCAGGCCTAAACCTGAAGACACAAGAAGAGACCACATTACCACATTACCAATTAAATTAGGGTTGCACCAATACAGATATCGTATCACTGATACTGGTACTTAAATCTAGGAATGGTAATGGTAATAGAAAATATAACATAGCCTTTAGCTAAGGTTTAGCCCTTAGCATAGGAGCCTGCTACCTGGGCTAGTGTGTCTACTAGCCTACAGTGTGCCTCTGTCGGTCAGCTGCATCAGATAGCAGCATGGTCTAGTGGCCTGTTGCTCCCATCAATTCAAGAAATTCTTAGCTCAGCAGCTGCTACTGATTGCATGAATGATTGTAACATTTACTGAACTCCAGCAGAGTCTGATACTCTGAAATGTAAGCACAAGTGTATGGGATGCATGTATTAGACAATGACTTGAGAAATTCAGACATGAAACAACATTTAGCACCACCTTTGGTGAGCCAGAGAAGTTGCTAGGTGCTTACCTGTACACACCACAGGTTTATCTACATATCCTTTTTTTCTGTTTTACTATTTTGCACAATAAAAACATGAGAAAATGTAATTAGTTCATTAACGTGGTTCCTATTATTAAATATGATTCCTTTTACAAGATATTGTAAATAAACAAAAATCATTTTTAAAGGTTTTTACTGAGGCATCACCAGAGATTTATGGATTAGTAAGAGGTCTGGCAGAATTCTTCTCCAGGAGGATGTTTTTTTAATAGCACCATGATGAACACACATTTTGGTGCTATTACAAAACAACCTCCTGGAGAAGCACACCACTAGACCCTCTTTATCAATTTGGTCAAGTTGGTACACAGAAGATCTGATTCTTCATAGGGTATTAAACACAAATCTTTCACGACTAAAATACTACGACTAAATATCTGTCCACCCACACAGATCAGAGATCAAACAAAAGTATTAAAGTCAAGCAATACTATCTCTTCTCTCTCTTAGATAAGCTGCAGGTTCTAAACATGTTATTCAAAAACACAGATCGGTACGGATACGGATCAGTATCTCAGTTTGGGCAGTCAGGTAGAGTGTGATTTTGTTCTGTAGTTGCACTTTCATGTTTAATAGTCTATAATTTTTGACAGCACAAAAATTACATTATCTCAATTTTTTTTTATAAATATTAAGGGAATGACATTTCTACAAATTCAGTATCAATTTTATCTCGACGCTTAAACCACACTCACTCACCTTCTCCTCAATCACTAACCTTTATCTTACCCGCTTCTTCAGCTTAGTCAGTCTCCTTCAGCTTCATTCCCTCCCTCACTTTGTCTGTTTAGTAAGGTGTTTTTTTTATTAAACTAATTTTTTATTAACTGAGCCAGTTAACCTTTTCCCCAGTGCTAACCAGCAGTGAAAATAGTTAAATTTGATAGCATTAGTATCAGTATTGGGAGATACTTAAGGATCAGGTATTGGAAGAGAAAAAGTGGCATCGGCGCATCTCTAATTTAAACCTGTCAAAAATCACATGGAACAGTCACATCTGCTCCAAGGTATGTATGGCAAAGTTAGCTACCTCACTGTCAGCTAACACTATGCAAGACTTCACCTGAATATTCAAATTCCTAATAGATAATCTGATGCATGAGTCTTTTTACTTTTTGAGACTTGTAAGCTTTAACCTCTATCTTTATTAGAGAAGGCACTGACCTGATACCACGTATTGCTCAATCAGATTATGGAGGGAAAAAAGAATGACTGCAATCCAATCCTGTCACAAATCAAGTCTAAATTAATAACACCCACTTTGCTTACTTTTTGTCGACTTGTCTTTCTGGGAAATCAGTGTTGACCATTGGTCTTCATCAGCATGAGCACCACAAGCAGTACTTAGCTATCTTAAAATATTGTAAATCTCACATGTTTTATGTCTACAGCCATCCAGCTCTTAACAGAAATTGTTAATCAACATAATAATAATAAAATAAAATAAGAATAACAGCTATAATACTTTTACAGTATTTTTATGTTAATATATAAGTACATTTAACTTTAATATTTTAACTCAAGTACATAACAAATATAAATTGAATACTTCTACTTTTACTAATCTTACTAAATACTTACTCAGGATTGTGTGCAGGCCCTCTTTTCTCCACTAATTTGATGCCCAATACTTGGTTCGTTTTTTGACAGTAATGGTTGAGCATGCCTATGAAATCCTTGCTTACTGTAGCACTTTCAGTGTTGGAAACAGTCTGTTTCTGACTGCTCAGGGGAGAGCTAAGAGAAAGCAAAAAAAAAAAGAAAATAAGACAAAATTGAGATGAGGTAGCACCATGACACCGGTTTTTGACCCAGTATAATATGACTTAAAGCATTTGGAACAAGTGAAGGATGATTTATGAATGGTTTTCCCAACAGAAGTTTACATAACATTAAGTGAAAGTACTGTTTTCATCTGAGGAACCTGGTGTATGTACTAAAGTACTGCTAACTACAGAGTACTGTAATCAGTCACTTACCTAAGAGGTGGCATATTTGAATTTTGTGCCACATTTCTGTTTTCATCAGGGACCTTCAATAGGAAAGATCAAAATCAATATCACCACCAAAATTCTGCAGTGGTTCAGAATATAAATTAACAGCAACATAGTCTATTATGCTCATTTTCCATGTTCATAATTGTACTTTTGGGGTCTACTAGAATAGATTTACATGTTTAAATGTTCCAAAAACACATTATTCACCCTCTTTCTGAAACACTCTGTTAGAGCTCTTGTGTCTTTAAGCCCCCACCTCCTGATGAGTGTGCTCTGACTGCCCACTCTGTTCTGACTGGTCAATCACCAGAGCGGTTCTCCTGCTACATGTTCCACCCCTGTCTTGCAGTCTGCAGACAGTCTTTTCTCTCCTAAGCAGCTGTAAACACAAGTGTGGCTATTTTTTCAACGGCGTCGGTTCTGCCGTACAGAGTCTGATCCTGAATGTCAGGTCAGCATTTCCTCAACATGGCTACAGAACTGACCTAGTTCTTCCTGGTCTCCAGTTGTTGCGATGAATTGTGTGAGGGTGTGCCAAGCTTGCTAGTAGGCAGGCAATAAGGACTGTGTTACAAGATTGTGTCATCTTATAACAAAGGAAAAGGGCTGGAATTCGAACAAGGCATTTCAGGCAACTGAGAAAAGTGGTTTCTGTGGGACAGAGTTACTCCCTCTGGTGTCTACTCTGAGCTCAGAAATTTTGCAGACTGTTTACATGCACAAAAAGATATATAACAAACCAAAGGAAAGGGAGAAACCGGAAGAGCATAATAGGACTCATTTAAAAAGAAAACACAATGTTGCAATGTCCTTATCATAGAACCACATTTATATGTACATCAAAGGTTTGTTATTAATATGAGGCTGTGTAAAAGTTGCCATGTGCATGCTGCAATGAACAGCCAGATCAAAATTCATGTGACTTTTATGTCAATCCAAAATAACAAAAAATTGTTAGAATCTCATACAGGAACAGACCCCTTACACCAACAAAAATATTTAGAAAAAAAGGAAGTAAATGAGTCAAAATATCTTCATACAGATCAAGTCTCTTGACCTGTAACTTATATATTGCAGTTTTTGTCACTGAGCTTGTTTCCCTTTGCAAGCATTCTTCTTCATGACAGGGAAAACATTTCTATTTAATGGTTTCCACAATTAAAACCAGAATTTTTAAAACTGTTTTTAAACATTGTTAATTTTGTTCAGCTTGGTTATTTTAGTGTCTACTATTTATCCCCCAAATATAATCTAGTGTTTTGCTCAGCTGATTTTGATGTCATGTGAATGGGGCAAGTTTGTCGGATGAGCATGCTGGGAAGAGCGCTGTGGGTAAATTCAGGAGTGGGACTTGTTCAGACTATTGTTAGATATGGACAACATTAAAATGTAGAAAGAACAAACATACAAGAATCAGATTTAGGCAGTAAATTGAGCACACAGAATTGCAGTCTGAACATAGCCTAAAACTTCTGGTCTAAAATATGATATAATGTAAACAGCACGATTCAATTGTCTTGGTCAGCCTAAACTTAGCGCATATTAAAACATGGGGTCCAGGCTGATACTATTTGGGATAAATTTGGGCATGTAAATGCTTAGATGGCTCCAGTTACTCTCAAGCAGAGTTTTGTGACATTTTGTCAGAAACAGACATCATGCAATATTTATATGGAAAGAAAAAAAGGAACAGTGATATTGTAAAATGGTGAGAAATTCATACATGTGCAAAGCTGGGTGCATCATGAAGGGGCCATTTCACGTTGTAGTTAAGTAAATAGTATTTGGGACTATAAATGTATTAACCTTTATACAAACCATGTAAATGATTTGGTTGGGTCCAGTTACTTTCACACCTACCTTGTGTGGTGTGGACCAATCTAACCTTTTCTTTAGTTCTGTACAGGTGTAACACTCCACTTTAGTTGGTGCAGTGTAAAACCAACCAAACCAAATGAAAAGATACATCTCAGAAATCCAAACTCTGGTTTGGACTTCAGCTAGCAAACTAGGTGTGATCACAGTCTAAGACTAACTAAGAGCTTAGTTGAGCTATTTTGTGCATTTAAATGCAGTTACTGATGCGATCATCACTATCATCTATATTTTGTGAATATTTTCACAAAATACACAAAAATGAAATGAGTGCTAAGAGATTCCCCTTTTTGGAGGATCTGTAGTCTGCTAAACGTGAGTAAATGAGCTAGAAGCCAGGTCCATGAGGTGGTTTGCATCTTGAAAAGAAAAAAAAACAAAAGACTTACTACAATTTTGCTCTCTTTAAGAAGTTCTTCATAAACTTTTTTTGCTGCTGCTTCCTTGGCATCCTTTCTTCCTTTGCAAACAGCTTCAGGAAATTCTTTATCATCACAAACATACTTACAAGCATACAAGCAAAATCTGAAAAAAAAAAAACACTGCATTAATAATATCCCACTGCTTATGGTAAATGGATTAGATATAGTTGTAATACTTGATACTTGCTGGGTGTTGGAGCCCATTCTGGTTGTCTCAATGGGCTTAAAAATCGATCTGTTCTTTTGAGCATATTCATTGAGCCAGCAGGTATAGTTGGCTTGAGTCAACTTTGGGAAACTGTCGGATGAGCAGTAATTTGTTTCCTGCATAAATAAATAAGTTAATTAATTAATTAAATCAAATTAAATTAAGATACAATAAAATAAATTCATTCAGCTACTCACTGATGACTCAAAAACTTAATGATAATAAGAGGAGAATAAAGCTCTCTAGAATGTGGATGTGGAGGATTGCCACTACATATTTATTTATTTTTGTAGGTCAACAGTGGTTTATTATAATGGGATGACTTTTCAATGTTCAGAAGAATCATATTTGACAAATCAAGTAAATTTTACATTTTTGTTTTGTGCAAGACAGTAAAAACAATATTTATGCATACTCAGGCAGCAGCTTCTCTGGGCCCGCAAAAACTTTGCTAAATATTGTCTCATGTCTGAATTTCTAAAGTGATTTCATACGTTTCTTGCATCTATGACTGTCAGACACTGATGGAATTTGGTAAATACTACAAGTTCACGCTACCAGTACAAGCCAGCCATGAGAGGCCCAGTTTGTTGCGAGCAACCCCCTATATCTTGACCGGTATACCACCCACTACTGGAGTAGTGTTTGTGATCCAGAACTAATCATCCACCAACATTACCTTACCTCATTAATACTCTTGGCTAAATATGTGATCAAATCAAATCTTGTGCCTGAATGCAATCAAATCCGCACAGCAATGTTTAACATCTAGTATAAAGCCTTCCCAGAACAGCAGAGGCTGTTACTGCAGCAAAGGGGGGACAAACTAACTACTAATACCCTTGAGAAGAAATTGGATGAGCAAGTTTCTACAAATTTTTAGACATATACTGTAAACATGTACAAAGGAAATTGCAAAGTATGCCAAACCACTGCTGTGGATGGTAGTGGAAACAGGCAACCCAATTACTTGAAGACAAATGCTGTGTTCCAATACAAGGGCAGTTTGTGACTGCTGTCTCTGGCACAGTAGTATCCAGTTGCAGACCCGCAGCACCGCATTTTCAGACCCTCACTTTCAGACCCACACTATCAGCTCCTTACAAGTATGCTTCTAGTGGTTCATTTCAAAACAGAGAATTTTAACATGGCATTTTTGGTTTTTAGCACCAAAGTGTATCATGCGCGTCCGAGTGTTTTTTGTGACAGAAAAAGAGAATACTGAGGTTGTGAAATGGGTGTTTATTAGCTTGCTGGTATATATATATATATATATATATATATATATATATATATATATATATATATATATATATATATCAGTTGCTGTATTTTACTGGTGCTTGAACGCTTACACTCTTAAAAAGGTTGGATGAAGGTTCTTCAAGGGTTCTTCAGTAAAGAAAATGGTTCTGTTAAGAACTATATAGTTTAGAACTACATAGAGTTTCATGCTTAAATAGTTCTTGGTGAAATGGTTCTTCAGATTGAATCTGTAAAAAAATAAATAAATAACTTAAAACAGCCTTGTGTGTTTGTTTAAGGTGATAATGAAAATAGTAATGTGGATTTGCTTAAATATGAGGGGGACGAACAGAACAATATTTTCTCATAAAAATATTTACAACTTTTGAAAAAGTAACATTTTTGGGCCAAACACGAAGTACAATAATAAGGAATAAAAATAGCTAAGAAAATGGAAAAATATATAATAAAATCTACTAAGCGTATATGGATTAAACATTCTTTTGTGTTCGACTACCTGGGGCTAAATAACAACCTTCTGTTAGCTTTTTAAAATGAAAACTGTCTATGGCAAAATGTAGTATGTGAGCGACTGTAAGTAAGTAAGTAAGTATTTGTAAGGAAGTATTTATTTATACAGCAAACCCTAACTCAAAGTGATGTACAAGGACATTATGGGACAACATCTAATGTATAACAAAACAAAAATACAGCAACAATCAGTTTACAAAGACAAAAGCCACTCGATAAAAATAGGTTTTTAATCTAGACTTAAAAGCATCAATAGAGGGTACAGACCTAATGTCCAGGAGTAGACTGTTCCACAGTCTCGGTGCAGCAACAGCAAAGGCCAGGCCACCTTTGAGTTTCAGCCGAGACCGTGGCACAGTAAGTAGCAGCTGATTTGAAAACCTCAAAAACCTGGAAGCAGGGTAGAGCTGAAGCAAATCTCCTATATAGGATAGAGCCACTGTAATAAACATCGCCAGAATACTTCGTAATCACATAGTATCTGAGGGCTTTTCTAACATAATGCAATAATAAGCATCCGTTCGCACGCCTCCCGTGCTCTCTGTGTTACAAATGGCAAGCTTCTTGACCTTTACGTGACATCACATCCGGAGCTTAGACTGTGGGGCTGAAAATGCGGTACTGCGGGTCTGCAACTAGACCCTTCTCAACTAGCGAGGTCATACACCAGCAAAATAAGCCCAGACAGGATGATCAAATATGGAGTAGGAATGGCAACTAAATATGTAACTTGATCAGTGGCGCCTAAACTTTTGCATATGACTGTACATTATAAAAGTAGTGTGATTACTAGCTGGATTACATGTTGCACATAGAACATGATTTTTTTTTGGATAGCAAAAATGCAACATTATTTTCTTTGTCTCAAGTTTGAACTTTTGCAGGTGACATTAACTCATCTGACCAATCATGGCTGTAAAATTGGCATGGCAACAGCCAAATTTCTGGGATGGCTATCTTTCAGTAACTTGTACCAGACATCAATGAGAATTAGTTTGTTTAGTATTTTCATAGCTGCTCAAACTTGGATATGAATATCTGAGCTATATGAGAAATCAGTTTCAGCTGAACTACGGTGTGAACTCTCTGATGCTTTCACTTTTTCAAAATAGAAAGTAACCTACCCAATGGCACCCTTTGCATTTTTTGTGAAGAGCAAAGGATTTTTTTTGTTGCTTGAAGAGATTTTATTTTTAAATATATATTTATACAGTAGGGTCCAAAACTCTGAGACCACTAGTGAAAATCCTCTTTTTTTAATAGTTTAATGCAATACTATTATAAATTATATTATCAGTATAATAGTTAGTGAAAAGTAGAATTTTCAAATATTTACATGAATTTCAAAATTTCTTGGAAATTAATTATATACCCCTTTTGTTTTAATGACAGCATGAACTCGAGCTGACTTGTACTCCACAAGTTTGTGCAAAACCTCTATCAAATCCACCTGAGAGTCTGAACAAGAGCTTCAATGGAAGAGAGAAGACTCAAAAAAACCCTGACCTTTGTATAAAGACCTTAAGATAATCAGTGTCACAAATTAGCTTACATTTATATAGTGACCTAGAAACAGAGCAGAATCTTGAATATGTCTTCATTTTGTTTACTTGTTTTATTTGTCAAAAACTTTGTGTTATTTATTTTCAAGATTAAATTAAACAAATTCTAGATTTTCAAAGTCCAAAATGGTAAAACATTAAGCTTTCAATGGTTTCAACAGATCACTGAACAGATAGATAAAGTAAATTAATATGAGACAGCTTTTCTCTTTAACTGCTGTAAATGTTGAAGTTTTGTGTGTAAATTTGCAGACAGCCTTTTACAGAAAGAGAGAATATTTTTCCAGTCAGCACTGATGGCTTCAAACAGTTCAAACATGGCCAAGCTAGTTTGTATTTAATGTGAGACTAAATATTTTAAATAGGGTTTAAATCTGGTCTCTGACTCAGAAATAAAATGTATTTAAAAGTATAAAAAAGATGAATATGCAAATATGTATTTATGTGTAGAATCCAGTACTATTTACAATATATTACGTCAGTGATGTACGCAGCGAAGTATATATAAAAAGTATGCAATTTGAGATTTTCCAACAGGACTGCTTCTTGCTCATTTAAATTCTTTGATTTTCAGTAGCTTGCGAAGGACCTTTCAAAGTCATAGTAAGCCATGATGACTAATGTAAAAGACAGGTTGCAGAGACAAATTGAAAACCTATAAAAACACAGTGTGATTATTGTCAATTTGCCACAAATACAAATAGATTTGAGCATTATATTATTTTACTCAGAGTTGTTTAATGACAATTCAAAATACACAGAATGAACTCTGAAATTCAGACAGCTAAAACTGCCATCCAATTGTAAAAATGCAATGACCAACAAAACAGATCAATTATCTTACTGAATTAGCAGGTTCCGTCTTTTCCAACAAACTAAGGGCATTTTTTGCAGCGTTTTGTTTAGCTTCTTTCTTGTTGCGTCCAACACCATCGGAATAGGTCTTACCATTCACCACTGCCCTTATAGTGAACCTAATAATCAAATAAACAAAAAGTTTAGAATAAATAAAACATGAAATGAAACAAAAATGTAATTTTACTCATGATTCAAGCAAGCAGACGTGGGCCTGCCACAATTTCTATTAGAACATTTCATAGGGATTTCACAAAATGTGAAAAATGTGAAAGTGAAAAATGCTTAAAGTGAAAAATGCTTGATATAGTAAAACAATGACCTAGGAAAATCAAGTGTTTCTCTCAACGTACTGGTCATTAACACAGTCTCATGCCAAAAGAACAATGCTGTAATCCAAAGATAAGTATTAATTTTTACATTACGTTTTTCTCTCTACTGAAACGAACTGTAAGGAAAAAGATGAACGTGACTTAAGGGGGCATTCCGGCCTAAAACTAATAATATACTAGGGGTGCGGGAAAAAATCGATTCACGACATGAACGATTCTGAATCGATCCACAAATGTCAAAAATCAATTTTCTAAATATTTAATTTATAACGTAATGTTGGCGGAACGCAAAAGGCGGAACTTGGAAGTGCGGAAGTGCAGCACCCGGACACTCTGTGGCGGCACATAACAAAAACACAAGTGGAAGAGCGAGAAATCCGACCGGCTCCCTCTGCATTAAAGCCAGGTTAGATCAGGAGTCACAACACAAATGTTAACATTTTGTCCTTTCAGCAAAAATCAAACCACCTTGGGAGCCACAACATTTAATGTCCAGTATGTGTCAGTATGTGATAATGTCCTAGTATAGGCTAAACAATATAAACGAAAGCGCCGATTTACTTCGCTCTGCTTTAAGCTTCACCTACAGCCGCTTTCCTCCCATCTCCGCCAGAAAACTTTTCTTCAGAAATAGATCAGTTTCTCATAAAATGCCTTTTCAAAATGGCTTTTTATTCTCCAGCTTCTTATTCGAATTTTCCCGTTCCACCTCAGCTTCGCCACTTTTTACTGTGTGACAGTCTCTCGTTGCAGATTTAACGTACCAGGAAACCAACTGTGCTGCTTATAAATGCGAATAACGTATCGCTGCTATGTGACCTGCAGTCTGCACGCCGGTGTTGTGCCGAATTCCGACTCCCCGGCAGAATCCGACTCCCCCTCGCGTGCACGCGCTTCACGTAAACATGTGGACGTTACGGACTGCACTCAGGATTTCTTAGGTTATTTCTGTGTAAATAACGCTTTAACTTTAATTTACCTTCACAGCGAACAACACAACAAGATCTAAAGCCAAACAAAGACTCTCACCGCGACGGTTTAGTTTAATATTACGAAATAAAAACGACTGTTGTTGTTGCAGTACTTGAGAACTGGTGGGACTGAATGGTTTTCAGTCATGACGATAAGTGTTACGACACATTAAACACAGCTTTAAACCTCTGTCTGGAGCAATAAAGCTCACATCTGAGGACCTGACGCTGCAGTATTGGCCGACTTGTTTTACTTGTCATTATTCAGCAACCAGACTTTCATTGCTTGCATAGCTGGACAAATTAACGAATTAGTATCCATTACTGCATAAAAGAGTTGCCTATAATTAAAAATTGCAGTAAGAATAATTGTTGTAATGGTAGTAATTTAAGATTAATTTTGGCTGAAAAGTCAGCAGCTTTTACATAGTCAGAAGGTGTATTGTGAACCTGTCAAAATGATGCCCCTCATATCTCTGGGGATGCATTATGACTGGAATGATTAACTTGTTCTGCTGACTTCTGGTTCATAGATTACAGCATATAAAGCATATGTCTCTAAATTCAACAGGGGGGATTTTACTGGGGGAGTAGAATTTTGGCAGGATTATTTTGACACCTTATTTGATATACAGTAAACTTTGTTACATTATTTTTTCTGAAGAATATTATAGCATTAATACAATGTACATTTGGATTTCTGATTTGTAGAAACTGATGAGGTTCCTTTGATTAATAACATTGTAATGTCAGGCTTGTGTAATAAATCTTTTAGTTTCTTATTTCTTTCTTGTATTTCATTTACATATTTATTGACTTATGTCAAATCATTAATAACATAAAAGGTTTGCTCATGAAGAAAAATTCTGAACGCATCATTTTTCTATTCTTATGACGACTCTTGTTTTGTGTGGTGGAATTGACGTGAGCGACAGGTCGTAATTTGTTCAGCTTTACGTACTTAATTTTCATGCTCCTTTCTTTCTTACCTGTAAGAGTAAGAATGAGTGTAATTTCGGCAGGTGTCAGAATAATCCTGGCAAAATTCTACTCCCCCCAGTAAAATCCCTCCTGTTAAATCTAAAGTAAAATGCATTTCAGGACACAATCTACAGCCCAGGACATGCTAGCAAAATAAAGGAGATGTCATTCAGACCTTGCAGTGCTGAGATCAGAGGAGGAGTGTAATTTCAGCAGTTGTCAAAATAATCCTGCCAAAATTCTACTCCCCCAGTAAAATCCCCCCTGTTGAATTTAGAGACATATGCTTTATAAGCTGTAATCTATGAACCAGAAGTCATCAGAACAAGTCAATCATTCCAGTCATAATGCATCCCCAGAGATATGAGGGGCGTCATTTTGACAGGTTCACAATACACCTTCTGACTATGTAAAAGCTGAAGACTTTTCAGCCAAAATTACCCCCAATACTGCAGCGTCAGGTCCTCAGATGTGAGCTTTATTGCTCCAGACAGAGGTTTAAAGCTGTGTTTAATGTGTCGTAACACTTATCGTCATGACTGAAAACCATTCAGTCCCACCAGTTCTCAAGTACTGCAACAACAACAATCGTTTTTATTTCGTAATATTAAACTAAACCGTCGCGGTGAGAGTCTTTGTTTGGCTTTAGATCTTGTTGTGTTGTTCGCTGTGAAGGTAAATTAAAGTTAAAGCGTTATTTACACAGAAATAACCTAAGAAATCCTGAGTGCAGTCCGTAACGTCCACATGTTTACGTGAAGCGCGTGCACGCGAGGGGGAGTCGGATTCTGTCGGGGAGTCGGCAGAACACCGGTTCTCAGTGGCACTTTGTGGCACACACCCCGAAGATATTTCACTGACACAGCGATCCCCCAGCTCTCTACAACGAGACCAAAACCGAAGTTATAAAATCACTAATGAAAACGGGTAGAATAGCTGTAACATATGCTGCGTTGACATCCACTGCCACTGGATCTTTTTTCACCGTAACTGCGCATTTTATCACAGATGAGTAGCAGCAGCTTCTCGTGCTCCAAAGAAGAGCACTGAATGAGAGCCTTCTAGTTCACTTGCCACCTCACTTCCATTTGTTTTAATAAAAAAGATATTGGAAGTAAATTCATTGTGGATCATTACAAATACTTTGCTTTAAAAGTACCAAGTCACTTTAAATAACAATAATACCGAGTCACTTAGTCACTTAAAAATGTATATTGTCTCTATATTCTGTGTATATTTTGTGTATATTTAATATATTTCAGTTGGTTTTTCTTGTATTTTTATTTTTACTTATTTACTTTCTGTAGAGTGATTAGCTGAGCCTCACCACAAGCATTTCAGTGCATAAATGTCCTGACATGTTATGCAAATGACAAATAAACTTGAAACTTGAACTCGAAACTTGAGCTCACACAGTGAGAAAATATAAATGCTATATAGAAAAAAAAGATGCATCGAGATGCATCGATAATCATTTTATAATCTCATGGCAGCCCTCTGAATCATAATCGAATCGATTCGTGAGGTGCCTAGAGATTCCCACCCCTATAATATATTAATAATATGTCTAATATTATATTTGTCATGTTATGCAGTACTCTTCAGTACTCTTAGCACTGTCACTCAGCCTCCTCAGTTTGACAGAATTCTTCATTTTATTTATTGTTTTTATTTTTTGTTCATCAGTGTTCTCTCACTACAACACCCAGCATGAATTTTACACATGCGTTGTACAAACAGTGGAATGCCTGTGGTGCTCAACCAATCCTGACTACTAGCCTAGCCACTGATCTACAAACTAATAAGTACAGCCAAGCTAGCATTAATTTAACTCTCATCTCAGTTGATACAGACACAGATCAAATTAATAAGATAATGATAATGGAGAAAAAAGTCTTAATGGAATATTATTGCTTGGTACTTGGATTGCAGCTTTGTTTTGGCATAATTTGTTCGCTCAGTCTGACAGTTTCATGTCTGACTGCATGTTCAGTAATTAGACACTTTTCTTTTGTGAATAGATCTGAATATTGCCAGTACAGTACACCAGCACAGCTCTATCTATACAGTGCAGTAACAGTAGGGCTAATGTTACTGTACAGCTCCAACTGTGCAGTGCAGTTACAGCAGGGCTAATGTTGCTGTACAGCTCTAACTGTATAGTACGTTTACAGCAGGGCTAGTGTTATTGTACAGGTCTAACCGTACAGTACAGTTACAGCAAAGCTAATGTTACTGTACAGCTCTATCTGTACAGTACAGTTACAGCAGGGCTATTGTTATTGTACAGCTCTAACTGTACAGTACAGTTACAGCAGAGCTAATGTTAGTGTACAGTTTTAGCTGTACAGTACAATTACAGCAGAGCTGATGTTATTGTACAACTCTAACTGTACAGTAGAGTTACAGCGGGGCTAATGTTATTGTGAAGCTCTAACTGTATAGTTACAGCAGGACTAATGTAACTGTACAGCTCTAACTGTACAGTACAGTTACAGCAGAGCTAATGTACCTTACAGTTCTAATGCTACACTAACATACAGCGCAGCCTACTTTTTAAGACACCAGCATAACTTACGTTTTAATATGATCTGGTCCACGTGTGTCCACCATCTCAAAGTCCACAGTCAAATTATTCTTCTGTGCGTACTCGTTAAGAAACCCAACGTAATTAGTCGCCATCGCCGACAATACAAAACAGTCCTAATAGCTAAAAAAATCAACAAATGCTAACAGTCTACAGAAGCTAAAGGCTGGAAGTTGACTATCAGAAGTTACACAATTAAGCTGAGGTATCAAATTAGGTCCTCTCTCTGAAATGGTCCTCTCTGTTTTGTGTTTCATTCATTTATGTTTGTTACTTTTGATTTCTGTGTAAGGTGGTTATTTTAAGTTTCGATTACTGGCTCCTACGACACCAGAGCAGGAACCAGACGACCAATCGAATCCAACGCCTGAACTAAGCGAGTGACGTTGAATAAACACAGGAACAGGAAGTTATCTTCCAGAGGGCAAAACAAACGTTTTTATAATCGCAGAAAAAGCATTTAAAACACCAGCACAGCTCTATCTATACAGTGCAGTGACAGCAGGGCTAATGTTACTGTACAGCTCTAACTATACAGTAGAGTTACAGCAGAGCTAATGTTAGTGTACAGCATATGAAAATACGGAATATATGCTCACGCACGTTACAAAATATAGAATATTAAGGCACAAAAACATACTGGGGTTATACTGACATGGGCTGCGTCCGAATAGTTGATCCAAACTTCCTTTTCCCTTTCTGCCGCCGTTGATTTTGCCTGATCTGTAGCTCATGGCCTCACTACATATACTGGCAGAGCTATAAGATAAGCCAAAATTAAGGAGAGTAAACAGCAAAGGCAATTTCGACTACTCAGAAGCAATCATGGTTGTTAAAGCGTGGGTGTTCCTAGAGCTAAAAAGAGTGTCCAAAGTCATTTCTCACAAAATAAAAACAGTAAAATTGTTTTTGTTCAGACATGTACATTTATGTACAAGAAATATATTCTATATTCTATTCTATTCATATTCAATTCTATTTATAATTATAGATTTATCCACTGATAATATCTGACTGATTTATCAGTGTTGAACAGAAAGAGAAGCACGGGTCATTCTAGAAAGTGTTCGTGGAATTACAGAACTTGTCACCAAAGCCAAATTTACGGGAAGAACTCAAAGGAATTAATGTCTTTGAATAGGTCTAAGCAAAAGATAAAGCTGTGACCATTAACTAACTCAAGACAGTAAGTCATTCATTCATTAATTAATTCATAAATGAATACAAAACTATTGGAGACCTCGTCAGATCTTTAGATTATTTCCCTATATATCTCAATATCTCTAGATATTGAGACCCTTTAAAAAATAGGAAAAAAAAGAGATGCAGTTTCAGTAACTAAAATAATTTGATTTGTAAAGACAAATAAATGTAGCTAAAACAAGGGCCTTTTTCCTTAGGATATGCACACCAAACATCAGAGATTAATGCCAGCGTGAACAGAGTTCTTGCTGTTAAAGCTCTCTGTCATGTGATCTGCAACAGTTGTGCTGTAGCCTCAAGCTAGCTGTTTAGCCAAAGCACATTTAATGTACCCGTGCTAGTATAGACTATATCAGCCAAGGAATGGTCGGAATGAAGAATTGTTTTTATTTCTTTGCAGCATTTAAAAAAAGCCAGCTGCCCTTTACATTGTGTGAACATTTCATGACAAATGGACAAGTAAAAGTTGTCTAGGGATAGAATCACAGTCAAAACATCTTTTTTAACCAGAGATAGTCAAATTTGTTATAGTAATACATTATTATATACATATCATTTAAAAAATACAACAAGAACCAAAGAACTACAAGAAAAATAAAGAAAAAGACAGAATAAATTGACAACATATTAAGTGCTCCAGGTTTAATCTTCATGGTCTGCTGCTGTATCACCAGGACAATTTGAGTTTAAATCCTCCTCATCTATAAAATGAGAAAAAAGACAGACTATTATTTTAACAAAGCATTCAGCCAGTTATTATGATGCTGTGTGATTTATATCTATAACAATCAGGTAACAAAACACAAAAATCTATTTTTGCTTACCATTGTATGCTGTCCCACACCATATGCAATAGAAATGCACCCCCCTTAAGTATGATGTGACATACTGAAGCTTGTCTAATGGCTGAAAAGTGGAAAAGAACAAGTTATTTATTTTGAGAAAGGCTGTTAATAGTGTCAATATTTTTGAAGACAATAGTGTGATAAATTCTAAAATGTGTTGACACCTTAGGTATACCGTAATTGTAGTGATACACCGAACTTCGGAATATGCTGTTTTAACCTGCACTGTGTTGCTTGAGAATGACGTAACGAAACACATCAGTTCAGGTTTTAACTTACATCTCTGTCTCTGTTTTTTTAATCATATATCCAGTATTCCACAGAAGTACTGCCGATATAATGAACAGGTACTCCTAAATACAACACTTTTTTACCGTCAATTCTTCCTCATCCTCATCTTCATTCCCCTCACTGCTGGACTCCTCTTCGATATGCTCAGCCTCGTCATTAATTACTTCAGGCCAGTACCAATTATCCTTTGGTACATTTATACCCTACCCAGGAAAACAAAGGATCACAAACATAACACACACAAGTAAAGAAGAAGAAGAAAAGAAACCATATCATGTGTTTTTTTGGAGACCTTTTCACTGTCAAGCTGTTCACAGGCCCGTTGGCTCTTTCTCAGGTCTCCTTCTGTTTGTCGCTTTTCTCTTTCTGTTTTCTTGCGATCCCTGTGATGAAAACATGCCGGTTCTAGAATTAATTACATCTTTAACTAAAATAGGCAAGCAACATACACCAACTCTGATTTACTGTTAATTAAATATGTTCAGCACCTCATGATAAAATTACATAATCTTGAAATGATACCTTTCCAGAGCTAAAAAAAGAAATTTTGAAAAAAATGTTACAATTATTGGCATTCCTGAGGATAAAACTGCACAAGAAAAGGTGGGAAAACAAATACAGTTGTTTGCGAAAGTTCAAACACCCCAGTCAGATTACATTACATATTTTGTTGATATTCTAAGTAAGAGTAAGTTAGCACATCCAACCCTAATATGATATTTTTCTCTCATGCGTTCACTAGGGTTTGCTGACGGTGGAGCAGAGGGGTGCTGACATCTCAGGGTGCCCCCATGTCTCAGTTACCTTTCTGGCTCTCCCTCTTATTTAGGCTGTAATAGCTAGACCTGCCGGAGTCTCGGTTAGCACCAAGTTGTGATCAGTCACTCTTTACAGAACTAACTCTCTGTGTGTTTTCTTTTTCTTTGCCGAGTTGAACAACTGCCCCTCCTGTGCGGTCTGATGTTGTTGCTTCTTCTGCCTTGATGGGGTGCCCACAGTTCACTAGCCTTCTGGACCGGTTTGACCACCATGGAGCTTCTCGCTGTACAATACTGTGCAAACCTCACCTGCATGAACTGACCCTCCTGATGACACTGCTGCTGCACAGACTCAAACTATTTAATTATATCGATTGCTTCACCTGTTTTTCCCCATTTCTGTATATTAATATTTTATACTAATGCTGTTCGCTATCCTGTGTCGACCAGAGGAGGATGGGTTTCCCTTTTAAGTCTTGGTTCCTCTGAAGGTTTCTTCCTCTTGCTCTTAGGGAGTTTTTCCTTGCCACTGTCGTCATTGGCTTGCTCATGGGGGCTCGGACCCAGATTTTTCTGTAAAGCTGCTTTGTGACAACATCTGTTGTAAAAAGGGCTATATAAATAAATTTTGATTTGACTTTAGCATGTCAGCTAGCTGACCAGCCTAGTTCTGGTTAAGAAAATAAGCTGTCAGCCCTTCAGTTTAAACAAAAACAGCTTCTTATTTCAGTACTTACATCAGTACACTTGGTGGTCCATGCAAGCAGCATTAGAGTCAAAGGTTATTTCATCAACAGTAAAAGGATTTTTGGTGACGTGGCAGAATAATACAGAGTTCAGCTGTTGTGAGGTGTTTGTATGTGTGTTTATATGACGTAATTTAAACCGCTTTGGACAGGGCTCAGCCAATCAGGTTGTAGGACCGGAATTATCTGTTTTACAATTATATATTTTCAATCTAAAACGCCCCAGCCATGCACCAGAATAAGCCATGTCCACCTACTAGTTGGGCCATCACTGGTAGGCCTTCCAAAAAGCCTAGACAAGTTTTTTCCCGTCCACTGTCACTTTCTAAGTGTGTTGGCAGTTTAACAGACACAAGCCTTTCTGTCAAACACTCAGTAACTGATGCTGTCTCATTTATTAATGTTGCTAAATTGTAATCCTTAAAATACTAATCAATGAAAAGGTAACTAAAAAGATTACACCTGTCCTTAAAGGTGTTTTACTCTGATTACACAAACTTGATTTGTTTGTTTGTTAGTACTCAACACTATTTGTAAGCAGAATAATCTAGATTGAGATTTTCCAGTTTAAAGACTAGGGAAACTCCCTTTGATGATACATCTTGAAGAGGGAGGAGCTTTTTTGATTTTTTTTTTTTTCTGATTATGCAGCCATGCTGTTGTAACGTGCAGAATTGGGCATGATGTTAAAATCATACTTAAAAAAGCATAAGTGTCCCTGAAAAAGACAGCATATGCTGCTTCATAATGTGTTCAGCATTAATAGTGCTTTCTCAAATGTCTAGGTTACCCACTGATATCCCTCCAAACCAAGACTCTGGTTTTTGAACGCTAGCAACAATCTGGATGGTTCTTTTCTTCTTTGGCCCAGAGAACACTATTCCATTATTTCCATAAATACTCTGAAAGGTGGACTCACAGACCACAGTACACGTTTCCGCTGTGCATCAGTCCATTTCAGAGCTGCTTGAGCAGAAATTGCCAGAAATCAGAAAAATCACCAGCTTTTCTGAACGCTGTTGTCATTTGGCTTCCACTGTGCACAGTATACAGCACTGTATCAAAGTATTCACAAGCTCATGTGATGATATCAATCATAGAAACAGTCTGGTTTTTAAAGCAGTGCCATCTGAAGGTCATGGGCATTCATTTTTGTTTTTTGGCCTTTTCCATTACACACAGATTTCTCTGGACTTCCTAAGTCTTTTGGTTATATTATGCACTGTAGAGGGTTAAATACCTAAATGTCTGCAATGCCTGGATGAGACTGCAAGTTAATGGCAATTAATCGTCAGCTAAAATTTCACGATTGTGACAGGTTTACATACAGTAACTGAATTCACAAATGAGAAGGTGTGGCAGGATACTTTTTTCCAAGGGTGCCAATAATTTTAAAGCAGTGTGCATCATAATGATGCAAACATTATGTACAGTGCCTTCCAGAATTACTGGTCAAGTGTTTATGTCCATCTGCTTGACTGTACAATTATGAGATAAGAGTAAATTAAAATAGTACAATAAGAGTACCTACTAACCGTTCAGTGAGGTAAAATGAAAAAAAAAAAACATACTACTATTGCTCACGTTCTTATAAATAAAACACACTTAAACCATTTGAGTTCTCAAGTGACCATCTGTGATTACCTGTTTCACAAATAAAAGGTCAAACACTGTAGTTGTCCGAGCTGTTGGCCTTCATAATAAAAATAATCTGAAAATACCCATCTCCAATATTAGGGAAATAATAAGATTCAAATTACTGGAACTGTACTGAATATAGTTGATTGGGGACACACATGTATTTTGCTTTCAAAGTTACTCTCATTGACTGTAAGGTCCAATATCAATAATTCCCAAAGACTGCATGTAAACTGTGCCTTAAGAAAGAATTCTGAGCAATTGTTTTAATACAGGGTCTATATGCGTACCTGAAGTCTTCAAGAGATTTCTTCTCCATCTGTTGTTTTACTTGCACTTTTTTCCGAAAATTTTCCAATTCCTCTTCTGCCTTCCTTTTTTTGAGTTCCTCCATTCCAATGCCCCCTCTATCTAATAAAAATACATGTTGAGCCCTCCAACTGCACTGTATTATCAATCAGGCCTGTAACAATGAACAGTAGTTGCACTAAAAACTAGACATATTTGAACCTACCTGTTTTGATGTTAAGAGGAATAGGTTCAACTCGACCAGCGCCTGAGATATGAGAATAATTCATTAATACTGAAAAATTAGACAATGATTGTACTGAAGAAGCTCAAAAAAGCATATGTTTGTAAAACATCCTGTATGTATTTATGAACCCATTTCTTGAAACAAATCAGGGTGAGGCTATATTTGGCTGTTTCTTTGCGTTCCAAATTATCCATTCCACCTGAAATACTGGAATAATTTTCTTGTAGATTACACTGATGAGTCAGTTTTTATCATTTCAAAATCTCACCTTATTGTTAAAGAACAGGACAATATTTCTTTATAAAATGGCCCAATTATGCACCTATAAAGAAATCACAGATTTGTTTCATTATAAAAAATAATTATTTAAAAAAAAATAAATAAATAAATCACATGATTTCTCAAAATAAAATCACTTGGTTTCAAACAGGCCCAAAGTGATCTTCACTGTGAGAAATACTGGGATGTGTTGTGTACAACGATTTCCCTACCCGTATCTACTCACAGGCCAGAGCATAAGGGTTTAGGTTCATATTGAGTTGCAAGTAATTTTATTTCATTCTATCATAGATTCATTTAGTAATTTATTTCCCTTTCCCTTTCGATTAAACAACCTTTATTAGGAGTCCACGCAGACAATGACAGAACCCAACTGTTTTTTGTTGGGATTTTTCTACTTCTTGTTATTCTTATATTTCTTCTTATTGTCTGCTAAAATGATATGGGAAGCCAAGACCGTAAGTTACAGAAACAGCAAATTAGGAGAAAAAGTGCAGAAACACCTAAATGGTGGTGCTCTAGAACTATTTTTTCGTTTTAGCCAGTATCTCCTGAAGTTTGAGTCATATGACAAAATTTGACAAAACTGACTAAGAATCATAATCACTTTAACTGATCCTCATTATATTCAATACATCTTTACTTCTCATGACTTTCGCATGCCAGTTTTGGCACCGAGGAGTCAACAGGGAGGCCTATAACAGGCTACTTTCTCAGCAACTGCTTTTTTGAAATTTTGCATGCTGCGTATTGAGCTCATCTTCATTCTTTCAGATAAGGATAAAGTCATCAAGCGGTATTACATGACCATTAAGTGACTCGTCAGTGCCAACTACAGGCGAAATATGCAGCAGCATTTAAGCAGGAACGGATAGCACTAAGAAGTCGAATAAAAATAAGATCACCATTTTCAGAGTCGTCTAATTAGAGAAGCACAGATTCTACTGACTGTCTAACGTTACATGACTAGTCGCCAAAAAAGCATAATATAATTTTTTAACGTTACTTATTCATTCATTTAGTTATTTACAAACACGTACCTTGTTTTCCTAGGCCTTGTCCAGCTTTGTACCCCATCTTCTGTAGCAATGCAAAGCCTTTGTTTTCACTGCTTAAGGAACTCTGCAGAGCTGCATCTCGACTCTCCCGTTCGTGCTGCTTGTAGCTTTTCTGTTTGTTCTGAATGGTTTTCTCTTTGTGAAGCGCCTCTCTTCTCAGAGCATCCTTTACGCGTTTCACCATCGGCATTCCAGGTCGAACGTCCACTCTGACACGACATTCAAAGTGAAGTAACGAACGAGCTCATTCTTACATTATGCTCATAATGCACATTTAAAAAAACACGTAACCCTGCAGTAGTTGACTACTGTTGCTAGAAATTAATTTACACTACATGTGTGTATTCCTTTATCTATAGAAATAATGTTTTTAATTTGAAGTGGTTGTACGCGTGCACGTTCACTTAATCTGCTCTACCTGCGTGTATTTGTATTTTTTAGCTTTTGACTGTAATGAATATCTAGCTACACATAGTGATACTTCAGGTCACATACAGTCTGCCAGCTACTTCAGTCTGCCCCGTTCTCTATTAAGCTACATAAGCAATTACATGAAATACACACTATTCTAACTCTAAATACATAATAATTCTGAGTGACTGAATGACCACTAAACTGCCAGACGATATGAAAAAAACTTACAGTTGGTTGAGAAAAGTATCAGACATATAATCGTCTTCATCCGTCGCCATTTTTGTTTATTGGGAGTAGCACCGTGAAGCAGCAACATGAAGAAATGAAAGTGGTCTTTTCAAAATAAAAGACGGGGCAGCGAACTAACTATCTATCTATCTATCTATCTATCTATCTATCTATCTATCTATCTATCTATCTGTCTGTCTGTCTGTCTGTCTGTCTGTCTATCTATCTATCTATCTATCTATCTATTTGAAGAAGAACAAGAAGAAGAACAAGAACTCAAATCAACATTTAAGTGTAGCATTCCAGAAGGAAAAAAATGAAGTACATAAATGATAAAAAATAAATGGAATTTACACAAACAGAAATTGGCAATTGCTTTAACACTATATACATAATTCATATCAGAAACATAGCATACAACATGTTATTCAATGCCCTCCCCAATTTCTATTTCTTTGTTATATTTGTGTAAAATATAAACTTTGTATCAATATAGCATCTTAATTCATTTATAACAATGAGTTTTATAATAATTATAACCAACAATAATTAATATTATTGTATAAATATTATTATTTATTATATTATTACAATTGTTAGAATTTAAGAAAAAAGTATTCTAAATATTTAAATATTTTGTTACTTTTATACCTAATGTATTTCTGATAATAATAATAATAATAATAATAATAATAATAATAATACAACCCCATTAAAAAAAAAAGTTGGGACGCTGTGCAAAATATAAATAAAAACAGAATGCAATGATGTGCAAATCATTTAAACCCTATGTTTAATTCAAAATAGTACAAAGAAAACATCAAATGTTGAAAGTAAGAAATTTTATTGTTTTGTGAAAACTACATGCCCATATTTTGGGGCAACAAAATAGTGGTAAGGTTGTGTACTGCTAAAAAAACACCTGGTGGTTAATGAAAATATTGACAGATATAATTTTATCTTGAGATAAAAATTTCTTCAGTATCTGCCACGGCAGTGTCATCAGGTCCTCCGGTAAAGTATGCTGAATCTATGGAGGAAGGGTGCATATTTCCTATTTATTCATTATTCTACCCATAAGTATTTAAATCCAGAAAGACTTGTCTGTGTAGGCTAACTGCATATTAGATACACAGCATTGTAGGCTAGATGGTGTCAAACATGCTACAATGACTTCATTGCCAGGAGCTCAGCTTTTATGTTTTTTTTATTTTTTACTCAAATACCATAATACTTCCAACACACTAGTTACAAACAAGCGCAAGATAGAAAACAAGCAAGTTGTAATTTATATTAAAACTAATAAACAACAACATTAATAACAACAAATGTCTCTTTTTACCCCAGGAGTGTGGGAGGCTGAGAGCCACTTATGTTGTCACGGCCCCTAAGATGTTTTTTTTTTTTCAATTTTTTTTGAAAGATGGCCAGAGTGTTCTGTATCATGTGATTAACAATATTAAGTTTTCAAAACATCACCATATCACTGTTTAAAAGATCTTTTACTGTTTGATTTCTCAGAGCAATTTGGGTCAGTGAGCGCTTATAACAAATAATTAAATTGTTTAAGAGTAACAATAACACGTCTAAAGTATTAAGTATATTCCTATTCAAGTGTTACATTAAAATATATAATTTGTGAGACAAACAAAGCAAAATTCTATAAATTTTCATTTTTGTTAGATCATGTTCTCTGCATAACAAATAAATGCAGCAACCATATTAAGAAATCTCATTATTAAACATGAAGAGCAGATTAAACAGTATAACGCGGTAAGAAGAATAATATTAGTTATACTGAAAAGAGTTCATTGCGAACAAAAAGTTATTATTCAGCCATAAAGAGTTAATATTTACTGAACTACCAAATTTGCTCTGATAAGAAATTGGTTCTGTGAGAATCGGCTACAGTTGCTTTAGTTTCTCTAGCCTCTTCTTAATATATATTGTAATGTGCATGATTTGTTTCATGTCTATTGATATTAAATTAATTACAGTCTTTTGATATATGTGGCACACATATTTGCTGTGGCTCTCAATGCGAAACGTCGCCGGTGCTCAATGTTCAGTTGGTGCTTTGTGGCTGTAGTCTTGACTAAATGTCGTTCAGTAAATTGAGCTGCAGGTCACTGTGTGCATTACACTGTAAGTTTACAACACTGCTGCCAAAATCAGGGTAAAGGAAAAACTGCAATGTACTGTCTGTTGGGCCACTCGTGACACACTCTAAAACAGACGCCATGGGCCAATAAAAATCTGCTCCCTCACGGCAGCGTGGCTCATGACAGACGCCACAATACAAACTCTTAAAAAATGTTTTCTACACTAACCCTGATTCAGGAGAGACCAACCCTGTTCTAACACACCTGATTCAACTAACTGGCTAATTAACATGCCTTTTCTGAGTTGTAGTTAGTATTTACAGCAGGGATAGCTCCAGGCTCATGGATGACTGCCTATTGGCATCTATTGGCATTGATTTTCTACAGAGATTAATCTGTGTGTGCACAACTGAACACCTGTGTCAGTAATGAATGCCCCTTACAGACACTAAATTCAGTAATAAGAAAGGGCGTCTGAATACTTGACATATAGTGTAACTTGAATATTGTTGTGGGTCGGGAATATCGCTAGCTTAGTAATAAGTGCAAAATGTATTATGAAAATTAAATTTTAGAATGAAAAAACATGATTTCCTTAAGCTGATTTAAGCCCACATTGAACGACTGTCAGAAAGCGGTCCGGACGTTGTTTTGTTCTGTGCTTTTTTTTACACATTATGTGCAATTTGTGGCAGAGGTAGCATCCTACAACAGTGCTACATTTAAAGTCACTGAGCTCTTTAGTATTACTACTACTTTGTCTATCAAAGTTACATAGCTTGTGCTTGATAACATTCTGCTAGCAATGGGTGTGGCTGAAACATGCAAACTCAGTAATTAGAAGGGTCCACATATTTTGGGCCCTATAGTCTATCATTGAGTCCACATACATTTGGCCATATAGTGTATAATTCTATAGAAACATGAATGATTCTACACATTGGTGCATTAGCGTAGTTCTCTGCATAGGAATTAAAGACAGAATAGCAAGATGGTCAGCTGCTGTAGGTCCGTACTCAAAAACTTTCAGCTTCAGCGTAGTGCATTCCATTTAAAAATGACTAATTTTATTAAGTAAGATTTCACTATTGCAACTTGAAAATGAGATTGTGTAAAGCGTAAAGCATGTCAAGAAACATCAAACAGACAGTGAGTACTCAGACACATCTAGTGTGAGCATAAGAAAGACTTTAATTCTGTACATGGCCTTTATGGCAAAATTCACGTCTCACAGCTCTAAGGCTGCATGCTTCACAGAACTGCGGAATAAAAACAAGCTTAGTGGGGCAGTTCATGATGGATCAGTTTGTAGTATGAGCCACAGGAAGGACAACGCTGTGGATTTCCCTCATGGAGCCAGAACCAGACAATGGCAGTGTTATCCTCCTCACCTTAGAGAAAAAAAAACAAAAAAAACAATGAACACTTGTTCAAAGCACTTTCAGGATAGCCTATTTTTCATTAATTCAAATTTTATCTCATTTTACTGCATTATTTATCAGTGGGTGTGCCTACCAACCGAGTGGAGCATCATACAACCATAAATTTTAAGTTGCACACAAGCCATAAGTTCCAAATGTCCTTTGTTTTTTTAGAAACTCGCGAAAGTGTGAAGGCCAGAAAAACAACAAGACCAGTGGAACTAGTACTTTGTGTCTGTAACCAAAGCAAAACTGATATGAGGTAGCTTCCAGAACTAGAAACCAGGAGGCCTACAAAGAAGCCAATTATACATTAGAAAGAAATTACAATGGCGCTAAGTAGGGGTGGGAATCTCTAGGCACCTCACGATTCGATTCGATTACGATTCAGAGGGCTGCGATGTGATTATAAAACGATTATCGATGCATCTCGATGCATCTTTTTTTCTATACAGGGTTTCTTTTTTTCACTGTGTGCCAACTTATTTGTAATGATCCATAATTAATTTACTTCCAATATCTTGTATTAATAAAACAAATGGAAGTGGTTTGGCAAGTAAACTGGAATGCTCTCATTCACTGCTCGTTTGGAGCACGAGACGCAGGCTGCCACTCATCTGCGATAAAATGCGCAGTTACGGTGAAATAAGATCCTGTGGTAATGAATGCCCACGCAGCACGTTACAGCTGTCCAACCCGTTTAATTCAGTGATTTTTCAGTTTTGGTCTCGTTGTAGAGAGTGGGGGGATCGCTATGTCAGTAAAATATGTTCGACACGGGACGCTGTATCTCGGCAGCATAGCGCGAAAGCCCTGGTTCTCGACGACACAGAACATACCCTAATCCTTGGCAATAAAAGTTGCGACAGAGTTTGTAATTCACTTCCAATTTGGGTGGAAGCTTTGACATCGCTTGCTTGAACATTTGGAGACAAATGGACTTACTCGCATTTATAAGCACTGCAATTGGTTTCCTGATACGTTACATCTGCAATGAGAGACTGTCAAACACTAAAGAGTTGTGAGGATGTCGGCTTCTCTTTCGAATTCTCCCGTTCCACCTTAAATGGTGCCGCATTTACGTTCTGGCGCCTCAGTCAGAATTTAAGGTGGAACGGGACAATTCGAACGAGAAGCTGGAGAATAAGAAGCGACTTCAGCCTCGTAAAACGGTCGAACGTTGAGACATTTTACAAAAACTATTCAACGTTTGAGGAGAAGTGTCCTGTCGGAGGAAAAAGGCTACAGCTAGTTAAAGCTTAAAGCAGAGCAGACTAAGTCCGCGTTTTCGTTTATATTTTTTAACCTATACTACGACATCATCACATACATTAAATGTTGTGGCTCCCAAGGTGGTCTGATTTTTGTTGAAAGGACAAAATGTCTCTTCTTAACATTTGGGTTGTGACTCCTGACCTAACTTGGCTTTAATGCAGAGGGTGCTGCTCGGATTTCTCGCTCATCCACTTGTGTTTTTGTTATGTGCCACCACAGTGTGTCTGGGCGCTGCACTTCCAAGTTCCACCTTTTACATTCCGTTAACATTATGTTATAAATTAAAATTTAGAAAATCGATTTTTGACATTTGTGAATCGATTCAGAATCGTCCATGTCTGCATCGCGATGCATCTAAGAATCGAGTTTTCCCCCCACCCCATAGCACTAAGACAAACAGGAGCAACTCAACACTGCTCCTCAGTTTGGAAATGCATATGACACATTACAAACTACGAAAAGAAAACACATAGCTGCATAGCCAACCCAAGTTGGGGGACCTCCAAACTTTTCCTAAATTTATCATTGTAATTAAATGTGATTTTGTAATCACATCTGAATAGTATAGCAACATGAAAAGAACAACTCTTTACTTCTAAAAGTTAATTATAAAAGGAAAGACATTATCTGACATCAGATAGATAGTATTTGACACTGAAGTATTTTACTGTTGTTCAAATTTTGTCCATGTTTCCAATCTAACTCTGATACTTTTGTAATTGTATAAACATATAAGTGAAAAGCTGTATGTTTATAGTATGTTCTAGTGTGACATAGCTTACAGAGGCAGCCAACAAGACGCTTATCACTGATGCCAGGCACAATGTGGGGGTCCTCCTTAGTTCCAGCATACTCTTTTGGCTTGAATATGCTATATGGATCCTATTAAACAAATCAAAGAGTGAAAACATGACTAACAGTCTGTACTTTTGCTTGAAGTGTTTATCCCATTGTAACATAAGCCAAAAAGCTTTCATTTTCTTACCTTGCCCTTTTTCATAGCCTGCAACACCCGCCTCTCTAATCCTGCTGCCTGTTCCTCATCTGTTGGAATGCCTGAGAGAGAAAGAGAAATAATTTAACATGGGAAAAGCATTGTGTAGCATTTTCTATTCAAAGTGATTCAATGCAGCCATTTCTACAAATGTTCAGGAATCACTTTTTAAAAACAATAATAACTGAAATAGAAGCTAGGGTACAAGGTGTAGGCGTATATTTGGGGGGGAGGTCATGTCCCTTCCACTGTTCCAGGCAGGGAATTTTCCCCCAATAATTCCCACTGAGTGTGTCCTTGTGACTTCACTTTTTAAGTGTTTGTTGTGATTGCTTTTGGTAGTTAAATTTGGTAAAATATTATTATTACTTTAATAAAAATAGTTTTAAAATGCCTTCCGCCCAATGACAGATGGGATAAGCAGTTTAGATGATGTGTGTGTGTTTTTAAATATGAGTTTTAAATCGATTACTAGCAGAATTTTCCAGCATGTCTTTACGGCCTTGCACATGACAGATGCATGGGAAACACAGTCCGTACAGTCTACAGCCACGTCTTTCATGTGCCTTTACTGACAAGGATGTTTAGAAAGAAGGTAAACTAAGTAGGCTATCTGTGAGAATGTAAGACACTGCCAGCTTGTTAACTCAAACATATTTGTTGGCTTGTGGCATGATTGCTAACAAGAAGCTTCTCTGCATTCTGAGATGCACTCAAGCTTCTCCAGTTTTAACACATCTCAGTGCTCAATTTTGTATGGTTACATTACGAATTAGGGCTGGGCAGGTTTATCCAGGGGGAACAATCTAATGTTAAACATGATAAAAAAAAAGCTAGACATCTTACGTGAGGGCATTGATTTTGACAGATAATTTGGCAGAAATAACATGGGGCCCCCAAGATTAATTTTGTCTTTCTTACTGGATGTTTCTTTCACTCTTATATAATACTATATGAATTGTTTTTGAGGTATAAATGTTTTTGCATACTGAATAAGCATATTAGAATAATCAGCACATTCCTACTGTAACATATCCTTCACATTAATATTTAGCATAAAACAATAATCCCACATGATGGGTCAGGTGGTAGCCATTAGCCACCTTAATAAGAAAGGTGCAATAATTCCACAATTACAATAACATATGGATGACCTATTGGGCCTATAGCAAAACCTTCTAATTTGCATACCCAAAGGCTCAGAAAAAACATAGGCACTTGGGAAAAAATAAATATGGAAAATGCTGCACGCTCTAAAGTATTGTAAATCTTATTTGAAGTTGTACTACAAGCAATATATGAAGAATATGGTCAGAACAATAGAACAATGCTTACACTTATATGGAGACTGACTAGCTGTGGGTGTTCCCATTTTTAAAATTTGTAATTAGTCCTTGAAAGAGGCATTTATATTGTTCATGTATTGACATAAGCCTTCTGTTTAATAAAAGTAAATAATTTTTCTGTAGTAAAACACTGACCTGGCTTATTGGAAACGCTTAAACAACGCAAGGAGCCCTTTTTTAATTAAATCTGTTCTTTATTTCATTGTTTTTAAAAACAAACCATAAGGAGTTCATAAGAATGTTCTTAAATTCAATCCTCAAAAAAAAGTTCTCAAATATTCTCTTAAGAAGGTCTTAATGGTTTTCTTACGTAAACTACAGGTTTAAAAGAAGATTTTTTTTTTTTTTACAATTTCTTGAAGAAAAACAATTTTAAGTTTGATGTTAAGGGAAAAAGCACATTTAATTTTCTTAGAACATTTAGTGAATCCTATTCCTATTTCTTGAGTACCCCTATTCTGCACATTTTTATTTTTGTCAGACTCAAAGACATTTACAGAACTCTCCGCAAACAATACTGGACAATTTTACGCATTCATAATAAGGTACTATTTTATTAAAAAATGTTTCCCAAAGAAGATGTGTCTACTACTATACCAAGCATTTTTTGTCATTCACATATGTGTATGTTTTTATTTTTTTTAGATTTGTGGTGCCTTGAGGCGACCTGAGATGGAACCAATGTCCTGAGCTCTCTAACTGTAATCAACCCTCCACACTAAGAATGGAGTAAATGTAGATGTGTTCTTTCTTTCTTTTAATGCCTTATTATTAGCTGTGACTATTTTGAGTGTGTACTTTTGTGTAACTTAGAAAGGTCAGCACCCTTTTTTTATTTCATATTAGATGTCCAAAATTGTCCAGATGCCCTTTCTGGATGCCTTTTCTAAGTGAAAACTACATACTACTGTAAGGCACATCAATTGTTAACATAGGTATTACAATGAGCACACATAGCTATGCAGCTTCATATAGCTATGCTATCTCTATATAAAAGCACAGGCAGTACAATGGAATGCTCTGTAGCAGCTGCACATAAGTTCAAGGTCACCATGCGTCTTGCCAAGTGACAGCTACAAAAATGTAAAGCTCCGTGGCATTGGATTATCTGCAGTCTGCTGTCTGGAGTGACCACTTAATCATCAAATGACATAGAGATGAGTGAAATGTCCATTTCTGACCCAGACCTAAACACCTAACATCAGTGACTGACGTCAGTCATTGTCTAGTGATGTTTTAGTATCTAGCAGAAATCTTTCCCAAAGAAGTAGAGGCTGTTATTACAACAAACCTGGGGACCAACTCCCTGTTAAAACCTTGATTTTGGAAGAAATGTCGTAGTTATCCACATACTTATGTTATTTCCCAGATCCAGATTATGCCTAAGCCTAGACTTAAAAGAAATCCCAGTTGTGATTCACCATTAGCACTGTAATTTCAAGACTATAGTAAATCCATGTCCTGGAAACTAGCGTTAATAAAGTGAGTGTGGCATTTGTTTACTTCTGTGAAAAAGGAAGTCATTGAAAAATTACATAAAAGCCAAAAAAATTGACAACTAACATTCATTGAAGATTATTTATCACTTTTTTTGCACATTTCATGGCCTTCTCAGCTCAATGTTACAAAGAGTGTCAAATTCTAGTTCACTTTCACATTTTTCTTCCTAATTCTTAGCATATACAGCTGTGTCAAATACTTAATTCCACAATTTTTTGCACCACTCTTGTGCTCAAATCTGAAACGACTGCTTCTACCAGAGACTCATAATCTGTATAAAACATGTCAGGCGTTTTGGACTGGTTTTGACCGAAGAGAGATCTGAAGTCATGCATCATTCTGTAGTCGGCATCATGCCCATATTAAGAACTTAAGGTCTAGGCTGATTTTCTCTATAATAGAAATGATCGGCATTTTTTAAAATCACCACTGTCGCATCTTGTTGTAAACCAAAATGCCCCAAGGCTGATACCTTTTGACCAATGTCACCGGATCCTCTCACTTACAGGGTCGTTTAGCACCCTGTAATTTAGCTAACACTGTTGTGCACTGAAACGACACTGCATGAATGTAAGTCAACCTTTAATCTTCAACACTACTCTGTATCAACACCAGCTACTTAAACTACAGTCAAACTGCCACAGCCTCTAAACTATCACATTTGACAAAGTTTAGTGCTTTGTTTGGGATATTTTGGTGAGGTTTCCGGTCTTGATGATGTCAATTCAGTGTGCAGCAGTTTTAGCTTCTTAACAGCCTTGTAATAAAGAGAATCCAGCGACGATCACAGGAAAAATGTCCTCATGGCAAAACGTAACGGCTGGATGCAACAGCAGTAATTCTCCAAAACACCATTCAATTCTGTCATACAGAAAAACAGCTTAGATCCAGAGTTGCTAATATGGGCATGATGCCGATTAGTGCCGATTATTACATGACTTCAGAGGTCTATGGAAGGTTCTAACTCAATGTTTTTATATACACTGACTAATGCGTTTGTAAATACAAATAAATCTAAAGCACAGGTGCCCAGTCCTGTCCTGTCAATCTACCATCCTGCAGAGTTTAGCTCCAGCTCTAATCTAACACCTCTAAACCAGGTAATGAGGGCATTCAGGGTCTCTGAATATTAAATTCAACATTATTATATGTTGAATTTAAACTCCCTCAGGGGTGGATCTCCAGGACTGAACACCCCTGATCTAAAGAATAAACTTAACAGGCCCTTTATTTGGTACACCCCTTCCCTACTGACACCTTAAAGAAAGTGGGTGAGTAATTCAAGGACAGAACAGGCTTCAGACAGAATTGAAAAGTTTGGAATCACAATACAAAAGTTTAGCATCACAATTCAAAAGTTTGAGATCACTGTATTTATTTATTTTTTAAATGTTGCCGATAATATAAATAAAAATCATTCCATCATTATGCTACTACTCTGCAACCACACAGAGGTTCCTCTGCCACCTCTCAGGCAGATAACTTATAAAGAAATGACTAAAAATAACTTTAACATTTTTAAACATTTAATAATGTGTTGGTGAATGGTGAAATAACCTTCTGGTGTCATATAAACCTTATAAACCTGAAATAACAGCAATTATTAATATGCCAAATCATTTTAAACTTTTAAATGATAGTGTACATCTTTACCACTGTTCTGGCAATCCAAAAAAGTCTGGTGGAGCATCAGTTCATGCCCTCCATGCCTTTAACACTTAATCTGTAATCCTACTACAAAAAGGATATGCAACGAAATACTAACCTACATTAAAGAAAGACACACTACTGTTAGTCTCACTAAAGTTTTAGTATGTTTACTACTTTACTTAAGTTTTCAATTAATTACCAGAAATATTCAGTTATAAGTCAAAGTCATAAATCAAAGTTAGTAAAGCAGGTCGGTATATTAGCCTCTAAGAGCTTAACCCCCTGGCTCTTCTGACAGCTGCGCCATGACATGTATTAACTGGCACACGATCTCGCTTCCTTTGCCAAAAAAGGCAGGTCAGTCAAATGGCCTTCCACGAGCGTTGAATCCCAGTGACCTTGATCAAACTGCTACCCTATATGTTGTAAAGATACGAAAACCTACACCTTAAAATGTAATTTTGCCTAAAAGCCACGGTGATATAAACGCAAAATAACATGATGAAATGACTTTGACGTTTCTCTTTGTCCTTAACACAGACCTTTTTACTCTGTTTGTCAGTATTGGCATATGCTACACCACTATAAATACTTCCTTAGTAAATGCCTTTTACATGCGCACTGTAAATAGAATGTTATGCATTATAAAATAAATCAACCAATTAATTTGTCGATCTCACCTCCTCCACTGGCCATCGCGCGAGTAGCTGTTCTCGCCAACACAGGGTTTCTTGACATTACAGTCATTCTACACGCACGGAGTAGTATTCTGCTTGCCATCTTGACAACTTTCAGTGCAAGGTGCGCTTGTGGCCGTGTTTCGACTGAAATGAACCTGTGTCTGACCGATGGAGGGCAAATGATTGACACAGACACCCGTCCACTCCTGAAGAAGAAATCGTTGTTTTGACCAATGAGTTTACAGGGACCCCAGGAAGTGCACAGACGAGTTATGGTTTAGTTCCGTGAAGTACTAAGAGAGCTCACTCACTGTAAGCAGGACACAGCTCGACACTTTATTGTGTTAAAGCAGCATATACGTGGAAGATGACACGGCTTTTGAATGAAATATTTTACTCAGGCATGTGCACAGATAAAGCGGCTCGATACCCTCCGACTGTACAATATTTGTGTTTTTATAGCCATTCTTCAAGAACTGTTTTCAGCGAGGTGAGGCTCAGTTTCGCCCTGGGAACCGAGCTGAGGGTCGGCTTGGGTTCCACGAGCTTCATCGCTTTTGGTCGCCCCCTCTGCGGAGATTTTACATTCGCCTTTGGAAAGTTCGGTAACATTAAAGGGGAATTTCTAATTTCTAAAATTCTGCTTAATTAAAAGTAAACAGAATCATTCAGAGGGGTTTAAAACTCCATTCGACAAAAATTTACCGAGTCAGAATCATTAAGAACCAGACATAAGAAGCCTCTGAAAGCTCCCTCACAAAAAGTTACAAATCCATGCTTGAGCAGTAACGCTAGTTTGGCTGCTTTCAAACTATGTTTGCTTTCCTCTGAAACATGATCAGACTGTCACTCTCAATAAGAGTGTCTGCAATGTGCAAGAAAAATTGTTATGTTTAACTGATGTCCGCCCCCCCCCCGCCCCCGAAAAAAGTGTGTGCACAGGCCTGAGGTTATTTCATATACATCAATGTTTTATTATCCATACAACTGAACCTACATTAACAACACCATATCCACTGTCCACGCATTTTGTATCATGGACTATAAGAATACAGCACACTATTCCCACTATGGGACAAACAATTGCCACATATTTAAGACTTACTGAAGGCAGTTTTAATACACAAATACTTCATTTTGTAAGATATGTACCATAGCCATAAATTGAGGCATGGAAAGCATGGAGCACAAAAAGGTATATAATACTCATATTTCATAATTTCTAAACTTCTGCAAAAGGCTTGAAGGAGCTTCACCTGTCCAGCGAAATCTGTGATGCCAGTAATCACCTGAAGGAGAGAAACACCAGAATTAGGCCTATTGGTAAAGCAGTAAGACCAAACTGCATCATTTCGCTAAAAACAAAACAGTGCATTTAATTTTTGGATTATTTCACCTTTTAACTATGTATTTAATTTTATGACTATTTGTAGTACACTTCCATTGCATGTACTAAGCATTCTGAAGGAAAAGAATATCTCATTTTTTTATTACTTGAACAAAGTCGTTCATCTGATGGTTTTCCCTCCAGTGAACCTTGACTGTCTGACTGACTGGCCTGGTTTTCAGAGCTGACTGCAGGCATATTTTTTGCTGCATCGAGCATTGGTTCCTTCTTGGTCCGAACAGCCCAGTGCATTGACTAAAAAAATCGAGGGCAGACAGGATGAATAATAACTACCAGCAAATGAATTTAGCATGTATTTCATCAGATGTTTGAGTGCATGTGCTTCAAATCAAGTTTTTTAATGTAAATCTACTCACATTTTAATCACTTACTAAGCTTATGGCATTATTTTATGCATTTTCATTTAAGCAAGTAATCATAATGGAAATATTGTGAATTTCATCAGTCACCCCACAGAAGAAAATCAATTAGTCTGGTCAAAAATGGCACTCACAGTTTTAACAGAGTCCCGCAGGGCCTGCCACTCACTGAATGGCAAAGTGATCCTACTCCTCAACCAGAAATCATAACTTTTTCTTTTGGTCTCATCTGTAAGAACATCTTTGGCCTCTTGTAATTTTTGAAACTCTTCCACTGTAAAAAAAAAATTGGACCAAACACAATTACAGGTTTGTTTATTGTTTCTTTACAGGAAACATTTTTAAAGGCCAAAATGCAAGCAATTCAAGACACTTATATACAGTGAGCTCCCAAAGTCTGAGACTACTAGTGAAGCTTCTATTTCTTTTTCAGTCTGAAGCATGTATTCAGATGACTCTCAGGTTGAACTGATCTACTTTTCAGAGGGCAAAATAGCCCTTCTGAAAAAAGATTTTAGAAACCATTAGGATTTAAACCTAATGGTTTTGCTTCCTAACGGTAATGGGTTTAATGGTTTCCAATAGAAAACATTTTCCTGTAGAATACCTTTAGATCCACTTAGGAAACCATCGAATGCATTTAGAATCAGCCATTGGTCACCACTGGTCAAACCAAACTACTGGGAACCAAAAGAAACACTTAATGGTTGCTATGCTTTTCTTTTTTTCTCATCAGGAAGGGACATACCCAATACTAAGAAATTCTTAAATGAATGTAAATACTTTAGGGATTCTACATTTCACTCCAATTGTGAAATTGACAATATAATTTGTCATGAAAATCTTATTAGTTTCGTTGCAATGCTGAGAATGATCCACCACCCATATAATACCTGCTCAGTGGTGGTCCTGACCAAGAATGGCTAACACATAATACTGCGAAATGTATAATGGTGCACTTAATAAAGTGGCCAGTAAGTGTATACGCACACACACAGTAAGGCAGTCCATTTTTATTTTGGCTTACCTGCTTTAGGATTTCCTGGATTTTTATCGGGGTGGCAGGCCAGTGCTCTTACTTTAAACTCGCTAACAATTTGTTCAGTCTGAAGCATACAAAAACAGCACAACAAAACCGATCACTCGCCAAAAAGTAGCCAACAGAAATCCTGATATCACAATCACAAGTGAGATTTTAAACAGCCGTTTCTTGATCTATTATCTAGTTACATAATCTGTTTTGGGTAAAATTAATATTCATAAAAAGTCAACGTTTTCGTAGGTCAGCGTGCGACTATAGCCTCCAGAAACGCTTCCAGTGTGAGTCATCAGCTGAAGGCAGTGACCGTCCGTGTTACGCATTCACACTGCCTGGGCTCGGTTTTTGTGTTGTACTGTTACAGACTAGTGTATATACCAGGAAACTTACCGTTGATAGCTCGTCGCACCCAAGCAGCCCGTAGTAATCTTCCAGATCCTCCGTTTTACAGTTTAGAATGGTCTCCATAAGTGACCACTGTTCGTTTCAGCCTGTGTCTGAACATCCACGGAAAGACAACACCGTAACGATTCCTATCACCGTGCCACACTGACCCCACTCTTCAATAAGAAACAGCCAACAACGGTGCGTGTGCGCGACTACACGAGACTGGCCGGTACTGTTTTTAATTTTTTACCAGAGCAGCCTCGCAGTTAATTTCGAGAATATGTATAAACTAAAAATACATACAAATGTAGTTGAAAGAGATTACAGACATCTTGTGCTATTCTTTTAAATGCAAACAGGTTTAAGTGTTCCTGAAACATGTGGAAAACATGTCTTGTAAGGAGTTTTGTGCATTTTTTTTTTACATGAGTGTGTCCAAGGATGCAGAATTTAATTTAGATTCCACAACTGCACACATTATAATTTTTATTCTGTGTGGAAAGTTTGGGTTACTGCTCTGTTTTTATGCATTTACACCTTTAAAACATACAAAGAGCATCCGTCGACACAAATACAGCCACCTTCACAGCCTCGTTCTTACAAGAGAGAACTAAAAAAAAAAACATAGAAACAGCATAACATACAATACGAGGGTTAAATGAAATGAAATCACTTTATAAGAACGTAACAAATTACATGACTTGACTATTTTTGTTTACTTTTGTAATACACACGATTGTGAAGATTGCGCGGCACTGTTTTGGTTCTTTCATTTTTTCATTGTTAAATTCTGCTATTACTGACGTCATATACTATGCCGACGTACAGATGCTCAACTTGTAGTTGGAAGCAGAAGTCACATGCGCGGTTTAAATATCCACCCAGCTGTGCTTGAAAGGCTTTACGGTGCCTGTACCCATTACATTAGGAAAACGAGGCCTGATCACACAGCTAAAGATGGCGGACGGGGAAAATAAATTGGTTGGAGCAAAAGCCGGTTTTGATGAAACGGAGGAGCCGGTTCTTAAGAAACCACGGATTAGTATTCTTAAAACCTGTACTTCGGATATTATTCAAGATGAGCAAAGACCGGGTGGAGCGGAGTCGGGTGAGAGTTGGGCGGCCGCAGCTTTAACACAGCCCGCGGATGAAGAGCCGGAGGTGGCGGTGGGTGAGGCCACGGTGTTGGAGCCAGGAGAAAACAACAATGGGCCGCAGATCTCCGAGTCCAGTAAACATGCTTCTAATACAGAGCAGACTCCCGTGTCTGCACTTGAAACTGAGTTCTCAGGTAGCCAGCTCACATGCCAAGTTGTTTTTGTATAGCTAGCTGATACATTAGCTGCGTTAGCTTGGAAAGTAGGCTAACTACATAAGCATATGTTAGTTCTGTGATTAAATAGGCTAAGCTAACGTCTGCTAGTTAGCAAGTGAGCTAACAGCGTATAGTGGTAGTTTCTATCCAGCCATAACATAACCTACGCTACTTAAGCTAGCTAACGCTAGCTTATAGCATTTAAGCGTTCTTTATTTGTTTGAAGAAACCTCCCAGCCAACTGTGCCAAATTTATTAAGCATAATTGTCAGTGGTAAATTTAAAGTTATAAGTTACTTTAGCTTGACAACAAATGATAGCCAGCTGCTAACACGGTAACTTATCTCCGGAGAACTGATGACTTACCGTTAACAGACTCAACTGCAGTTTTTGTGCTAAGAAATTCACTGTGCTTCAGTAAGTTTATCGTTGCAGGCACTGTGCAGTGCAGCCGGTGGTTTCTTTGAACTTGAAAATGGTCATAAGTGTAGGGATCGTAACTTAGTAGTTAGCATGCAAAAGGCACAAGAGAAGTAAAACAATGTTTGTCTAGACATAAACACACCGTTGATTCCGGTTTATTTACAGGGGAAATGATCGATGGTGTTCACCCAAATGGGTTTTATTCACCCAGTTTCAACGAAGACGACGACTGCTCCTCTAATGCCAGTTCCAGTGACTGGACTCCTCAGCCTCAGATTGGTATGTTGCCTCTGGTTCACTCACATTTCTGGTTCACCAGAAATGACCATGCAGATCTTGTAATTTAGAGTATTGAATTAGCCAGTCAAGTCATCGACGTGCATCACTTTTTTAAAAAACAAAAAACATTGTTAACCTGCATGTATAGCTGTATGGTAGTGTGTATTATAATTTGGATTTTAGATAGATTAACAAGTCTTATCCTGTGTTTTGTTAGGTTCTTACCGTTTCATTCGGCAACACATAATGAGAGGGACGGACCCAAGGACTATTTTAAAAGACCTACTTCCAGAAACTGTCCTTCCACCTGATCTTGATGACATGACACTATGGCAGATTATTATCAATATTTCGGAGCCTCCGAAGAGAAAGAAACGCAAGGATATTAACACCTTGGAGGATGTCGTGAGACTACTTAATGATGGCAAAAAGATACTTGTCTTAACTGGTGCTGGGGTATGTGCTTCTGTTTTCATCACCACAGCTCTTTGTTTGTTTGTCTATAAGAACCTGTCAGACAGAAATTGATATTTTAATTAGATTTATCATTGTCATATTGGTCACATGCAGAATTTTAAAAAAAAATTCTGGGGTTGGAGTTCAAAGAGTCAGTCATTTCAAACTTGTGACACGGCTGTTGTGCACCCATGCATACTCAGAAGTAGTGTGTGTGGTGGCAGGTCATTCCAATCTTTGATGACCTTTTTTTGTTAACTTGTTTTTGACAATAGATCATATTAAGTTATTTCTTACTGGCATGCATGTTAGGAGTAATGTCAGAGAGTCTCTTTGCTATGTACAGCAACATCTGTGGTTTTGTAAGCTGGGCTTGACCAAAATGAAAATTGTCACTGATATGAATACAGATTTTAAGGAGCTAAAGACTATCTGGCAAAAATTATTAAGTATATGTTATTTTAGTATTACATTGATCAGTATTATTGAATATATTATTTGATATGGTCCAAAATTAAACAAACTATCTTAGTTTAAGTGAACTACTGCAACATATCGCTGCTGTTGGAAGAAAACCTCGTGTCTCTATTTTTGTTGTTTGTCAGTTTTTGATATAATTTGAAAATGCCTACTGTCCTTTACATTGTGGTGTAAATTTCACGATGAATGGACCCAAAGAAATGGCCCAGAATGACTTGGAAAAAAGTCTGGTTCCATTGACTTATGTTAAAAGTAAAGTAGGTTTTTTCTTTCTCCTGTAATGTTATCTTGGAGATACGAGGTTTTCTTCCGACAACAGCGCTATGCACAGTTATTGTTCAGTATGTGTTAGAGCAGCCTATAAAGTAAACCTGTGCAATGCTAAAGTGACCAGTCAGTGGAGTCACTGTGCATACTTTTTATGTCTGGACACACATGGAACAAAAAGGAAATCTTTCATGTGGATATTTTGATTTACTGTCCTCCAGGTGTCTGTTTCTTGTGGAATACCTGACTTCAGATCCAGAGACGGGATTTATGCTCGACTTGCTATAGATTTTCCAGACCTTCCAGATCCTCAAGCAATGTTTGACATTGAGTACTTCAGAAGGGATCCAAGGCCATTTTTTAAATTTGCGAAGGTCTGTATGCTTTTCACTTACTTTTATTTTCCTGTCTTGTTTTTCAGTACATTTCATACCTTTTGTAATTTTTTTTTTTTTCTTTTGTAGGAAATCTACCCAGGACAGTTTCAACCATCGCTTTGCCACAGATTCATTGCACTGCTGGATAAGAAGGAGAAACTTCTGAGGAACTACACTCAGAACATTGATACTCTGGAGCAGGTTGCAGGGGTCCAGAATGTCATTCAGTGTCATGGTATGGTAATTTAATATTGCAATATACTAAGTCTGGCTAAACAAAAAAGCAAAGTAACAGTCTATTTGGGAACACTTAGAAGGTCACTTTAGAACTTCATGAAACATTCGCTGTAAACCTGTATAGTTCATAATTCGTAAATGTCTGTGTAATTTTTTTATAATAAATAAATTAGGCCATAATAAACGTATTAGGTTGTGAGTAAACTTGCTTAGGAATTACACACAGATATTTATGAAGCTTCTGTCAGCCACTACATTTGGTGTTACTTTCATACTTACTATATCCAACACACTTCGATTGTTGTTCTCAAATGACCAGTTAAGTTTGTCTCATTGAAAGATTTAGCTGATGAGCCCCCACAAGTGATTTATCTGTTTGTCTGTTCAACCCACCAACATGGTGAGGACATTTTGATTTTGTTAGTTTGAAATTTGACTTGCATTTTGCATCATGCATAGTTAGACATTTGGCTCTTTGCTAAATCCCTCTCCTCAATACCAATTTTAGCTTAGCACCTGTATCCAATAGTAGCCTAGTGGTGGTCCTACAATAGTCTTTTTGCATTGATGAATGGGGTAGAGGGCTGCTGATAGATGTGCTCATCAGAAATTGTATACTTTAAAAATGCATCTATATGTTTGGAGTACCTGATAAAATTGTCAGGTCCAATGTATGTGACACTGTAATGGTGCAGCTACAATGATACTTTAAATGGGGCCTTATTTAGTAGTTTCTAAAACTAGTCTCCTATTTTTTCTGCAATAGTTTTATTATTATTATTTTAATTGCATAGCTGCCAGTTCAAAGTCAGTGTTACAGGATGATAATACTGTGATAATAAACATTTTGTCTTCAACCAGTAGTTGTGTTAACCTCAATATTTCATTTGGCGTAAGTATGTATACATACACTGCCTGGCCAAAAAAAAAGATTGCACACACTAATATTTCGTTGGACCGCCTTTAGCTTTGATTACGGCATGCATTCGCTGTGGCATTCTGTCCAGAGTTGCATTAATTTTTCCCCAAGATCTTGTATTGATGATGGGAGATTTGGACCACTGTCTTCTCCAGCACATCCCAAAGATTCTCAATGGGGTTCAGGTCTGGACTCTGTGGTGGCCAATCCATGTGTGAAAATGATGTCTCGTGCTCCCTGAACCACTCTTTCACAATTTGAGCCCGATGAATCCTGGTATTGTCATCTTGTAATATGCCCGTGCCATCAGGGAAGAAAACATCCATTGATAGAATAACCTGGTCGTTCAGTATATTCAGGTAGTCAGCTGACCTCATTCTTTGGGCACATAACGTTGCTGAACCTAGACCTGACCAACTGCAGCAACCCCAGATCATAGCACTGCCCCCACAGGCTTGTACGGTAGGCACTAGGCATGATGGGTGCATCACTTCAGCCGCCTCTCTTCTTACCCTGATGCGCCCATCACTCTGGAACAAGGTAAATCTGAACTCATCAGACCACATGACCTTCTTCCATTGCTCCAGAGTCCAATCGTTTTGCCGGTTAGCCTCACTGATAAGTGGTTTTCTTAAGGCTACACAGCTGTTTAGTCCCAATCCCTTGAGTTACCTTTGCATTGTGCGTGTGGAAATGCTCTTACTTTCACTATTAAACATATCCCTGATTCTACTGTTGTTTTTCTACGATTTGATTTCACCAAACGTTTAAGTGATCGCCGATCACAATCATTCAAGATTTTTTTTCAGACCACATTCCTTCCTCGAAGATGATGTTTCCCCACTGTCCTTTCACTTTTTAATAATGCGTTGGACAGTTCTTAACCCGATTTTAGTAGTTTCAGCAATCTCCTTAGATGTTTTTTTCTGCTTGATGCATGCCAATAATTTGACCCTTCTGAAACAGATTAACATCTTTTCCACAACCACAGGATGTGTCTTTCTTGTTGTTTAACAAATGAGAAGCTACTCACTGCATCAGTTAGGGTTAAATAACTTGTTGCCAGCTGAAACATAATCACCCAAGCAGTAATTATCCAATGGGAGGCTCTTACCTATTTGCTTAGTTAAATCCAGGTGGTGACCTTTTTTTTGGCCAGGCAGTGTATATGAAGAACTTTGTTATATGAGTGTCTTAAGTGGGCAGAGTCCAAATGAAGCGAGATGAAAGCAAGTCAAGACTAAAACCCCCCAAAAAATGAGTCCTCTTAAAAGACCCTTCCTTACTTAGTCTTTTTAGTCTTAGTCTCTAGTGCAAATTACTGAAAAAAAAATAAGGAAACATTTTCTCTATGCAAAACAAAACTGTGTACAAAAATAACTCAATCAAATTCAGTTTATAATAAAATATCTTACTTTGTACCTACAAACACAAATGTGTTGTGGATTTTCTGAAGTCATTCTGAAGCGTTTAAATGAGCAAAATTGACTCTTTCAATCAGTAATGCCATCTGATATCAAGAACCCTTTCTAACCTTTTATTTGCTTGGATAATCTGCTCTTTGTTTTTAAAGAGAGTTCAGTCAGAGAGTACAAGACAAGTCCCATACGACAAAAAGACCAGATTTGAGAACTACAGCCCTGTTTGAATGTAATACGTATACTGTGACAAAAAGCTGATCAGATATACAGAAAATGTGCAGTATTTTACTGCCAGGTTCATTGCCATCCAATCAGTTTTTCAAAACATGCTTCTCAAACTGTCCTTCCTATCAAACAGTCCAGCTGTCCTATGCAACATAACTAACCAATTTAACTCTGATTGGCACACAAACTACAAACACTGTGAGCTGGCTAAATAGGTGCAAAACATAATCATAGTAATGCAAGGCTGTCAAATTCAGTAAAATGCCATTTACAGGGTAAGGGCTACTGTATGAAGAAATGTTTGATACAGCTGTTGCTACTGAGGAAGCTATATCCTGACAAATTCAACTAGATACCTCTGCAACAGAATGCTTGAAATTACTTCAGATTTAACAGCATAAATAACAGCAAATAATCAAGGCTGTTTGTTGAGGGATATCGAACGTTAAACACATCTGTCTGTAAGACCGGACTGGAGTACTACAGCCCTGTATGAATGTATTTCACGTATTGTGACAAAAACTGACGAGATACCTATATAAGCATTCATAAATGCAAGTGTGTGTGTGTGTGTGTATATATATATATATGTGTATATATATATATATATATATATATATATATATATATATAATTTTCTTTTTCTTTTGAAGGTTCCTTTGCAACAGCATCCTGCCTTGTCTGTAAGCACAAAGTTGACTGTGAGGCCATAAGGGAAGATATATTCAAACAGGTATAACTAATACTTCTACGTAATAACATACTATATTTAATTTGAATGTAATTAATTTTGCTACAGTGTATAATTCAACAGATTTGTTTCATGAATGTCTCAAGTGTATTGCAGTTATACTGGAGAGGGCTTCTCCACTCCACCATTTCTACCGCTTACTACAATGTGTGCTTGTCAACATTCCTTTCATGCCAGCCCAAATTAGAATAAAGAATTTTCTCCAGTCAGTGACTGAGTTAAAAAATAGTTTTTCTAGTTTTTTAATTATATTCTTGTAACTGAATTGCTAGAACCTGAAATTAGAACCACTGGAAGAGAACCTGATAAGTTAACAAAATATGCCATTTCAGCATGAAATAGCATAATTGCATTCAAGAGACCATGTGATCATTAGTTTTATGAGTTCCATGAAAACTAAAGCAGTCAAGCAGGAAACACAAATCTTGTTCAGATTAAAAATTTGTTTTTTGTATGCATTAACATTGGAGGGCTTGAGCTCATTACTTGATGACTGTTCATGATTTTTGTCTGCTCTCCATCAAAGCGTTCTCATCTGAATGATTGGTGATATATGGAATAAGATTAGATGATGGGAACAAGACCATCTTGCTTTAGAAGATCAACTGATGAGCAGCTGGTAGTGTGCTATAAAAATGTTGAAGTTATTATAGTCACACAGTTATGTCAGTTAGATGTGCAAAGGTGTTACCTTGCAATTTGCCATGGTTTTCTTGCACTGTTTTTATTGATCTGCTCTGAGAAAACAGACCTTCTTTCCAATTTGACAGTAGGTCAAAGACAGGTGGGGGCAGATGAGCAATATCTTGAATCAGCCAGCAAAGAGAAAAGAACCAAGAGCAAGTGAAGTATAAGCTACTAGCTAGTAAATATAAAGAGTATGAAAAAAGCTGAAAAACTAACCTGCAACACTAAGGAAAAGAAAATTACAATAAACCTAACCGAACTACACTCACAATAAACAGGCAAACAAATCAGACCAAAAGGGCAAATCAGAGCAGCAATTGTTAGGAGTAAAATAATCTTAAATTCTTGTAAAACCCACAGTCCAACCATACCATTCCAAGAAATGGTCTCGAGCGTCAAGTCAAGTCAAGTCAGCTTTATTGTCAATACTACAGTATGTACAAGACATACAGAGTGTTGAAATTGCGTTACTCTCAGACCCCAGTTTCATTTGGTTCGGGCCAAAGGGAACTCCACAATAACCTCTGCATTAGCAGCAACAGGTCAACCTTATTTTTGCATGACTTGCTTCTCCAAATTAGGGCCAGTCATGCTTTGCAAGATTCAGGCTGGCTTTATACAGTGAAACTTCCTTCCAAATAGTTTCATGTTGTGTAAAAACATAACTTCCATGCAAATTGACATTGACATAAAGCAATTCAAAAACAAAGTTGCACACAACACGTGATTATTCCACTAGTTAACTTAAAAAGCCGCTCATACTTTTCAGTACACTGTATAAACTTGTCACTCCTTGTGGTGTTATTTACATATTTGCAGCATTTTTGTAGCCTTCATATTTGTCCTTCAGGTTAGGCTTTAACAGGTTTTATTCTTTTGCAGGTTGTTCCCCATTGCCCAAAGTGTCCTGACATCCCTTTTGCTATTATGAAACCAGACATTGTCTTCTTTGGAGAAAATCTTCCAGAATTGTTTCACAGAGCAATGAAACAAGACAAGGATGAAGTAGATCTCCTTATTGTCATCGGATCCTCTCTGAAAGTGCGACCGGTTGCTCTCATCCCAAGTATGTGTCCGCTTGTAATGATTCACTCTCATTTAATTTGGTGTTCTCAAATTTAATGGGACTCTCACCTTATACTAAAGTACCCTACAAACTGTATGGTAAATATTACAAAATATATAGTAAATAACACATTAACCAGGTTACTTGGTTGGAAGGCAGGGGAATGAGAATTTAATTCACTTTCTTTACACACTTTCAGCCCACCTCAGTGTTCTCATGTAGAGATTTCCTAAATAAAACTTTTTTTCATAAATTACTTCATTTCAAAAATGGTCTTTAGTGTTCAAACTTAGTGTCAGAAAGTCCTCTTGTGCCATAGTCACTTTACCAGTAAAAGGGCTGTCACCTCGATTGCCAATATTAAAAATGTCTCCAAGACTTGTGACTTGATCATTAACCAAGTTAGATTGGAAAAATGTCTAATAGCCTAAAATATAATTCAAGTGGAGTTTAAGAAAACCCAACTGCTCTACCTCACCAGGACTGTGTAGACATTTCCGGCTGCACATTGTTTGGCAGTAGCTTAGCCATGGCAGCAGGCATTTTGGCTTTTTTAAGCTTTTGTTTTCTTGCACAGTATGGGCATTGAATATGTGAAATACCTAATTCAGAGACAAAAATTACAGTAACCTAGGAGTAACTGCAGTAAGGGTGGTAAATGTTAATGGATATTGCAAGTAGGAGTTTGGCAAACACTTCATGTAAACACTGATAGCATTTGCAAAATTATAGTAATTTTGTAACATTTTTTTGATAAGCTAAATTATACTAGTAAACAATTTATGTGTAGAAAACTATACATAAAGAGCTAGCTTGACACTTTACTTACATGCTCTGCCCAGCATCATCTCCAACAAGCAGTGACACTAGTAAGAGAACAGTTGTATCAACAAGTGGCTTTCCGAAGCCCAGCGTCACCACAATAAGCCACAAGAGGCCATTCATTACAGTGTATTGCCATGGTTAAGAGACATCAATCGTGATGCTAGCTTGCTCACTCCTGGTGGTTGCTCAGATACAACTAAAGTTCAATTGGTCTTTGTTATTCTTCAGTATAACTTGATTTAACTAAAAAGACCTTGATTTTTGTGGGATAGGGTTGTGGCAAGGGAGAGCTTACAGAAAGTTTGCCCTAATTCTGATAGGTACAAGGAAAGGCTTGATGCATAGACAGAACTTAACACCACATTGGTGGTGTGGGTTGACAAGCAGCAATAAAAATGCTCATGATGAAATCTGTACCACAGGTTGAAAGGTAGTAGTAATAGAGTGGGTGGTGTACCGTTAGGATTTTTTTTTACTAAAGCTATGGGTTTCCCATAGTACTGACACTAGCTCTGCCTGCAGTGCACATTTGTCACTCGGTTGCATCACACAGCAGTGGTTCTTCCAGCCTATTGCTTGAACAAAGCTGAGAAAGCCGTGGCTCAGCTGCTACTACTGACAGTTTGAATGACTAATATTTACTGAACTCCGGCAGAGTCTTGATACATAGAAATGTATGCATAAGTGTATGAGATAAATGACTTGAAAAATTCTGATCTGAAACATTCAGCTCTGGTTTGGCCTAGCCAGAAAAGCTGCTTCATGTTTACATGTACAGACCACATGTTTATTTATATATTTTTCAGTTCTATTTTAACTATTTTGTGCAATAAAAATATTTTGCATTTACTTTAGTTGTTAAATATGGTTCTTATTACCAATTCTCTAATATTAAATACCAAAGATACATAAATCAACAAAAAATGATTAGTCTTAAGCATCTAAAATGTTTATATATTCCAACAAGTACAAAAAAAATCATTCAAGCTTGTTATGGTTAATTGTTGACAAGGAACACAGCTTTTACCAAAATAAAATGTTAAAAAGTGGAACTGTATAAAGCTAGATGGTTAAATAGAGTTAGTATCTGTATCGGTAATCTGTATCAGCCAACACTCCAGGATCAGGCGTCCATATCTGTATCAGAAAGGAAAAAGTGGGATCGGTGCATTCGTACACATAGAAGTTGCACATAAATGAACAGTGATTTGAGTGCAATTGATTAATCACTGTCAGCTACATTTTAGTTTGTTTACGTAGTTGTTTGCATATTAGTTGCAAGCAAACACACAAATTCACCCTCATGTACATATAATTTATATGAAACACATTCTTATTTATGCAGGTGTACATGTATATGCATGTAATCTATGTGAGAAACTTTCAAATTTATGAAGGTGTGAGGCAATAAAAGTAAAACATTGAGCGGCTCACGGTGGCTCATAATCTATTATTATAATTATTATTAGATCATTATTATAACTGATCATATTGATAATTATTTTGACTACATGCAAAATAAAGCATTTTCAGGTTGTTCTCAAATGTACATGCACATCAACCAGACATGAATTTGATCCTATAGATCAAAGTCAGAGTAACTGACCAATCATGAAACAATCTGTTAAAGTTGCTCGCACCCATTTTATGCCACATAATTGAATTAAAAATAAAGTAAATGAATAAAGGCCATTGTGACTGTTTGGAGTTTTCCAAATGAGCCGTCTGTTCCAGCTTTGTTTGGTGTAATGTAACTAAAATCTAGCTGTGTAGTTTCCTCATTTCAGTATATAGCTCAAGCTCAGAAACAACAAATGCATTTTTTCACAGTGCTTATCTCAGTGAAGGTAACCAGTAATTCTGGGGGACTTGCCAAAGAAAAGCCCTGTAGTCATCACCTTCCTACTGTAAGAAAATATATTACAGATGTGTATTTCGATCCTAAACCTGGCTGCGCTAAACATTTTAATGGTAATGCTTATTATGAAGCCCTTCATGAGCTGAGAGATTGGGGATGTAGCACATAGGCCCTTCAGGACTCATGAACGCTTAAGCAAAATGGGGTGTGATGCGTGGGGAAAATACAAAAATGTGCAGAGCATGAGGTCCCTGTGACTGCGTACCCTTTTCTTTTACATGGCCTTGAATTTGATACCTAAGCCAATACACATGGCCTTAAATTACAAACCAACTGAGTATGAGCTGGATACATAGAATCACCACTGTGGAATCAGCCTGCCTTCTTGAGGTGCACAGCCCATTTCGTCATAGGGAATGCAAAGCAGTGTAACGTAAAAACAATGTTTAAACAGGAATTAGTGAGGTTGGTAAATATCTTGCACATTCACCATTACACATTAGCCGTCCTATTTCTTTTGAACGGTCAGTAACAGAATGAGTGCAACTTAGTGTCCAATCTAGAGCTGCATGATTTGGTTATTGTGTCTATTTTCAGTATTTGGTGTAAAATGCATAGACTGTATGTATGAATCAGGTTACTGTCACAACAAACTTGTATCATCATAAGGAGCTTTTTAAGAAATTAAATGCACATTTCTTAATTTTTGTAGGCCTATATTGAAAATAAAAATACACTGTCTACTGTCTAAAATGCAAATACTACATTGTCACTGTGATGTACAACAGCTTTATAGAACATCACATTTTATGTCTGTATCAGGCAGCCCTACTCCAGTCACTGAATTGCATCATATATTATTTACTAGTGATTTAGACAACAGTACAGGCTATGCTGTGTATTATGGTTTGAGTAAATATTAATGCATATTTGCTTCTTCTAAGGTTCTCTTCCCCATGAAGTGCCTCAAGTTTTAATCAACCGTGAGCCACTGCCCCACTTGAACTTTGATGTTGAGTTGCTGGGAGACTGTGACGTTATTGTCAATGAACTATGCCATAGACTGGGTGGGGACTTCAAACAGCTTTGCTACAACTCCTCACCACTTAATGAGATCACAGAGAAACCTCCTCCTTTGACATCTTCTCTGCTCGAACAGTCACAGACTGAAATCCAGTCATTTGAGGTTGAACACACAGAAAAACATGAGATGGTCACAGAGACACCAGAGAAGGTCACAGTTGTAGACTCTTGTTCAAAAACACAGTTGATGAAGGAATGCAAAGATGGGGGAATTAATGCATCACCTTCTCCAGCCAAGGAAGCAACACCCTACTCAGAGCACGAAAACAAGAAAATTAGTTTCAAAGGAACAAGCCCTTGTCCAGAGAGCTCAGATGCCTACCAGAATTCACCAACAGAAACAAATGATGCTACTCTAAATGCACACTACCAAAAGGAGGAGATAACAGAGAGATTGGAGACACAAACTGAAGAGGATGCAAAGCACAGAAGTCATAATGTTAAAGTCCGTAAACAATGCAGGTTGAGCCAAATTCTCAGAAGTCCAATCAGTAAACGTCTTGAAGGTGAGATTAATACTTACTCCATTATGATATATATGACGATATATTACAGCAGGGTTTCTGATTGATGTCTGAACAATGGTATCAAGCTTTGTTCTGTGTAAATGTAAGCATGTAATGTACTACAGTATGTGACTCTTGTGACAGAGATGCATTTTGACAACCCATTAGTCTAACAATGGGGTTAATATACATAAATATTAAAATTATTCATTATTGACACCAGATAGCAAAACAATAATTCACCAAGAGCAATATGAATAAACATTTGACACATTAATATCGATTAGTATATAAAAAAAGGAAAGCCTGTCATTGGACGGAGGTTTTTAGATTAACCAGTATGACTACTGTCAGGAGCCTATAAGAGTAACAAATGAGAAATAGAAATATGAAGACCAGTCACTGTTACTGACTACTTAGTGTTATCGTCACTGTTATTGTCACTGACCTACGGTTAGAGGCCAGTCAGAATAACTGATGCTTATAATGTGTGTTCTGTTTTGCAGCTTGCCAGTACTTATTTCAAACACCAAATCGCTACATCTTCCATGGGGCTGAGGTGTATTCCTGCTCAGAAGATGAGACTTCCAGCTCTTGTGACAGTGAGGGTTCCTGCTGTAGTGGGGATGTTTTGGAGGAAGAGGAGAGTGATGCTGAGGAGGAATGTGCACCAGCACAGGATCCAAGAGATGGAGAGGATATTGTTAGAGAGACAGTATGTGAAAATAAATGCACATCCAGCCTTCACACAGACAGTATGACACTGAATCTACACACAACTACAGACTCTTAAGATACAGTTGTCTTCTAAACTTGTATTTCTCTATAAGCACTGTGTATATTTAATGTGCTCATTTCTGTCTTAGACTGTATATTTTTGTACTCCCATCCCTCCCTTGTACTTTTACAGTGTTCTCCAAAATGTTTGGGACAGCAAAGTTTAAAAATGGCTATTTTTACTGTATATTCAAGCAGTTTCAATTAAAGACTTAAAGACAAATTTGAGAGATAGTAAGGAATGTTACCTGTTATTTCTGGCCATATGTGCTTTATTGTTTAGTTGCAGTGTTTGTGTTTATTTACACCTTTTGATGAGCATATTTCTGGTTGCAAATCCCCTGAAAAGAACCAAATTAGGTCTGCAGCTCAGACATCAGCATGCTTCTGCTTTTGATGTCTGTCTAGAAAGTTTACATAAACTGAAGTAAAAAAACTACCAGAACTTGATATCTAATTTGGACAAAGCAATATCAGCTATTTGGAATTAACAAAAAGTGCTGATTTGCATAACAGTTAGCAACAACCAGGCCAGCTGAGGTGAGAACAGAACATAGAACATTACCAGAGCTGTAAAGAAAACCTTGAACAAGCCTTTTGAGAATGTTTTATAGATATAATGGATAAGTCTATAAATACAAGAAGGTTCAAATATGGAGAAAGGAAAAATAGACAGTGCAAACAAACTACCTCATTTGTGAAATGCTAGAACTGATCTTAAATCTATTGGAGGGCACTGTATGTCAGTCTTCTGTTGCTTTTGTTGGCTCTTTAAAATCAGTTCATTTGTTGTCATCTCTATGTTCTGTGTATTTCTGTTCTTAAATGTTCATTAGAAGTTTAATTCCAATGAATGTTTCAACCTGACGAGACGACTAACTGAGATCGGCCTTTAACGATATTGTTCAAAAAGGGGGTTTTGTTTTTGTTTTCTAGACCAAAGAGCATTTTCCACATTTATAAAGTATTTTGAGTCAATTTTTTTATAAACGTTTGTTGTTGGAATGGTAGACCAAGTTCCCAACCTGAGCATCAAATTGTGGCATGTTTTGGTAATGTGGCAGCTAAGTGTTTTGTAAGAAGTAAATTTGATATGGTGGACATTGTTGTGGATGAGAATTTCTACACTCTACCCAGCAGTTTTAATTTAAATGACAACTAGACTTGCTTTCATTCAGAATTCTAACAAAAAGATTCACTTCAGCAGCCATACATCCATAAACATCATACATTTTTAAATTTATCCAAGCCTTAATTATCACATACTTCACTAATTTGATACATGACAATAGAAAACAATTGTAGGCTGAACATCAAAAAGGGAAAATCACAGCTTTTTCTTTTCAAACTTCTAAAAATCCTGTGAAAGTAGCCTCTAGTGGACCTGAATGCTCATTAGATCTTAGTTTGTTTTAGCTGTACTTTTTGACAGTTGTTAACAAAAGTATCATGTTACCAGTAACTCCTGTTGGCTTTTTTGAAAGAAATGCTTCAGGTTAGATTCATCAAAAGGCCAGGATGTGGCTGTGGTGGCAATAAGGAAACTCCACTGATTTTTCAAAATTTCTGCATAATTAATTAATTTATTAAAATTTAAACAAAGTAATTCAGTGTGGCTTGATGTGAAACTTACTAAGTCAGAATTGTTCACAGTGGTGGTGAGAGGAACCACACATCTGAAGCATTTAAAATTGGTTACAGTTATGTTGCTTTACATCTGAGACATTTTTGTCTCAGATGTAAGTACAATTGCTTAGAGAAATGTTTTTGGCCTAAACAGTGTTATTTAAAACTATTTAATGGTCAAGAGGTGTTGTGGACAGGGCGTTTTAAGGCAAAATAGTCCCCTGAATTACTTTGTTTATATCTCAACAGTTAACTTGGAATTAAAAATCGATGACATTCCCCACAACTTTAAAGAAATAGTCAATACACCCACATGAATGACCATCACACACCATACTGAAGGTCACACTGAACCCATGGTTTGCCTGGGAATTGTGGCTTTGGCCTCAGAAGTTCCAAGATAAGTAGAAGTAGTAAGTAGCTTGATTCAAATTTAAATGAATCAGTTTCCAGGAGCCAGTGGTGCATGAACAAATTGATCCGGTTGAATCAGATGCTCTTTTTTTGAAAATTTGTTTTGAGCAGCACTGTTGTATACTGGAAACGCATAGTGGCCATTTTAATGTACCTAAGACTTGTCAATTTATTAGTATATATTTAGCACTTGCTCATAGAATTGACAACAGCCAGCCAGTTAAACACACCAAAAAACAAAACAATTCTGCCAGTTTCATAAAGTCACATGGACTCTTTTATCTTGTCTTACTTTTTCTGCCATGTGAATGAATTTTTGGTTATGTAGGCAACATGCAAAAGGACAGCTAGCTTTTGCAACACATGGAGCACAGCATAGTAACTATTTATGTACTTATGTACCACATACTCAGGGTTTTTTTTAGGTTTGTGCTTCTTTAACTTGATTTTTAATTTCTTACATGCATGTAATAATTAAAGATTTGGGCTTCCAAATTTAGTAAACATACGTTGTGTGTAAATACATGTACATACATCCAGTGCATATTTTAAATGGGTAGTTCTGAACCAGTCCATGGAACCCACCGTCCTATACGCTTGTTCCAGGGCTGCATCTAGAAACTTTACTGCTCCCATCCTCCCCCTCCCTTTCTATTGCTCCTCTCGTGCCACAGAAGAATATGGAGTGATCAAGGAGAGGAAAGGAATAGTAGGAAAGGAGAGCATGATCGGAGACTGGGGGAAATGGACAGCTGATTCCTTTAAATGTCATTACATTTGATGTCAACTATTGGCGAAATGAGCCAATCACATTCACCCTAAGCTGCTACACAGAGTCAGCCTATTCACTTTTTCTACTTTTTTCTATTCTTTTCTACTTTCTTTTTTACATCAAGTACTAAATACGCAACACAATTATATAAACTCAACTAAAACATGGAATTTAAAGTATAGCTGGATTGCTTTGCGTCTGTCCATCCTCTCTGGTCGTGTCTGCAGTGATGTCACTCTAAAATCTGGTGTATACTCCGCTTGAAGTGGGTCCTCTGTTATTCGAACATCCAGTAAATTGTGAAATTGGTTCCCGGTCACAGAGGAGAGGAGGAAGATTGGCAGGAAAATGCTGATCCAGCCCAGATCCTATATATATAGTGTGTTTATTTATATGTGCTTGGTGCAGCACTGGAGAAAAGTGTAATGTAAGTAAATATTTCTGCACACTTAAATTATTTACTATTTAGAGATAGGCTATGATCTGAGGGATCTTTATTTCCTTTATTTAGTCATCATATGTTTAGCACATCCAGTGGACTATCGTCAGTATTTGAGCCGCTTCAGGGCTTATGATCTAAGGCCTCCTGAGGCCACTAGCATTTAGAGGCCCCTGGATATCAAGAGGACTTGATAATTACGAGTTGGCTAAGATGTGTTGGGTCAATGAATAGTTGAAACTGAATAGACCAGTGGAACCCCAGAACTAGAGCTGAAAATCACTCATCTACAATACAGTGAACAGGATTGATCAAGGCCACTAGATTTAACTGTGTTCCTGAAGAAGCTTTAACGCACCCAAGTTAACAACTCAAGTCTAATTATACCAATATACCATATTCCGTTGCAGTTATATGTTTTAAGTATATATTAACCCTCTGGGGTCCAGAAACTTGCCCACACATCAAAATCCATGTTCCTATATATGTTTATCCTTGCAATAACACAGTGCAGAAATATGACTCAAACATTTCATGAATTTGTACAATCTTCCCTTTCGATTCCATATTCACATGAGATTGTATGTGACTCACATCCAGGGTTATGAGGCTATAAATAGGGGTTGAGATACACGTCATGAAACTCAAAAAAGCACTAAGGACACAGGACCAATACTATCGGACCTTAAGGACCATGTTGTACCTTGGTGGTACTTTTGTAACTATGATAAAATAATGTCTGAGACATGAGGCAGTGTAATTATAACCATTTTGTGTCAGAACTTTCTGTGAACCCACTTTTAGAGGCATGTTTCAGATGTCTGGTTGGTATCACCACTACTGTTAACAGGTCTGACTCTGTAAGTTTCTCTAGAACAGAGGCTTTCACATCAAACTACTCTGAATTATTTTGTTTAATGGATTAAAGTCAACTGGGAAATTCACACTTACAACACATCTAGGCACTTTGTGTTATCTGTAATTGGGGGATGGGCGGGCAGTTATTCATTATGAAAGTCCTAATTATTAAAGATTTTGCTGATGTTTTCTAAATGAGGAAATATACAAACATGCAACAAATAGGAGTGAAAAACATACTGTCTTAGTAAGGTGTCAGACAATAATAAACTGCCAGAATAGCTTCATTGCACCTTGGCATAGATTCTACAAGTCTCTGGAACTGTGCTGAAGGAGTTGAACACTGTTTTTTCAAAAGATATTCCCTTAATTGTTCTTTTGATTATGGTGGTCCTGGGTTGAGCTCTCTTGACTGCAAAGGCTATAGCATATGACTTGCATCAATTTTGCATTCATCAAGCCATTCAGTGACCCCTCATCCATGTGAATGTGGGCATTGTCATCCTGGAAGAGACCACACCCTCTCATCTAAGGGGACAACTGGACTCAAACCATGCCAGCGAAATGCCCCTAATAGCATAACAGAGTCACCAGAGCCCCTCACTGTAGTGGTCAAGCATTCTGACCTGTACCATTCTCTTGGTGAATGCCACACATGCACTCAAAACACTAGTGGAGAATATGGTGGAGGATGACTCCACCATATTGTGATCTGATCACATGTCTGTAAACAAGTATCTATAGTTTTTACCAAAGGGAACCCTCAGGAGCTAGAAGTATTTGATGAATTCAAGCCCATTTTTATTTAATAAAATCATGCTTGTATTTAAACTCTGCAAGCATTACAGTGGGCAGCATGGTGGTGCAGTGGAAACACAGTTTATAAGATGAATTAATTAATGAAAAGTACTACAATACTACTTATTTTCTTGTTAACATGTGGATGGAAATAAAAGAGTTAAACTCTTCAAACACATACTGGAAGCCAGTCAGGAATTTTTTTCTCTGTGGTATAAATGAGTGCTTCTATTGGTTAGAACTTCAAGATCTGAAGAGAAAGTTATTCTGTTAGAATAACTATCAGCATAATTTCCAAGTGACAGAAAAATCAACCAATCATGTTTTGATTTACAATGGATGGGACCAATTTTGTGAGACAAAACACCACTCAAGGCCTTCTGAAAGTCCTACATTCACAGCCAGTGACAAATAGTAAGAGGGTTGTTAGAAATGGGAAACAGCGGCAACAGCTCCATATCAGGCCTCTCTACTGAAAAATTAACTGTAAAACTGCTACAGGGTAAACATTTGCCAACATGTCTGTCACAAGCTTCAAATTAAACATTCAATGCTTTACAGAAGCATCAAATGTCTGTGTTTAATTTAGAATGGCCAAAAGATGTTTATGCAAATCTCTGTAAGATTAGTGCTAACAAACTAGCACAACCCTACAGGGATGTTAGCAGAAATTAGCATTAGAGGAGAGGTGGAGTTTTTCTCTTTATTTTTTGACCAAGTTTTGACATTTATGGCTCAACTGAAAGTCTAGCTCTTATAGTTATGGTTCGCCACTGGTTTTTACAACACTGAACTCTCAAATGTGCATGCCTTGTAATAAGGGTATATGCTCTGCAATCCCACTATCCCTCTCTATGTGGCTGTAGACAAATGGGTTTTGGTGACACAGTCTGATTGTCCTGCACTGACATTCTCTGTCACCTCAGGAACAGTTTCTCTTCTGTTTTTCCTCACATATCAGACTAACGCACAAGCATCACAGTCAATGAGTGTGCATATTTGACTCTAGCCAAAGGAGGCCCTGAAATGACATGGGTTTTTCTATAATGGATTGAAAAAAATACTCCTGCCTGCAAAGTAACCAGAGATTTTTTTAATTAATATATCTCAGGATAATTATCTCGAGATAATCATCTTGGGATAAATAACTCTGGATAATTATTATTAATCTGAGGAAAAAATCTTGAGATTTATAGGGAAACCTTAAGCGCAGTACCCACTCCGCTCTGTAGATAGCATCAATACGACGTTTAGGCACCTCCGTGAAGCTGGTCTTCCATGTGGTCAGAAATGGAATAAAAAATAGTACTATTTCTTTGCGCCGTGGGAATCATCGTTTGTGCTGGCAGCATTTTTGAGAAATTAAACATTATATTTTATTAGCTGTGACGTCACTCAATTCCCCATCACCGTCTAAAGCACACAAAAATGGTCTCATTCGTTTGTGCTGTTAAAAGAAATATTTGTGCTCCTTTAATTATTAAGTTATTGGATAGACAGTTTTTTTTTGTCACGAGCGATGACAATATTATATTGTGATTATATTGAAGCTGAATTTATGCCTTCCTTACTCTATATCTATTCCATATACAAAAAAATAAAAGCCTTTCTGGCCCTATATTGTTTTTGAAAATTACTAATTCCGTTTCCTTCAAACCTTTTTTCCTGAATGAGAACAATTATATCTGATGTTAACATATAAAAATATTACAGATGTGTTATGACTCCTTCATGGTTTAATATTTTTAAAGATTACATTTTTGACTAAGCAGCACAATAAAAGTCAAATAAAGCTTTTCAAAATCAAAATAAGCTTTATAATGCTCCAGACGCTCTGCACTACTTTATTAAAGGTGATTTTTTTTTATATATTATATTTAATGTTTCTTTTTTAAATATTTAACATTCTAGCTCAGTTTAGTCTTTGAGTTGGGCGAATTTCAAAGAATCATAACTTAAAAATGACTTGGAGCACAGCTTTGAAATTTTGTATGCTTATAAGAATTAAAGTGAAGTGTAATCTTTTTGATTTATTTTATTTTTCATTTTTTATGTAAAATCCTTTGAGACTGGACAGTTCATAGTTAGGTTGGCGGGGAACCAAAAGGGAATATCCACAAAAATTCCAGAGCTGTTGTTAGGATAAAGCCCACATTGGTCGCTGTTAAAATCTGTTGTGTTCTTCGCGGTTTCAGTAAATTTTTCATTGACATTTGGTGATTATTTTAACAAGTCACAAATTAACAGGAGCACACATGATACATTGAAAGACCAACATTAATATTTCATTCCTTAAACTGTGAAATTTCACAACAACCCTTGATTCGTTTTGAAAATGTTTATTAAACAACAAAGTAGTCATTTTTAATCATCACTCTTTGTCAGCTCTGGACATCTACTAAAATTATGAAGCTGAATAATTAAAGCTGAAAAAGCCAGAAAACCCTGTTGTAATCACGGTTACCGGCCGCTCGGGAGGGAAAAAGCGCGTTTCTCAGATCTTAATCATCAACCAGTGTCAATCATGTGGTAAATTATGTCATCGCTCGTGACAAAAAAAACTGTTTATCCAATAACTTAAGAATTAAAAGAGCACATTTTTTTCTTTTAACAGCACAAATGAATGAGACCATTTTTGTGTGCTTTAGACGTTGATGGAGGGCTTAGTGACGTCACAGATAATAAACTATAATCTCTCAAAAACGCTGTCAGCACAAATGATGATTCCCACGGCACAAACCGCCACAAACAGATAGTATTTTTTTATTCCATTTCTGACCACAGGTGCCATCTACAGGGCCGAGTGGGTGATGCGCTTAAGGTCTCCCTATATATCATAATCATAGAAACACTCGTGTCATTTTTTCCCATGTCCTTTCAGGGGCTCCGTACTTATGATACCATGCCTGACGGATAAAAATAAGCCCGTGAAAAATGACACAAATCAGTCTGGTGGATCTGAGCTTGCTCTCATTCCTTATGTCAGCTTCTTAAAAGGGAATTCCACCATTTCTTCTAAATTTTTGCATAATCAAACCATTAGTATGTAAAGCAAAGTAATTCAGGGTGGTTTGGTGTGAAACTATCCATTCTGAAGAAACCTAGAGAGCCAGAACTATTCACATATGTGCTGATGGGAACCAGAATCTCTAAAAGCTACATTACATGAAGTTATTAGATGGTTACAAATGTTTTGTCTGCTACCTGACACATTGTTCTGAGATAATGTTCTGGCCTAAAACGCATTTTAAAAATCCTTTTAGGGGGTGTGATAAGAAACAGTTCATAAAGAAAACTTTTTTTTCAGACCGCAGAGGGGGGTTGCATGGAATTCGACACTACCGCTACACAGCTCCTGCGTGACTCTTAATGTGTAATATGGCGGAAATCGGTGTTGCAGCAAGCTTCATAGCAGCAAAACAAGCTGAGTAGGCCGATACGGTAAACATGCCTCAGTTTAGGTGTAACTGAAGAAAATATTCGACTGAAAACGCACCTCGACACCTGCAACTAATCACTAAAATGGATGAAGATGGGTCTTTAGAAATAAACGATGATCATAATCACAACTATTGTGAAAATCGTGGGAGTTCGTATTACTCAAACTCTAGATCGCATGTGTCGAGAGACACCCTTTGTTTCCCACCTGTTGTTGTTGGTGTGGCTGAACCTGCCGAAAATGTCAGGAGGACGAGCTTTGTGACGGAGTCCAGCTACCTCGAGTCAGAGTCCAGCAGCCAGAGCGGTCAGTGTGACAGCTCAGGTGCGTCCGCCTCCAGTGCGGGAAGGCTGATTTTAAACTCCCCCTCTAAGTTTCGTAAGTTTAATTCCTTATTTTAGATAATAAAACAAATACTGTGATACTTTTTACAAGGCTCATGCTGAAGTTACATGGGCTTCCAGACATCTAACAAGTCAAGTGTAGGTGTGGGTGATAGGAGCTCAAATTTATAACACTAGTTATATATTTCCCAATTCAGATGATGTGATCACAAAAAATGACTAATAATGAACTAATGAACACATGACATTGTCACAGCAAAGGACACTATCAGAAAGTTTTTTTGTAAAATCTATGAAACTTTAAAGTTAAATAAAGACATTCAGACCAACTCTGAACCACTGCTAAAAAAGAAGTCCACATATTAGCCTAAGTAGACGTCATAACATTGTCATATCAAAACATCCATACCATTTTGTATCCTTTTATCAAGAACAATGGGTAGAACTTTTGAACAAGTGCTTTTTTTGTTTATAGAGCTTAAAACTTTACATGTGTACGGCTACCTCTAGAACAGTCTTCTGCACATCTTTCCACACGCATGGGATGATGGCTTAGTAGTGCTAGTAGACTGGCTTTCCCATACATGTCTGTTGTAAGCTCATACTACATTATTATTATTACAATAAAATAGTGCCATCTTAAAATTACAAAACTAAATATAATGACACAATTAGTCAAAAAAAAAAATTGTGTTAAATGCCAACATGCATGCTAGATGCTTCTTCAGTTCTCTTTAATAGTTTCAGTTCTTTTTTGTTCCCTTCTACAGTCTTTTCTCCTGTTTGTTTCACACATTTCCTACACTTTGACTGCAGATTACACTTATTTCTATCTTTAAAATAACATTTCACTGTTTTCTGTATCTAATAAAGGCAGTTTATGGTTCCACAAAAACTGCTAAGTTTACTCTAGCTTGCCTGTTGGGCCTGCTGGTTCCTCGTTTTACTAAACAGTTAACATCATGTCTGCTTTGTCCAACAAATGAGTGAAAAAAAAGATAGCATTGCAAAAGAATAATCTGCACCACCATGACACAGAACCAGTAAAACAGACATCTCCGTGACACTGTTTCTAGTGGCGAATGGCAACAAATACACCGGTTTAAAAGGCTTCACTGGATAACATTGGAAAGTACTGCAAGCAGCCCTAAGTGGTGAACTTACTGTTTTTGCTGAAATTTTTCATGCTCATGTTTAGTTTGTCATGGTGGTGAGGCTGTTTGCGGTTTGATATTTTTTGTCTTATCATTGTCTTTACAATATGACAAAATCCATGCAATCATACCAGTATTCACTTTTATTCTGGGATGCCTCCCACTCTTAGTTGGATGAGGAGTTACATTCTGAACAAGTCAGAATTCTGATTGCTCTAAAAACTACAGGCAGATAAAGTAATATTTTGGCATGAAATCAAATTTACACAGTTTTCCCTTTACCCCTTACCTTGCTCAGCTAGGACATGTTTGGCATTCTTATTTTGCTTTCGTTATGCACAAGGCATTTAATCCATTGGGAGAAAGAAGAAACGTAACTTTATTTGAAAAATATAACAATTTTCTATGAAAGAAAATTTTAGGTTGATGTTTTTCTGTGAAATTAGGGCTCAATAGAAAATTTTGTGCTAGTTTATAAAGAATGTTTATGTACTTACAACTGCTAGAAGCTGTGCTAGTGTCGCTCATCACAATGTCCTGTCGGGGGTGGGATTTCCTGCTCTCAATAAGAATCAAATCAGTTCTCATATTAGTGAGTTAGTAGTACCGAAAAGTGCTAGTTCAGCCATTTGATTGGTTGTTGAACACAATGAACACATTTTAAAATGATTGACCACATATTCTCTTATCCCAAGCTTCTATGCTGATATTGGCATTTTTGTGAGACATACCTTTTCAGCTGTATATCAAAAAGTCTCTGTGTTCGTGGACACACAGTACTGTGTAAAAGACCACACTTCATTTATTTAATGTCAAGTCAAAATGGCCAGAACAAGCATTTTATTCATAAGCAAGTTATTCATTTTTTGGTCATAAAACTGTTTTTCAGAAAAGGAAGTTTTGCAAATCAAATCAAGATATTCTTAGAAGCCACCGCAGACCAGAGACCTCAACATCACTGAATGTGTTTGGGATTACTTGGAAGCTGTAAAAAAGGCAAAGGGTGGACACCCCAAGTATTGAAAAATTTTATATTATGCTTAGTTGTTGAGGCTTCTGTGATTATTGTGTTTTCTGCTTTACTTCTTGGTGCTGAAAAATAAATAACATTTAACAATTTTTCTGATGGATGATGTTTATTGTGAGTTATGTGCAAGTGTCGTGAAGCACAACGTATTTCTTCTGATGAGATGATTATGCATTCATTAATGAAAAAGGTGAATGTTTTAAGCTGATCTTGCATTCTGAGGCTTATGCTTATAATGTGGTTTATATTATGCTTTGTTGCAGTGATGAATGCAATGACACCAGAGGACTACAGGACAACTTATTGGCCAAAGCTTGAAAGAGCCATTGAACATCTCCTCACTCAAAGCCCAATGGACCACATATCCATCTCCTATGAGCAGATTTACAGGTTGGTCATTTGTAATTGTAACATGCAAAAGAAATTGGTTGTATAGTTGTTGTCTTTGGTGTTAGGCCATGCTGTAGATGATCGACAGCCAACTGGATATTCCATTGTTTCAGTGGAGCAGTGGCAGAAAATGCTAACAGCGTTAGCAGCAACAGCAGCATACCACAGCATTCAGCACAGCATTCTGTCAAGAGTTGAATTTTCCCAAATTTTGCTCTCAGCTGCTGCAGTGGAAAAGTGGAAAAATGTCTCATTGTTGAATTCGAGACAAACCCAGTCTTTTTCACCAAAAAGTCTAAGAATCCTCATGACATGGTTAGTTATGACAGCTACTCAACAGTGACTTTTGCAGAATACATATTAAAATGTATTTCTGTCTGTTACCACATTGTTTTCTCTTTCTCAACTCAGCGTTTTCTCAACTCAGTCTTTTGAAACAAAGCCGGGGTAAAAATGGGCTGGAATGCTCCGGAACCCCCTTCCGGGAGTAAAAGTTGTGAAGGAGTTGTGTTCTGCTCAAATCTCAAAAACTTAGCTAACTATTATTTATAGGGAAACCTTGTATAGTTGTATTACTCTATTCTAAAGCGTGTGTGTTGAACACACCTCTGGTTCTGCCTACATCACATTTAGCCAATGGAAAGTCTTGGGGCTGCATCAGGGACCAAGATATTACAATGTAAAAATGTGCCAGAAACAGGCATTTTATGATGCGTTCTTGATTAGCAAAAAAAGAAAAGATTAAAAAAAAGGGTCTCTACAGTAAAACCTGGCCATTGCAACCCTGAACAAATCTATATGTTTACTATTTATAGCATTTTTGGCATAGTTAGCTCATAATTCATACACTTATACAATGAAGTTACTGCTTGGCTTCTATACCACACTGGTGGCTTTTTTTGTGCACATGTATTCACACAGCTGTGCTCTGTTTTAGCATATAATTACAATGCAAAGTCATTGGGTTGAGTCATTTGAACAATATGTTATTAAAAATGCAGGTATATTATGTTTTTTTTTCAACAGCTATCCCTTCACCTGCTGAAATTAGCCCAGGTTTGTTGAAATACAGCACTGAACAACACAATGACCTACAAGTATTTCAGGAAAACATGAAGTAATGGAGGCTTTATTTTTTAGAAATAGTTTAAATGTGGTAAGGAATTACATATTTTGTTTTCTTTCGCTTTTTGTTCATTTGATACACTGTGATGTACAGGAAGACTTTGTTTTGCGTGGGTGGGACATTTTCATCCCACTGAAATTATACAAGATACTTTTTGCGGTTACTGCACTTGCTTACAATTATTATTTAGTCACATGTGATCTTGTTTGTTGTTTGAGTGATTTTGACAGATTATTGAAGTTTGCTCCTGTAAAACAAGTTGATGGGGACAGCTCAAAGTTGGGGGGCAAGTTTAAGACTTAACAATTTTTGTTGTTCTTGTTCATCAGTCATGTTTATAAGTGTGTGTGCCAGCAACACTCAGAACTTCTCTACAGCGACTTGATACGGAAGATAGCATCTCACTTACAGCAAGTCTCCTCAGAGCTACATGTAAGTTCTTAAATTTTTTCAGACTTTTGTTTACACATTTGTGAAAAATCCATACTGCTGCATATTATGTTGGTGGCAAATGAGTAGGCATCTTTGCTTTCTCCAGCAAACAGTTTTGGAAAGAACCTTTTTATTAAAATGTATGGATTCTTACATTAAAAATCTTTAAAAAATTAATTTTTAAGATTACAGATTAGAGTTGAGTCTGAATAATAAAAATTGGGGTCACCTCTGCATCATTTTGTCATTTGTGCCATTTAAGAGCTCTTAGTCAACTTGAATTTCTATTTTTATGCACTTGAATAATAATAAAAAACAATAAAAACTAATGTCATATGTTTGCAGTCACAAATGTCAAATTTCCTCATGTTTTAAAGGGAAGCCCTCCTGAAAGTTTTATTGAAAAATTCAACCTGGCGCTTACTCAGTACATGGCTGCACTTCAGTGCATTGTTCCGGTGTTCATCTACATGGTAATTCATATTTATTAATTTTTACATCAACTTGAAAAACATGAATTTGAGCTGTTTCATTTTTCTAGTTATCATTGTATTTTAATTTTTTTTGAAGAACAAGTTCTACATTGAAACAAAGCTTAACAGAGACTTGAAGGATGACCTTATGAAGCTTTTCTCACATCATGTTGCAGAGAAGCATGTCGACACATTGATACGTGAGTGCATATGTTTATTCTTATTAAGTACCTTTCATTCATTCAAGTACAACAAGCAGTAAGAATACTGGAACAGCCACCACTATTTACAAATGCACTAGGGCTATTTTAGATATTTTGACTCACCTGACGGCCGACACCTGACCATCACACCTATATGAGCCTTTTGGACATCCCATTCCAAAACCGCGGGTACTCATATGTACTTGCCCCCCCTTTGCAGCTGTTGAAGTGTGCCTGGTGTCTGGAAGTTTGTGCCTATTCAGTCCAAATAGCATTTGTGAGGTCACGTCAACTTTCCAATTCAGCCCAAAGCTGTTCAGTAAGGTTGAAGTCAGGGCTTTGTGCAAGCCACTGGGGTTCGTCCACACCAAACCTGTCGAACTGTGTCTTTATGAACCTCGCCTTGTGCACAGTGGCACAGTCATGCTGGAACAGGAAAAGACCTTCCCCACATTGTCATCACAAAGCTGGAAGCATATAATTGTCTAAATTTCACAAATTGACTTGTGGCTAAATTGCCATCTTATGACAGTGCCATGTTTAAAGTGACTGAGCTTTTCAGTGTGACCCATTCTACTACGAGTTTTTGTCTGTGGAGATTCCATGGCTATGTGCTTGATTTTATACATCAGTTGGGATGGGTGTGGCTAAACCACCTGAACTCAATAAATAGGAGTGGTATCCACAGATGTTTAGACATTTACAGTGCCCTCCACAAATATTGGTACCCCTGGTAAACATGAGCAAAACATGCTGTGAACAAACATTCTTAATTGCTTATGATTTTGATCTTTCATTTGAAATATTAACAAGAAAAAACTAACCTAAAGCACAATGATTAAAACTAAATCTTGTCAAGAAATAAATATTTTTCTCAAATCTATGTGTGCCACAATTATTGGCAACCCTTTTGTAGCCTCAAAGATAACAGCTCTGAATCTTTCCCTATAATGCTTAGTGAGACTGGAGAACACATGGCAAGAGATCTGAGACCATTCCTCCCCATAGACCCTCTCTAGATCCTTCAGATTCTGAGGTCAATACAGTGGACTCTCCTCTTCAGCTCATCCCACAGGTTTTCTGTGGGGTTTAGGTCAGGGGACTGGTGTGGACATGGCAAAACCTTAATTCTGTGGTCAGTGAACCATGTTTGTGTTGATTTAGAGCTGTGCGTTGGACCATTGTCCTGCTGGAAGATCCAGACTATGACCCAGTTTAAGCTTCCTGGCTGAGGCAGTCAGGTTTTGATTTTATTTCTGCCGGTACTTGATGGAGTCTGTGAAACCATGTATCCAACTAAATGAAGCCCCACAGTATCACAGATCCACCACCACTTTTTTCTGGATGGCTATCTTTGTGTCCGCGCTAAACTCACCTCTGGTGTTTGTTGCCAAAAACCAATATTTTGGTCTCATCTCATCATAGTACACGGTCCCAATGAAAGTTCCAGTAACGTTTGGCAAACTGTAGCCGCTTGAGTTTGTTGGTCCTTGACAGCAGAGGCCGCCTTCTGGCAACCCTGCCCCCCCAAACAACTTGTGGTTATGTAGGTGATGTTTTATTGTGCTTTGGGAGACGTTCTGACCTCAAGACCTGACTCATTTCTGCAGTTCTCTGTCTGTGATCCTTGGAGATTCTTTGCCCACTTGAACCATCCTCCTCACTGTGTGTGCGGTCACTATAGACATACAGCCTCTTCCCGGCAGATTCTAAACATTTTCAGTTGTTTTAAACTTATTAACTATTGTCCTGATAGTGGAAATGGGCATTTTCAGTTGTTCAACTATTTGCTTGTAGCCTTTTCCTGATTTGTGCAGCTTGGCAACCTTCTGTCATACATTGCTGTATTCATGGGTCTTTTTCATAATGATGGATGACTGAGGGAGTTTGGCCTGTGCTTCATCTCGTATATATTACCCAGTGATACAAGAAGTCATGGCTGACAATTTAAGTGTTCTTAATACCTTGGATGGACTTAACATAATAGGACAAATTATAAATGGGATTATACTTCAGTTAGATTTCACTCATAAGAATTTCTAGGGATACCAACAATTGTGGCACACATAGATTTTTACTATTTTGTTTGAAAAATCAAAAGAATGAGTAAATAAGAATAACGAAGAATATTTATTTTGTGGAGGGCAATGTACATGTATGTATTTATACTAATGATCTGATTCAGATACAAACAGGCTGTATATGTATGTATGCCAGGTTCTGTAATACAGCATGTTCCTATCCTTACTATTAAGTTACGACCTGACAAGGTCAAGACGTGATATTTCACAAATTTGAATTATAGAAGCAGATCCTATCAAATCCAGTATCCAGAAAGTCCAGTATTTACAACTACCATCCAGTACCTAGTTCAGCTAATCAATCCTTCATTAAATGATTTTAGGTGTGTCAGTGAAGAAATTTAATAAATCCAAGTAATGGTTGGGGTGCACTAAGAATTCAGAGAATATCCTTTTAACTGTATTCTTCTAACTATCAATAACTGAAATACTGAAAACAAAAAATATTTTTTTATTGTATTTGTTTATTTGCTTTTTTTCTTATATAGTATTTCACTGGCAAAAACACACTTATTCTTTGTATATTGTTTACGGAATTATAATGATTATTTGACAAAGTGGGTTATATTGTCATAATTTATTATCACACTAATAACATGTCATGACCAGTATGGCAGTTATTGGTAGTTCAGGTCCAGATGGCCTGCATTTCTAACCGTCTACATCATTTAAGGCAGTCACATCCTTTTAAATACAGCTGAGAAATACAACCTATAACCTAACAGTTTTCAAGGACACAACTGGAATATCTTTTAGCAATGTCAGAGCAGTCAGGGAGGCAGTGAGGGCAGAAAGAGATAAGACAGCATAAAGAGAGTAGAGAGCCAATGAGAGGACAACAGCATCAAAGCCAGAGTGAAATCCAGCATCGGGACAAGTGCCTGGTCAGAGCATTAGAGCCCATGAGTGATCAGCATCAGGACCAGTGGCGGACTCAGAATAATCGAAAGTGTCAGTGAACATAAGTGTTTCACTCTCTGCTTCCTAAATAGCCTGTAAAATTTGCATGACATGTTTCAAGGGTCAGAGGTCCTGTCACTAAATCAGTTGACCAGTAGATACTTAAAGTGAATGCCTTCTTCTTAGACCCCACCCCATGCAAAATGTGCCAAAGATCATATCAGAAGCAAAAGAAAGACTGCAGATGCAAAACGAAGTGTAGGTGTGTGTGTGTGTGTGTGTAGATATATATATATATATATATATATATATATATATATATATATATATATATATATATGTGTATATATATATATATATATATATATAGAGAGAGAGAGAGAGAGAGATGTGTGTACACAATTTGACAATTTGATGTAAAAATTGTAAAAATTAAGTTATGTAGTTTAGATAGTTTAGTGCAAGTCAGTTTTGTAAAGCTTTACAATGGCTGAGGGCAAGGTAAAATCTAGAACCAGTTCTTCAAACTAGTTTATAAGAAAGTATGTAAAGATGGTAGTGTCTCAATTGTAGGTTTTAAAGGGTTCAACTATTTTTTCATCACTTTTCATCACTCCCTAAAGAAGTACATCAGATCAGGAAATAAACATGCACTTACACTGTCCCAAATGAACCTAAGCTCACCCTACTGCATTTCTTCTATACTCAAACATACCCTGTTCGTCTCATTATATGAATATAAAACGTTTTATGAAGGGTATTGGAGCAAAGAAAACACAAATGTGTGCACTTCTGTGGGCCCTATATTATACTCAGTATATTAAACATATTCAAAAGTAGATACCATTAGATATAACATTGCTTGGAATTTGTTCTTTGTTATGCTTTCTTATAGCTCTTCTCAAAAAAGCAGATGCTGTGCCATTTCAAGTCAGGCCATCAACTATGGCTAGTGTGGTGAAAGGACTTTACACTCTGCGACCAGGTAAGATGTTTTGGAGAATTTTGTAGAAATAAAGAAACAATGTGTGCTGTGTTTTTAAATTAATTCTCCCAAAATCACATTAGCTGTTCCTTTATAACATGCTCTGCTTGCCTGTTCTGATGTACAGTTCTGCTCATATGTTTAAATACCCCAGGCTGAATTTGTAAGATATTTTTAGAAAATATAAGTGATCCTGTCCCCAAAATTACAATGAGGTTTGGGGCCTGCAAAGGCCGCTCCAAAACCTTTGACTTTATTCCACTGCAGCCACTGAAGGATCAACATGCCCAGTGCGCATCTTCCAGGCTGATGAATGCACATTTTCTTCCAAGATTTTTGGATAATCTGCTGCATTCATCTTGTCATCAATTTTGACTAAATTTCCTTTACGGTAGCTTACATAGCCCCAAACAGCAGCGATCCACCTATGTGCTTCATGGTAGGAATGATGTGTTTCTCTTTGTGGGCCTTATTGACTCCTCTCTAAACATAAAGGTTATAGGTATAACCATCAAGTAATTTTTTGTCTAATCACTCCGAGTTACTTTATTCCAGTCTTGGGTTTTCTCTAGATACTGTTTGGCAAATTGCAAGTGGGCTGTTTATTGATGTGGGGGCAAAAATGGCAAAACTTTTCTCACAACTCTGCCATGCAGCTCATTTCTGTTTTAAGTATTTCCTTATTTTACATTCTAAAATAGCTACATCCTTTGTTTCAGAGAAGACTGTATTTGAGTAGAAGTTTGTCTGTTTTGCATTTGGCCCAGTTTTCCTGACGGTTGTCAGTTTTCATCTATCTTGGTTTTTTGGCTTGGTATCCACTGAATCATTGGGTTTTCACTTCTCTATCACACTTTGAATAGTGCCGATTGGCATTTCCTAATTTATAGTGATGAATCACTTTTGATGATGAAGAGCTAATCATGCAACATCAGTACCTGAAATGTTCTTCTGGCTGAATGCAATCAAATCTTCACAACAGTGTACCAACATCTAGTGTAAAAGCCTTCCCAGAAAAGTAAAGCCCTGCTACTGCAGCACAGTGGGAGACAAACTTAATAATACCCTTGATTTCAGATGAACATTGTATAAGCACATTGTATAAGCACGTCTACAAACTGGAGATCCCACCACCCAGTCTACACAGCAGGGACTCTTTAGTCAAAGTATCCTGTTTACAGCCTAATGTTACATTTATTTACACTAATAAAGTCATTTCATTTAAACGATTTAACTGGGTTCACACTGAGAGGTAGGTACAGGCATAAACCATAAAGTATTTCCTTTTCACTGCAATGTCTAATGTAGAAATCTGTTTTTAAACCAGCATTTCAGTAATGCTCCTTGTATATTCACCATGCTAGCTAGCTACATTAGCATCAAACTAGCGGGGTTAGTTCGTCATATATGGGATTTTTATGTCAGCTCTAGTTTAAAGACATTTTAAGCTCGTAACGGGCATGTAAGTAACATTCTTTATTTTGTATGCCTCCGTTTTGAAGTATCACTTTATTTAAAGGCTTAAACTTGAAGTCTGTCTTTTATTTTTGTAGCGTTAGTTGGTTAGCTTAATGCTACCTGTCCAACCTACTAACATAGTGAGGGTTATAAAGAGAACAAAACATGTAAAGAAAGTTAATGTGAGTCTGTACTGACAGCCACAAACAGCATGTTGTCGCAGAACGCCTCAGAGATATTTAATTAGATAAAACAATTTAAAAATAAGCTCACTTTCTTTGGCTTATCTCAGAGTGGTAATGAATGACACTTCTGGTCACCTGAAAACTAAGGTGGATACAGAGGAAAAATAAAGAAAGACTGGGAGAATAGGGGAGGATGGACTGTGAATGAGCTCACATGCCAACTTCAGTCACTCGACTTTGCGCTCTCAGAAATCCTCTGCACGTGTCATTTCAGCATCAGTTTGCTGGAACCAAGCCTGTGCTGAGCTATGTGGCATGTTTATTATGGCTATTGTTAGCTTAGCCAAAACTCCACAATCCGAAACACCACAGAACAGGTTCAGTTTTCTGTCACTCCAGTAGTCACTCAACTTAGTTTTATCATCTATACTTTTTTCAGCAGAGCACTATTAGTCAGAACCATACCTGTGGTGTTGTGTTGCACTGTTTGGGTCTATAACCTGCTTGCAAAGCTAATGTTAAGTTAGCCGATTGGACTACAGATCCAAACACCGCAGAACAGGTTTAATTAATTTTTTTTTTCCCAGTTGCTCAACTTCACTTCCTCAGGTTTGAATCATTGTCATCTAAACTTAAATTAGTGCTTTAGTTAGCAATCCATATGGAAAAAACATATATTCCAAATGTATTTATCAAACAGATTTTTGCAATGTATGTACTTTTAACAGAGGTTACAGATATAACTCTACATGAGCTGAATGAATGGTACTGACTTCTGTGTACTTTGCATTAACCACAAGGTATCAAATCATTGGATCTTCACAGTGTATCAATACCTACTGCACTTGCTTTTGCCATGTTAATGGTTCATAATACTTAAAATTAAGACACTGGAATAAAAATTCATTTCAAAAGGTATTCCAAACAGTAAAGTGCATTAGTAAAGTCTATTTTGGCTTTTACATACATTTTCAAATGTATTTGATAAATACATTTACATACATTCATTTTTGTATGGTACATTTTTATGTGTAATATTTCCCCCTACATGTTCTGTGTTGAACAGAGCTGTTGTCATGCTAGCTCAGCTAATGCTAACCAGCTCCTCTCTCCTAGTTAGCAGCACAGTTTAACCTCTAGCAATTGTTAGATAGGTCTGCTCTGTAAAAATGAAAACCAGGAAGCTGGAGATTGTTGTAGCAAGTGGATTCTGAGCCAAGTTTCAGAAACATAGTCTGTTCTGCAGCAAGGGGCATAAACTTGCTGGAGTTAAACCATTGCTCTGCTGTAGTGAGGGGATGCTCTGCTGGCTGACATGCAGAAAGCTGCTTGAGTATTAGAAATTGAGTGTAATGTTTGTTGGCATAAACTGTCTGATGTGCAGCAAGTCTTCTATGCTGTTTATTATTAGGCTCATAAGTGACAAAACAAAACACAAAAACAAATAAAACATGAGAGACCACTGAACCGGTATCACCATCCATGGTGCCATCTTGGATCCAGACATTCACTGGTGCTTCATCACTTCAGGGGACACTGTTCCACTGCTCCACAGCCCAGTGCTGCTTAACTTTATACGCTGCTAGCTGTTGCTTGGCATTAGGCATGACAACATTAAGTTTGTGTGTGGCTCCTCCAGCGCATATGTTGACAGTGATTTTCTTTGGAAATTCAAAGTTTGCATGATTGAATGCCTGTGCTTTAAGGTGTGAGTGCACCTTGAACTAGCTGATTTTCTGACAGTGTGTCTGGATGTTTTTGGACATAAGGGGGAACTACCATTAGTCAGGACCAGAAACAATGAAAAGATATTTCTCAATGTTACTTTGACAAACAAGCATGTTGGCACATTATCACCTGAGGAGAAAAATCTAATGTTGCACCAGTTAGCTCCAGTGTTGGTTCATTAGTTAATTTGATGCAACTGTCACTCAAGCCTCCTCCTCATCCAACACAAAAACCCTCTCGTTCAACCTGGAACATAATGTAATTATTGTCTAATTATTATTCCTTGGTAATAGGGTTATTCTCTGGTTCTCTGGTTATTTTTAATTATTATAGTATTATTATTCTTTTCCATGGTTAACTGAATATCTGTTCATTAACATTTATGAATACCACAATCAAATGCACACTTGAAGGTTGATCAGTAATTATACTTATATTTTCGTATATTTTTTATTTTTTGTCTTTTTAGATTGGGCTCCATTAGCCCCTGCTCTGTTTTCTAGATTCATTCCTCAAATTCAGCCCCCAACTTTGGAGTCAGAGCTTCCACATTATGCAGCTCTTGACCGGAAATTGCAAATTGAGCTTTCTCTAAATGGTTTCTGCAGGTAATGTATAATTCCATAGATGTCTGCATAAATTATAGTCTTATGCTTTATGCATAGTTTTGCTTTGCTGACTCCTCCTGCATATTGTATATGTGTATAATAAAATACTGTGCAGTCAGAGATCACCCTTTATTTATTAATTTCCAGTCAAAACAGCCATTGACTACTCATTTATCAGGAGCTATTTTTTCTTCTTTTAGTAGTTATAAGATAATCTGCTGCATAAGGAAGGGGAAATTCAAAAGAAAATAAGTGAAAAAAATTGAGGTTTCCAGAACTGGAAAAATATTATAAATTTATATTAAAATTATTTAAAGATATAGAGAAAAATAGGACGTCTAACAAGTGTGCAAGATGTTGTAGACCACTACTGTCACCATCAGATAATCAGTACTTTAAGCTCCATTCTTGCTTCAGACCTGAAAAAATCCACAGGTGTTTCTGTCCATCCTTGCACTGTGGGCACAATACTCTAGGTTCATCTAATGCAGCCCTTGTCTTGGAAGCCCACTGTCCTGCACATTTTAGTGCATTTTCTGCTTTCACACCTCACTAAGGGGTTATTAATGAGCTGGTTAGTTGAATCAGGTGTGTTAAGAGCAACACGAAAATGTGCAGGACAGTGGAACTCTAGGACCAGGGGTTGGAATCACTGATCTGGTGTACGGTTTTGATAATAATTGGGATGGTAAAAATAAAAAATTGCCAATGAAACAAGAAGTGATGAAAATTTGCTTAAATTTAATGTATTCTTTGTTAGGCCACTCAAACTCCTATGGAAGAGAGAAACACCCCTGAGCAAAACACAAAGATACAAAATATAATAATAAGAGTAAATAGAAGCTATAAATATACTATAACGTACATATTATGTACAATATGTATAAAATAAAATGTAAAAAATGAGGTAAACCAATTAAATAATGGCAGCAACATTAAATTGAATGACAAAAAGAGACTATACTGTACAGAATAAAACAGAATAAAACTGGCTTCATTGCTACAAGCTTGGTTGCTTGTTGTAGATAGTGGCACATTTTTTTAATACAGTTTTTAATTGCGGCACTACTAATGCAGTTTGTCTGTTCCAATTTCCAATCAAGTTATCCAATCAAAGCACACAGCCCTCGTATTGATACTGCAGTTTTTATGATTACAAATGTAACTACCTTCTTTTTTCTCAGGGAAAACACATTTATACTTTTTATAACTTTATAAGTAAAAAGCCTGGAGTAATTCAATTGCAATTGAATATGCCGCAGTTATGTTCCTTACCTAAAGATCATGTAGATGTATCACTCTAGTGACACTTTAATTTCTTTTTCTGAGAGTGTACATCTGATGTTTGTCATTGCATCAGAAACATACTTGATTAAAGTGGATTGATTTTATAAGTCTAAAGTCTCACATTTCATCCTGGCAATGTACATGTGTATTGTGTTTATAAGGAGAGAGAGGGGGATATGTAGCAGCAAATTTAATGTTTATGGACCACTTATGTCTGATCTTTGATGACTCGATGGATTGAAATAGCTTTAGGTGTTTGCTCTAACATTTTGACACAGTCCATTTTAGCTTTTGTAGAAAAGGGCATTGTAAGTACCAAGTTCATAAAAAAAACGATGACAGCGTTATTAAAATTAGTTTTTGGCTGTGAATGGGTAGAAAATAACATGGTCCATTCTATCAGGAATGGGATCTGACTTTCACAGGTCTCCCAAGGTAACGTTGCATCTTTTGACCATGGCTGAAGCTGCAGATTCCAACACTGGCACGCAGATAATGAACTGAAAGCTTGAGGCATCAGCGAATAGTAACGGTTATAGTAAGCAGTGATTACAGGCCTGAGAAATTGGAAAGTATTAGTTTGAAAAGAAAAAAGAAGTAGAAAGCCTTGGACCAGGAGCATGTGAAAAGAGATATAATGATACAACAGTTATTGTGATGAGTTTTAATGGCTTTTCATTACACTTATATGCATGTACATCTATGAGCTGTTTATTATTGACATGTTTGTTCAAACATTGTCTTCAAATATAACTTCAAACAGAATAAAACAGCCCTTTCTCTATATGTTTACATAAAATCTATTCGCTGCTGTTTGAGGATCTAGTTGATTGCTTAACTGGGCATTTGTTTGTTTATTGGTTCCAAAATTCAAACTTCTGAGGGCACCTTGGAATATTATTAGATAATAACCTCACCATCATTTTCTTCCAATTGTTACAATGCAGTTGGACTAAGACTATGGTCTAATATAGTAATATGGTATATACACTATAATATAACAATAATCAATAATATTTTAGGCTGTATATTATTTAGGCTATATAGGTTACAAAATATAAAATATGATATCTAGTAATATATAGCATGTATAATAAATGATAATGAATGTGTAATGAACTACAAAATTTAAGTTTTTCTACGTTTTTATTTTTATAATCTGAAAAAAAAAATTTTGTCTGGTCTCATGTGTGACTCAGACTCAGCTACTACAAAGTCTAGGTCTTGACTCAGATTCGATGTGTCCAGGTCTGTCTTTACTCAGATTCGCCTCATGGCCTTGACTACAACATATGAATTTTCTCAGTAGTATTTTCCTGAGTGTGTGTTGGAACATTAGGTTACATTTTGATGAGTGTTCATTATAATGATGTTGCCTTTAGACATGGACTGTGCCAGAAATATTTCCATTGCATTCATGTAAAACACTTTGTATCATGACCAACTTTAAAAGTAAAACTCTCTTTTTTTCTCCCAGGGGTGACCAGTCACGTAAGAGAGCAAGTGAAGAATCCTGACAAAAAGTGGATGCATATATTACTATGCTAGCTGGTTGCCAATACTGTTTTTTAAAGACTGCTAAGACACATGAAATGGAAACGGGAACTGAACCCGTATCTAATTTTTTTTTCCCTTCGGATTTTAGTTTCCGCTAAGTGCTGCATTTACCAAGCTCTGTCTTTTTGTCTAATAATGACATCCCAGCCACCTGAAGACTTGCATGTTTGTGTGTTTGAGTGACAGACATCTAATGATTTACTCAGCTACATTTTGGTTTGACATTGCTGCATGTTCAGTAAAAGGTCTCCAAATGCCTCAGGGGAAGTTTATGCAACTCACCTGATTAGTTACAGTTATGCTGTCATGCACCTACTACTGAGACACCTGCTTCTCATATTCCAGAATATGTGACATGTAATAAGTGGATGTGAAATGGAAGTAATAACTAACTGTTAAAGAGCTAGCTTGTACATTGTATACAGTTGTATGAAAACATTTATGGAGAAATTATGTATTTTGTTGAATTTTGAAATGAAAAGTAAACACAAGCTTTGCAGCAAAATATTTTAAAACATACTTTTTCTGCAGATGTTATTTCACAGCTACTTTATATTTGATTAGGTTAAAAAATAGAAAAGAATAAAATAGTAATTGTCAAGTGTGCAAAAGTTTGCAAAAAAAGTTTTTGTTAAAGTCTCGGAACTTAATTAACTCATTAGGCATTAATGGACTCGTTAGGCGGGTCAAGAATTGATGACACTTCCAGTGCATAATACATTCACAACTCGACAAACCTTGTGCTGACCTCAACAACCCCTGGCACAGGAATTGAAAATGAGGTTCATCGATGCCTACAAAGCAGGGTAAGACTAAAAAGACTAAAAAAGATATCAAAGCGCTTCCAGCTTGCAATTTCCACTCTCTGAAATGTTATTAAGAAATGCCAGTTAGAGGAGATTGTGAAAGTTAAAAGCAAGATCTGGAAAGCCAAGAAAATTCTCAGATAGAAATGCTTGTATTTTGGCCAGAAAGGCAAAGCAAAACCCCCATATGACAACCAAGAAGCTGCAGGAGTGGTGGTGCACCATTCTACTGTGGAGGGTTGCTTGCACAAACATGATCTGCACTGAGTCATTGAAAAGAAACCTTACCTCTGGCCTCATCACAGAAATCAACATCATAAATCTATAAAATGACATCTAGATAAGCCAGAGGCATTTTGGGACTACTTGGCCACAATTGCCAAAGGTATGTTTGAAGAAAAAAAGGAGCAGCATTTAATGAAAAAAACATCTTGCCAACTATTAGGCATGGGGGTGGATCTATGCTCTGAGGTTTTGTGGCAGCCAGTTAAGCCGATAAAGTTTTTTACTGTGCCTTTTTGTGGAGCTGCCGTACCCCCTACCCCAAATGGGCAGTGCTTATCTACATTCCATAGACTTGGTGGTACTCTTTTGGTCAGAACAGGCAGGCTCTTGGTTTTAAACAATAACAGTTTGTTAAAGATAAAAGGTAAAGGAACTACGAATTGGATCAGAGGTTAGAGGGCCAGAGGGAGGGGAACGAGCCTTTGAAGTAACTGCGTTAACATTTGCAGAAAAAATATTCTATAAAAATAGTTTGCTGCAGAGGTTCATTTTACAAATCAGCACAATCTGTCATTCGCCCTTGAGCGCCCAAACTTTTGAATACAAGCTCAACTGCCTGTTAAATTGTAGGATACATGTAATGAGTCATAAGTAGTTACAGCATTAGCTGATGTAGGAGGGGAGGGACAAGAGAGATCTAAACCACACAGTATTCAAACCTCATTTTTCATAGCGTTTGCACAGCTGCACAAAATTATGTAAGACACACATTATTCTTTTATTGCATCTCATAAGTACTAATTACTGTTGAATTGGCTGTTTTAGCAGAGTAAAGAAATACATTATTATGAGGAGAATAAGGCAAGTATTTGCCTGTGCCTGTCTTGTCACACAAAGATCCGTATTGAGTAGAGAGTGTGTAGTGAGGAGATAACAAAACAATTCAGACATTGAACTTAAGTGCTTTTCCCTTTTGTGAAGTTCATCATCTGATAGTTTGTTGTAACAATATTTCACCCTCATGTTTTTGTAAAATGTAAAATAAAAAACTATAGAATGCAATCAATTGAATAAATAGAGATTTGTCCAAATGAACAAATAAGTAAAATAAAATATTGAAGTATCTGTAAAATATTTCAATATTTTGTGAAAGTTCAAATAATTACTTTGATATGTGATTATTAAATGACATGATTGATTATGCTTTATACACATTGTATTTCATAATAGTTTAAAATAAAAAAAAAGTATTCAATAATGCTTTACACTATTATTTGACACACCTAGGCCTGACAATTTGTGGATTTCTGTGAGTAAAATTCAATTATTATTATATTCTCTCTTTTTTTCCCCCAGCTACCCATGCTACCTCTGGGTGATGTCACATTTTTCTAATGTGAAAAAAAAGCATTAGGCTTATAAATTAACAGAAATGAAGGGCGAAAGTTTACATGTTTGTTACTAATGACCTTTATTGCTTTAGAAACAAACATTTTCAGTTCTGTAGGTGGGACAGATTTGGACCACTTAAATCTAAAACGCCACTGCAGCATCCCTCTGGACAAAATAGTTTTGCAGCTGCTGTTCCTTCATTTGTCCACCTGGTATCACTAATGTGCAGCGATTTGAAAAGTTATGAGTTTTTTTCCCTTCTTGTCTGGGAGCACAATATCAAAATTTCAACTCTCAAAATAAGGATGCATTTTCTCAAAATGTTCACACAATATCTTGATACTTATGTTGCAATAACGACTTATTAAAGAAGAAAGTACTTATCTTGGAATAATTTATTATTTGGAGATAAGTAAAAATGTTCAGAAAATAATTTTGACATAGTATACCATTGCTTTGAGATACTAAAATTTACAAAAATTTGAGAAAACGGTCATTATTGCACAATACTAAGTCAAAATTTTTCTAATGTGAAAAACACATTAGGCTAATAAATTAACAGAAATGAAGGGCGAAAGTTTACATACAGAGAGATATACAGGATAGATGTTGATAGAGAATTAGACAGTCCTAATTTAATCAGCTTACTTAATAACATTATATAATTACAGTTTCCCCACTGTACTTGCTGCAGTGATTCCAGATTCTAAGGAATTTCTATTTAGCTCAAACTAGAACAGAAGATTTTTTCAAAATGTCTGCATAATTAAATTGTTAAGGTTCAGAGTGCTTTGATGTGAAATACACTGTTCTAGACCCTGCAGAGTCAGAACAGCAGCGGTGACAGGAACCAAGGGTCTCATTTGTAAAGACATATACACAAAAAATGTTTCTAAAGCCATGGCTTCTTTATGAATAAAAACATTATCTTAAAATCATGCGCATCTGGAGGTGCACTTCAACTCCACCTAGAGAACACTCAAATATTGTCATATGGTCTACAAAAAGCAGTCTTAATTGCTTACAGTTGTCTAAGCCCAGCACAGACTGATCTTTCTTCTTTATTGAGAAAGAATGACTGCATGAAGCACAGCCTAAGGCTAACCAACTAACCTTAGCCTATAGATAAGTAAGTTCAAGTTTTACAGAATACCCACCTTACTTAAAGCTACACTAAGTAAGATTCAGAGTTTTGGAGACCTCACTGATGGAAATGTGTAATTGCATGCAATGTGCTTCTTTTAATTCTAACAAAATCTTACATATTTCAGCTTTAAAAACTTTTAACATGTTAACAGGCCATTTTCCCAGACATGGATTAAGCCAAGTCTTGGACCATGGGATTTTTTTTAGTCTATGATTAGCCGTAGTCCACAGAAGTTTATCTGAACTGTCCAATTTAATCAGTGAAAGTATTCTCCCTCATCTAATTAAAAGATTCCAATCATTTGTAGTGATAAATCAGCAGAATGAAAAAACAAAAGACACTAGACACCAAGTTAATAATACATATTTCTATCTTGTTGATGTTTGCTGTTCTACAGTGATCAAAAATGAATTTACCAGTGTTTGAAATGCATGTTTTTTCATTTGTCATATTTATTTTGATGCATATACACTATATTGCCAAAAGTATTCACTAACCCATCCAAATAATTGAATTCAGGTGTTCAAATCACTTCCATGGCCACAGGTGTATAAAACCAAGCACCTAGGCATGCAGACTGCTTCTACAAACATTTGTGAAAGAATGGGTCGTCTCTCAGGAGCTCAGGGAATTCCAGCGTGGTACCGTGATAGGATGCCACCTGTGCAACAAGTCCAGTTGTGAAATTTCCTCGGTACTAAATATTCCACAGTCAACTGTCAGTGGTATTATAACAAAGTGGAAGTGATTGGGAACGACAGCAACTCAGCCACGAAGTGGTAGGCCACGTAAAATGACAGAGCGGGGTCAGCGGATGCTGAGGCACATAGTGCGCACAGGTCGTCAACTTTCTGCAGAGTCAGTCGCTACAGACCTCCAAACTTCATGTGGCCTTCAGATTAGCTCAAGAACAGTGCGTAGAGAGCTTCATGGAATGGGTTTCCATGTCTGAGCTGCTGCATCCAAGTCACATCACCAAGCGAAATGCAAAGCGTCGAATGCAGTGGTGTAAAGCACGCTGCCACTGGACAGAGTGACGAATGACGCTTCTCCGTCTGGCAATCTGACGGACGAGTCTGGTTTTGGCGGTTGCCAGAAGAACGGTACTTGTCTGACTGCATTGTACCAAGTGTAAAGTTTGGTGGAGGGGGGATTATGGTGTGGGGCTGTTTTTCAGGAGTTGGGCTTGGCCCCTTAGTTCCAGTGAAAGGAACTCTTGATGCTTCAGCATACCAAGAGATTTTGGACAATTTCATGCTCCCAACTTTATGGGAACAGTTTGGGGATAGCCCCTTTCTGTTCCAACATGACTGTGCACAAAGCAAGGTCCATAAAGACATGGATGAGTGAGTTTGGTGTGGAAGAACTTGACTGGCCTGCACTGTCCTGACCTCAACCCAGTAGAACACCTTTGGGGAATTAGAGCGGAGACCTCACAAATGCACTTCTGGAAGAATGGTCAAAAATTCCCATAAACACATTCCTAAACCTTGTGGAAAGCCTTCCCAGAAGAGTTGAAGCTGTTATAGCTGCAAAGGGTGGGCCAACATCATATTAAACCCTATGGATTAAGAATGGGATGTCACTCAAGTTCATATGCGTGTGAAGGCAGACAAGCAAATACTTTTGGTAATATAGTGTATTTTCTGCAGTAAAATCAGAACACTTGGTTGAATAAACACTGTGTAATGTGCCGCTGTCAAGGTCCTCTAAAACAGAGCTGAGGCTCTTTATTATTCCCAGATTTCTGCTTACATATACAATAATGTGGTAACAATTTCTATGAATGTCACGTTTGTAAGCATCTATGAACACATTTATAACATGTTATAATGCATTCATAAGGCATTATAAACATAGTTATAAATATTTGAACTAAAAATGAACTACACTGAATTATACTTTATAGCCATGTTTATTGTACATTATGAATTTTTAATATAATGTATTATAAGTAGTGTTAATAACATGTTAGACTGTCAGTGCCAAAGAAGTCAGCCCCTATTTGGACAGTGTAAAGACAAATACAAAGTTTATTTATGCTGCTGGCGCTGTTAGGGCTTCTTAGGGGCTTCAGTCCTGAATATTCAGTTGCTCCAAACAGACTGTCCATCCTAGAATTACTGCTACAATGTGCTTTTCTTAACCAGCGCTCTCACTTTAAATGTTACATTATATCACAGCAAGTACCCATGAGCCCCTCCCCGAACCTCCTCTGACATCACACTGAGCGTGAAGTTACTGTGGAGTGAAGGCATGGACAAGGAGAGGCGAGATAGTAGAGTGCCGCCTTGCTGGTTCTAACATCAAACACTAGAACCCTTCGCTCTGTAACATCACTACACTACAGTAATGCTAATTTCTGCTAGCATTCTATTAGATATGCAGTGTTAAGTTAGTGCCAAGCTAAAATCTGACATTTGAAGCCTGTAATGTGCTTTATTGTGTATGTTTTAGTGTTTCAGTAAATTCTTCAGTAAATACTTCAACTTAAAGCCTCACTCTTAACACTGGAGAAGGCTTTAGTACAGTATGCTTCACTTTACTTAATCTTATAATTTATTATGAACAGTACTTATAATGCATTATGTTAACAATTCATAATGAATAATAAGCATGGTTATAATGTGTAATGCATTTTTATAAATATTTATAGCCATGTTTATGATGCCTTACAATTGCATTATAACATGTTATGAATGTGTTTATAGATGCTTACAAACATGACATTCATATAAAGTGTTACCAGTAAGGCCTTAATTTGTGAGCAACTGTATTAGACCAGTCATAGGTCATACACATTTAGAAATGTTTTGTAGTTAAATCAAAACTAATTAGTTGTTTGTTTACCTAGTAGGTTAATATTCAGCACAAATTTTCTGTTCTTTACTCTCATGAATAAAATACATTTTGCTTCTCTTCTGATTAGCTACTTGGAAGGGATAGTTAAGCGAAAAATCTAATTTACATGGCCTTACACTTCCCCAAATGCAGTCGATCAGCCAAAACAAGTTTGGTGTCCAAATTTTGCTTCTTTAGTTTAGAACTGGAGCTGCTATGCTAATGTTACTAACAAACCCTGGAAGTCAATAGTCACACAAAACTGCATCCGTAAATACATACCCAAAACTTCTGGCAACCCCCCTCAAACTGCTTCCAGGTCTCAATTCAGGTCACGCAAGTAGTTGTGGTTTAGAATACAGAATGACACACTATGAACTATATAAATTAAAAAAAATGTGTGGCTAAAAGAAGGGGCAGCCATTTAAGACAACTTGAATCACAATTTTAGCATCATTTGATGTAAGACGGCCAAATGTGGGGCTAAGGGAATTCACAACACACACACAGGGTAGAGAAGTTAAAACAAGTGTACAAACATAGAGAAGCTAAGCAAGCATTTTCTGCATAAATAAGCCTCAACCGTATGTAAGCACAACAAAGATGGAGAAAAAGTCAATAATGCTTACCTCAGATTTAATTCTTCAAGGTTTCAACCATAAAAAAATTACTTGGCATAGCTGTAGATTATAGAATATCCCACTGGAGACCTTCCTTGTAATGGTCAGGCCACCACATACAGAGATTCTGCACAAAACTTTCCTGAATGTCTCTTTTGCTAGTTTGTGGTTTATTTCCAAAAGCCACAGTTTGGATGTTAGTGTCTACATCAGTAGGAAATCAGTGGTAAAGTATCAGACAATCCACAGATTTATTTTTTTCTGCTTTTGCCAAATGGAACACAACACCTCATTTTCACAGGTTTATTTTTATTTGATATGCAACTTTTAACTCTCTTAAAGCAAGCAAGTCGTAGGTGCTACTAACACTACATACACTAAATCGCCAAAAGTTTGCAGACACCTGCTCATCCATTGTTTCTTCCAAAATCAAGAATATTAAGAATATTCTCTGCTGCAGTAACTGTCTCTACTCTTCGGGAAAGGCTTCACACTAAATATTGGAACATTGCTGTGAGGATTTGATTGCATTCAGCAGCAGATTAGGTATTGATGTTGGATGATTAGTTGTAGATCATAAACGCCACTCCAGAAGGGGTATCCACAACCTTTTGAACATATAGTGTACCTGCATAGTGACATTTTACAACACACCCCTACACTCCAGCCTACCAGAGTTTGAAGGCAGAACAGCTTCCATGCCATTTTAAAACATAATTTTTAAGACTTTATTTGGCTTATCGACATGACTTGAAGCAAATACATAAAACTTCAGTATTTATGTAAATGTTTAGGATGACTACTGACTTTCAGTGTTTGTTAGCACCATTAGCCTAGCAGCTTCAGTTCTAAAAAAAATATGGGCACCAAATATGTCTTGGCTGATCGACTGATTTGAGGTAAATGGAAAATCATGTACACATTTGATTTTCCATCCCATCGCGCTAATGTCGCACAAGCATGACTAAAAATCCTCCATCAACAAAAAACTGATTGTGCACTAGCATAAAAGTGAATGAGCACAAAAAAGTTTTCAGTTTGCATATGTATAAACATTTTTACTTAATTTCCAGGTTTAATAACTCCCGATTTGTGTGTCACTTTTAATGTAAGATGAAATCCATGGAATTTCAAATCTGATCACATGAACGTTTTACAAAGAGGCATTGGTTTGGAATAAAAGGACTAACTATTTATAAATTTCATTTTTGCACAATTTCTAGACATCTGAAGATTTTATTGCCAAAAACTACTTAACAGAAAGATATTACATGAAATGGTTATCAACATGCTGCCAGATGCCTATGACATTGTTATAGTTTGGGATAGGGTTTTGGCCTAAAATGGGTCAAAATAGTCCCCAAAGGAAACCCTTTTTGAGGTTTACCACTATTTTACCATTATGAACATTACACATAAAAACTCAGAAGATACATGTTGGTTCACTGGTACTTTTAGAGAGTAAATAAAATGGCTATATTTGTGTTGAAGACATTATGACCCCTGGTTCCCATCACCACCACTGTTAAGCAATCCAAGTCAGTAAGTTTCTCTACAAAGAACTATTTCACATCAAACCACTCTGAATGAATTTGTTTACAGCTCAACCAATGAACTATACACAAATGGAAAAAATAGGTGGAGTTCCCCTTTAAGTGTTTGGCTCGGATGGGGTGTAAAATTCTAAACATGTAGTACTTCACAGTCTCCCAGCCCTTGAGTGAAGGTGTTTAAATCTTAAATCTGACCTGTGTAGTACAACTTACATCCATTCAGAGAGAGTTAGTGGAGAACCTGTTCTGCTAATGATCTGGAGTGTAGAACTGTCCAACCTGACTTTGCTGAACCATACAGTTCTTCTGCTGATGTTTCACTAAGCTATTCTTGTAGGCAAATATCTGTCCACATCTTTCGCATCCGAAAGGTTTCTCACGTGTGTGGATCTTCATGTGTGTTTTGAGGTTGGACGACTGGTTGAAGGTTTTTCCACACTGGCTGCAGCCATATGGTTTCTCACCCGTGTGAACATTCACATGCTTCCTCAGGTTGCTCTGGTCTGAGAACTGTTTGCCACAGTGGACGCACCTGAAAGGCTTCTCCCCCAGGTGAATGCTGTGATGTTTCTTCAGACTTGACGATTGACTAAATCTTTTACCGCAGAGTGTACAGTAATAGGGCTTCTCCCCAGTGTGAACTCTCTGGTGTAAAATGAGTGCACTGGTGTTAGGGAAGGGTTTTCCACAGTACTTACACCCAAACCTCTCTTTCATCATCTGCAGGGTAAATCCTGGTTTGAATGAAGGCATCTCAGTTTGAGAAACCATTCTATCAGCCCCAGTCTCTTCACTGTGAGCTAAATGGCCATCCACATCAGGAAGAGATGAATTGTTTAAATTCATCTGTGTTTCAAAGTGACAGAGAGTCTCTCCTGTGCCTGGATGTATGTAGTACTCGTTCATGGAGGTCCCTACGCTGCAGTCTCGTCCCGGATAGGAGAGGCTGTGGCTGGCTGTGTCAAACCTGCTGCTGTCCCATGAAGCATTAGTAGAAGACTGCAGGTCAGCTTCAGGTTCTGCGTCAGAACATCTCTCCTTAGGAGGATTACCTGATCAACAAAGGCAATTTGTTTTAGAAGCATGCATCACAACCAGTGGCACTTTAAGACTGTTTTCACAACTAGTTTGTTTCCTAAAGTCCACAACAGAGTTTGGGTTTTTGTGCCATTACATCTTGGTTCAGTTGGTTCTACACAGCAACATTTAAAGTACACCAATTTATATACATGGGTGCTCTTTGTTGGCAGGGATAAAGGAGCTCTATTACTTTTACATTTGCCTCTTTTAGAACCAAAAAAGCGTTTTTTTAATTTTCACTAGCCTATCATTGTATCCATCTATATATTATTGATGTAAACGTATTCTTCCTGCTTTGTTGCATATAGACACTTAACATCTATATCTATATCTCCCACAATCTAACAATCTAAACAAGTAAACCATACTTAATCTGCCCTGCCTTCTAATTGACTGGATTGTCAATTTGAATTTAACCAATAAAGGGTCAGAAGCTTTGCCAAGAATACATTCTGCGGTCCATTTGCCAAAATAAAATACATTTCATTGCTATAATTTTATGGTCTTTCTGCCATTATTAGCAGCAAGCGTAGCCTGCATCCCACTGTTGTGTCTGCTGATTAACCTCTATTCAGTGGAGTGTTTCCAAACTCTTAAGGCCTTTACACACTGAGCTGTGATTTGTTCATGTGATTTAAGTACCCAATGTCACTACTGGTATGTTCTGTGAGAAACAAATGAGATTTCATTTGCACTAGAAGTCATTCTGCCTGGTTGCTTAGTGCTTCGTCTTATGTGGTACTGCATCTCCAAACTCAGCTCAAACTGAGGTACAAAGCTCTAAGCTGTGAGTGAAAGAGTTCATAAAGTTTTGCTCCTGAAATAAGGTGCAGAAACTCTCCGTTTTCTTTTTGCTTTTCCAAAGTGGAAAGCATCCTGTACAATGTCACAGTTTTCCCGTTTCATGAGAACCCAAAAAACCTTTCATACATGTTCATACCTGTACAATTTGCTGAAATTCCAAAAGTCCAACTCTTAACTCCAAAAATCGCATCACATCCAGTGTGTACAGATTTGATGCAAAAAGTCACATCTAAATATTTTGAGTCGTCACATTGCGCTCAGTATGTAACAACTTTAGTCAACTGTAGAAATTTTGTCACTCTTCACGAAAATCAGCTAAAATCAATATATTAAATAAACCACACACGCAATTAATGATGTTTTGGGCATAAACAAATGAGTAAACTGCATATTTTTGTATTTTTATTTTACACTGTGTTTTGGAAAAAAGTTTTCTTTAGTAACACACCTTTTAATAACATTTTAATAATACTTGGTAAAGCTTTCTGTAATGCTTAATGAGGTCAGAGAACACTTCCATTTAAAATATTTTTTATTATTTTTTAACTTTCTTGATATTCTTGGGTCTTCGCCTGTGGATGGGCAGAAAGACTGAGCTAAAATCTCCTGGTATTTAGGGGAATTTATTATACCATTGATTTTCACAAGAGTCCCTGGACAATTAGCAGCAAAACAGCCCCAAAGCATCCATGATTCATCACCATTTATCAAATGTTTTCATTGTCTGCAGTCTCCTTTTTTCGAACCGTGATGATGGTGTTGCACAACTGGAAAGTTTTTGTGTCACCTGACCATGGCACACGATTCCATTTGTAGTACCAATGACATTTTACAAAGTTCAGCTGTTGCATTTCGTGGCTTGCCTCTCAAGAGGCTTCTTTCATAGAATTCTTCCAAAAACCTTCTGGTCATGGAGGTGGCACCTGACAGTGGATTTTGAAATTTGAAAACCCCAAGATTCAACTAAACTGCAGTTCAGAAACTGTGATCCTTGGATTTATTTTGCCTCTCTTACAATCCTCCTCACTATATGTGGAGGTAGTATGCACATGTGATATTTTCCTGGCAATTTTTTTCCATGCTTTTCATACTTTTTTTATTATTATGCTTAATGGTAATTTCAACTAACTACAACATTTTTAGAACCATTTGCTACACTGTAAAAATGGCTTGTCAGATTAACCTAAAAAACAATCTTCATGTGGTAACAAGAAAATGAACTAGTTTTCTACAACATAAAATAAATACTTGAATGAACAGTTCTTTCAATCAGTGTGATTTTTTGAGTTGAATTAAACTAGTTCAATTGCTTGTTACTACATTAAGTAATTTTTTTAGGTTAATCTGATGAAATATTTTTTACAGTGTAATCTGAGCAAATCCACAACCTTCTGTCTCACATGAATTGACAGCTCTTCGTTTTTTCTCATAGTAATGTATGTGTTTCAGCTCATATTTATATCCTATGGAAATAGGAAAAGGTTGTGGAGTTCCTGGAGATTAGGAGCAATTATTTAGTTTTAATTAAAAATATTCTTTAAGGGTAGGAATGATTTATGTTAGATAAATAATAAGCAATTTCTTCCATTTAAAAAAACATTTGAATCATTATATGTATTGTTTTATTTTATGATTGTTTTTGCCTAGTTTCTTGAGGTGTGGCAATAATTCTAGAGTTGACTGTATATTATGATGCATGGCAGAGGATTTTTGGTAAAATACAAATGAACTATGATCTTTAAACTAGTACTTTTTATTTCACAGCTCTAAAATAAATCATATTAATTGCAGGTATACACATGCCTAGACAGGCTGTGTGTCTCACCAGAGAAAATCTCTGGGCTCTTAGCTTTGTGAGTTGTGTATGTATGACAAGTATGTAGATGTGAGTTTTCACACCGTTTCGCTCATTATTACTATTTATCGGTCTGATTTTGTCTGCTAGCTCATTCACACCCTAGCAGTCACCTGGATACCACAGCAAACCCCTAGCAAGAACATGTGATACCATAACAACCCCCTGAGAGAAAGTATAGGTCTTTTCACATTGGTCTGGAATTTCTAACAACTTGGTGCCGTGCCGCGGATGGCTTACTGAAACCTACTTGGTGAGTAAAAACGTCATTTTCGAACTGAAGAGAAATTCTGGCTTCATAAGATAGATGAGTCAGTAAAGGTTAGCCTCTCTGAAACAAGGGAAGTTTACTTGTCATTGGTAAAAATAACCCTAGTGTTTTTTGTGGCTGTTATCCCCTCTGTCCTGAGGGAAGTTTACTTGTTGTCAGTGGTAAAAATAACCCTAGTGTTTATTTGTGGCTGTTATCCCCTCTGTTCTGAGGGAAGTTTACTTGTTGTCAGTGGTAAAAATAACCCTAGTGTTTTTTTGTGGCTGTTATCCCCTCTGTCCTGAGGAAGTTTACTTGTTGTCAGTGGTAAAATAACCCTAGTGTTTTTTGTGGCTGTTATCCCCTCTGTCCTGAGGAAGTTTACTTGTTGTCACTGGTAAAAATAACCCTAGTGTTTTTTGTGGCTGTTATCCCCTCTGTCCTGAGGGAAGTTTACTTGTTGTCACTGGTAAAAATAACCCTAGTGTTTATTTGTGGCTGTTATCCCCTCTGTCCTGAGGGAAGTTTACTTGTTGTCAGTGGTAAAAATAACCCTAGTGTTTTTTTGTGGCTGTTATCCCCTCTGTCCTGAGGAAGTTTACTTGTTGTCAGTGGTAAAAATAACCCTAGTGTTTTTTTGTGGCTGTTATCCCCTCTGTCCTGAGGAAGTTTACTTGTTGTCAGTGGTAAAATAACCCTAGTGTTTTTTGTGGCTGTTATCCCCTCTGTCCTGAGGAAGTTTACTTGTTGTCACTGGTAAAAATAACCCTAGTGTTTTTTTGTGGCTGTTATCCCCTCTGTCCTGAGGAAGTTTACTTGTTGTCACTGGTAAAAATAACCCTAGTGTTTTTTGTGGCTGTTATCCCCTCTGTCCTGAGGAAGTTTACTTGTTGTCAGTGGTAAAAACAACCCTAGTGTTTTTTTGTGGCTGTTATCCCCTCTGTCCTGAGGAAGTTTACTTGTTGTCACTGGTAAAAATAACCCTAGTGTTTTTTGTGGCTGTTTTCCCATCTGTTCTGAGGGAAGTTTACTTGTTGTCACTGATAAAAAATAACCCTAGTGTTTTTTGTGGCTGTTATCCCCTCTGTTCTGAGGGAAGTTTACTTGTTGTCACTGGTAAAAATAACCCTAGTGTGTTTTTTGTGGCTGTTATCCCCTCTGTCCTGAGGGAAGTTTATTCATTGTCACTGGTAAAAGCCTAGCATTTTTCCTTTTTGTCTCTGTTTTTTGTTGTCACTGTAACTTGTAACTTATCCTCTCAGGCAGTGAGGGAAGTCTTTCTTTTTTGTTTAGTTGCTTTGTTTGTTTGTTGTTCGAGAAGGTTGGCTGTGTTCCTTCACCATGACTTCTAAAGGCCAAAACACTCAGAAATATGGTAAAGATTCTTGAAAACCTCTTAACTATAAAAACAGCACATTAGTTAAGGGTGGGACTGAAATGCCTGAATGGACTGAATTTGCATTTGATGACATAATAGGGAAACACATTCACGAGCAAAAGACAGCTCAGTACTTTTTATCCGAAAGTTTTTCTGCTGATAGAGAATGGACTTGAGGAATGTAAAACAGCTTTGGGTTATGGTATCAAGCATGATTCCGTTAAGGAATGTCTTTTTGTAATAAAGCAGTACTGGAAGTATAAGCTTAGATACATGGAGGGTAAGCTAGAGGAAGCTGAGGGAAAGATCCTAGAGCAAACCAGCGAATGTAAAAAGCATAAAATGCTGCCATGAGAGAACATGTAAAAAGCCTAAGCAATCACTGACCAAGGTTGAACAGCAACAGGCCAATTGTAAATCCAAGTCAAAGTGTCAATGCCAACCTCTACCTGTAGGCCCTCCTCTGGGTCAGCCATGCTATACAGAGGATGAAGATCCTCCACTGTTGGTTAGGCTGTATCCAGAATTGGATGCGATCCACTCTGATGAATCAGAAACCTCCTCCTCTGATGAGGATTCTGAACCTACTAGTGATAAGGCAGTTCAGATGAGACCAATCACTAGTAGATATTCTGAGGTCCATAATAAGAGAGGTGACGTTAGGGGAACCAGAGTAGAAGTTGGT